AAAAAGTCACTTCTTTTTTTAAATTATATCCATGAGTCGAATATCTTCAAAATTTTAGCTTATATAAATTTTCTGTATGTTGGAGTTCAAATTAAACTAGGTTACGTTTGTAATTTTGACATTACGTAGATTGTAAACACAAAAAAAGATGAATGAAGAATCTTAAAAGTAGGGATTTTTCATTTATTTAATTTGGAATATTTTTTGTCTCCCAAAAAATAATAATTTTATACTTTCTGTAATAAAGACTAATAGTCAAATATCATTAGCATATATTATATTTATATAATATAGCATTATATTTATATATTATATAAATATAATGCTTATTTTCATAAGCAAAGAAAAAAATCCCTTAAATTAAAAAAAGGAAATATTTTTAAAACAAAATTTGTTGCAATAAATTAATAATCTTTTAGTTATTTGTTTTTCTATTTATTTAATGCCTAATAATATAGTGCTGGAAAATCAGGATATCTAACGGTTAGGGAAGTTAGTCATTGAAAGTCAGGAAAATTTCTAAAAACTTATCCAAAAATTAAAATTTTTGTGAATAAAAAATATTCCTATTTTAACAAAACTTACAAGATTTTTATTATCGTTTGTTTCTATCATTAGATATTAATTTATTGTTGAATATGTCAGTTACCATATTTTTGTCCCAAGAAAGCTAAAATAAAATTAGTAAAATGTCAGCGAATTATTTTCTCAATCCTTGTTAAACACCCTGCTTAAATAAGTAAAGTACTTTTGAAGAGCCCTAAAATAATGAAGCTAAATCCCATAAAACAGAAGGAAAAATGTTAAATTTTAAGAAATTCGGATTTTTGAATTTTTGATAATTTTCGATAATTTTAGATTTTTTACCAAAGAGTCGAGACTATTAAATAAGTAAAGTATTTTTCAAGAGCACAAAAATAATAAAGCGAAATCCCATAAAACAGAAGAAAAAATGTTGAATTTTAAGAAATTCAGTTTTTCGAATTTTTGATAATTTTCGATAATTTTAGATTTTTTACCAAAGAGTCGAGACTATTAAATAAGTAAAGTATTTTTCAAGAGCACAAAAATAATGAAGCTTAATGCAATAAAAGAGAAGAAAAAATGTTGAATTTTTAGAAATTTTTGATTATTTTAGATTTTTTACTAAAGGGTGGAGACTATTAACAGGATGTCTAACGGGTCAGGGTAGTCAGGGAATGTAAGGGAATAATGTCAGTTACCATATTTTAGTCCTATGGAAGCATGAATAAAATAACTAGAAAGTCAGGGAAAGGTATTGGAAAAGTCAGGGAATTACTTTCTCAATCCTTGTTAGACACCCTGAAAATGTAAAATAATTATTTGCAAAAAAAAGCAAAATACATTTGACTGCAAAGTAACCTCAAAAATGAAGAAAACTAATAAAATATTTAAATTTTCGTACAAATCTTCGATAATAATAATAATATTCTTTTCAATAATTTTCTTAATATTTTACTTTACATTTCTTAATGAAAAATTTTCGTATGGTTTCAGCTAAAGAAATATTCATTTCTTTTTTTAAAATTTAAATATCAATTTGTTTCACACATAAATTTAGTTTAAATCGTTCTGAGAAAAAAAATAGTCGCTTAGTAAAACTTGCGAAGATAACTTTCAGAAGAATATTTGACACAAAAAAATAATTTTGAAAATTTTATAATTAACTTTATTTTAATTTATAAAATAGAAAATTATTCTTTTTATTTCTTTGTATTGACCACATAAAAATATTTTAGCGCCTTATTTTCATACCTTTAGATTTTTTAATTAAGAATTGTAATATTTAATTCATTATTTTATTTTCTATGAATATTAATTTTTGTATTAATATTTAATTTTTACTTTGAATTATTCTATTTATTTATACATTATCAATTTTATTGCTTTAAAAAATTAATTATATAGAGAAAAAGTGCAATATTAACCTTTTCCTATTTTTCACTTTAATAATTTTAATGCTAAGAAAATCTAATTTTACCATCTACTAAAAAAATTCTAGTTATTTTATAAAAAAAATTATCTTCATTATTCAATAACAATAGGTGCTCGATTTATTGTTACGTCCCTGTTGTATTTGAAATTGACCACTAAAATAAGATCTTCGTTCGAATGCTTTTAGAAAGCTCGGGAAAGCCCCGCACAAAACTCAACTCGAGTGAGCGTCAGGAACGTAACTTGTTAAAAATCGCATTACAAACATGCGAGAAAATATTATCACATTTCTGAAATTTTTTTTTTTTTTCTCTTTAAGACACTCAAATTGTTTAGAAAATTAATTGTTTAAAAAAGAAAATTCAATTAAAATATTTTCTTCAATAACTGACAAAAGTTTTCCTACTTTTACTAATTTTTCAAAACTTCTTTATTAGTTAAATTATTTATTTTTTTTTTTTCATATTTACTTAATTAATTTAGATTAAAGTATTTAATTAATTTATTTACTATTTATATTGTTTTGACAGTTAGATTTTTTTATAATCATTTAAAAAGCAGATTCTTCAATTATTTTTCAAGGATTAAGAATATTAATTTTAAAAAAAAACATTACAAATTATGTTTTAGAAAATTTTGGTGAAATATTAATTTATAAATTTATATATTATTTAATTGTCAAGTATTAATCAATTAATTATTCAATTATCAATTAATAAATATTAAACTCTAATGAAGCTTTTCTTTGTTAATGAATTAATTATCTTACTTTCTAGAAACAATTGTAATAAACTGTTTCAAGGGAAAATATTTAAGTCAATGTACTTTTAGAAATGTTGGGCATTTATTTTTTTTACAATAGTAAAAAATTTCTACCCACGAAATTGTATCTCAGGCGTAATTTTTTGATAAATAAATAAATAAATATGTAGTTAAATTTTTTAAACACATTTTGAGAAAGCATGGATTTTTTTATCAAAATAAAGGAAGAGCGAAAAATAAATACCTTTTAGAATATGAATTATTGACTGCGTTGTTAACGAATTGTCTTGAAAGTCGAATAACAATTGGAAAAAAATTAACATACCTCCATAATTTCCTGAGACTGATTTACGAAAAATTTTTGTAGCAAAGTTTCGAAGCATATATATATTTCATCTTTCCAGTAGAAATCGTTGAGAAATAATTCTCAGAAATCTCACTTTTCCTGAAAAAAATCGATATTTCCACTTTGATTTGAAACAACAATAAAAGTTGACTAATAAGAACAAACAAATCACAATTCTTATCAAAATAATCATTATTATTCTCAAATTTTAATATTAAATAACAAATTATTAAACTCCGAACTGCATAAAACACAAAAAGCGTGACAAAAAGTGTACAAATATTTTTAGGTTATGAAACCATGCTGTTAACTTACCAATGTTTTCTGGGTTTTTGCATATGAAATTTTCACTTCGAACATTCCAATCAAGCTGGTTTTTTGATAAATATTTTTACATTCTTCACTATATAAAAATGCGTTACGTATTTATTATGAAAATCCATTGAAAATAATTCTTTTGTTCGATTTGTTTCACACACGTTTTTTAACTAACGAACAAAAAATGATTCTATTCCATTTAGCCAAAAATTGTTGAACTGTACGCGGAACGGCGGAATTAGGACATCTTTCAAATTATAATTTTTGTTAATTTAAATTGCGAAGTTTGGAAAGATTGAAAATTAGAAAATAAAAGGGAAATTATAAAAAAGAAATCCTTATTTCTATTTTTATATTATTACACTTAAGTAGATGCAAATTTTTCATTGTCACAGAGTGTAAAAAAATTAACGATATTTAAAAAAACTGAGTTTCCCGCGCTTGAATTCGATATATCGATAGATCGTTCCCCCTCTCCTCTCTCGTCTCGAAGCGACGCAACTTCAGTCTGGAATAAAATTCCCTAGTTTGCAATCGCGCTCCCGCGGATAATACTTTTTCTTTCAATAATTCTAATTAAATTCTCATTGCAAGTTGAAAATAAGTATAAATTTTCACTCAGTGATCATTTATTTACCAGAAGAACCTAAAAAACACGTATTCGTTCGTCCGATTGTTCGCAAAATACCGGAGAAAAAGTTGAGATTGCTCTCGATTATTAGAACATCGGATTCGCGCGTAAAAAATCAGTGAAAGTGTTAAAAATTTTCCAATTTATTCGTTTTTCCCGTTTTTCCTAATAATAAATCTTCTTTCTCGTTCTAAAAAAATGTTCAATTAATTATTAATCCCAAAAAGTTGGCTAATTAAATACTTTTTTTCTGTCTTTTTCACATTAATTGAAATTTGGGATTCTAACCTCACTTTTTAAAACTTTTATTTAACCGCCAATTTTTTTTCCGGGAAAAGTGTCGTTTCTATTTTTGAATTTTGTAATGGAATGAATTCGCCAAATTCTAATTTTTTTTCGTTGGAAATATTTTTTACCGTCAGTTGTTGAGTGCAAAATGGAAAGTGTTGAAATTAGTGCAAGTGAAATAAGTGTAAAATTTTCAAATATAGTGTAAAAAGTGGCAATTTTTTTTACCTAGAAGCATTATTCTCATTATTAGAGGATATTTTTGATTAATTGGAGCAATATTTCCTTTCTCACCGGAGATGATTTTTGACGTCAAAAGGTTGGTTTAATTTTTTTATAGGTTATTAACATTTTTTCCGTTTTTCTCCCATTAATTAACAGTTGAAAATTAAAAAAACATTTAATCAAAATTAATTTTATTAAAATAATATTTAATTGGAAATTATTATTCAGTAAAACTTATTTCAAAAATTAAATATTTTTTTTTACTTTAATAAATTATCAAAAAATAATATTAATAAAATTAATTATTTTTTTAATAGCACCAAATTTTTAAACTTTTTGCTTTTATGAGAAAAAAAAATACAAACTAATTTTTTCACACATAATTTATTAAAAAATTATAATTAAAATTCTTAATTATTCTATAAAGATAATTACATTATCTTTAATTATTTTTCTTTTTTTCTCTAAAACGATTAATTATTAGCAGGTAAAAAAATAATAAGTATTACATAATAATAGTAATTGTACATAGTTTAAAATTTAAAAGGAAAATTTTCAAAATTTCCAAAATGACAGGAACATTTAAAAATAAAATTAAGACTTTCTCTTCCATCTGTGTCGCGACGAATCCATCTTCAATATCAATTTTGTAATATAGTTTTAATCGAATTATTTTTCTCGATTTCTTTAGTGAAAATTTCCTCAAGTTCCACAATTCTTTTTTGTTTTTTCGCCACATTCTCGATAGATGAATTCAATTCTTGTTGCAATCTTTTGTTCTTGGTTTTAAGATACGAATTCTCTGTTAATAGAAACTCGTTCTTCGTGGAAAGAAATTTCTCATCATTTTCATCATCAACTTTGGAGTTATCGTTGTTCTCATTTTTCCCTATAGTTTCATCTCCTTCTTTGAGTTCCGAATCAATTGTAGAAGAGAATAAAAGCGGTGAAAGAGATGTATGATTTTCTTTTTCACTTTCGGCAAATTTTTCTTCACATAATCTTTCATCATCCTCAATCAATATCGAATCATCTTTTCTTGATTTTTCATCATTTTCGTTGCAATTGTCAGCAGGTGATATTTCTTTTTCTCTAATTCTCTTTGTCTGAAAAATAACAAAATGACTGTCTGTCTCAAATTCCTGTTTTTCATTAAAAGCTGTGTTAATTTCTCCATTGAAAATCATTTCAAGATTTCCATGCAAAAACGCAAGAAAATACGGTTCTCGAAAGAAATCATTTTTTTTAAAAGTTAGCAAAATAATGGAACAACCGATTTTAATCCACTCGTTAAATCTTTTAAAATTGTAATCATTTATATATTTAAAATAGAAAAGAACATCGGGCACTTGATAATTGTCTTGTAACAAATAATCCTCGTAGTCTAATGAACACTTTTCAACAGACAATTTTCTCTCCGTTTTAACACATTTTTCACAAAGGGAATAATTCTCCGAACTCGATTTTAACAAATTATTCTTCGTGATGACAATTTTTAGATTCTTTATCTTTGGATTCGCGTGCAAAAGAAATTCCCAATAATGTTCCTTTAGAATTGCACGATTATGGTGCAATCCTTCGATGTGAAGGACAATCTTCTCTGGAACTTTGTCGTAGATCTTTTCTAAAGCAACATTCAATTTTGAAGCAATATTAATGAAATCGATTAAATTTTCTTTCGTCGATGCTGACTCGTTGCATTTTGACTCGTAATGATAATCATTCACTGTATACGTGAGAGGATCCAGAAACTCAAATCTCTCCGTTGTGTATGGAAAACATAGTGGTAAAAATTGCAAATCAATATTTAGTTCCTCTGCTGTTGACAGGGTTTTTAAATATCTGTTCATTAATTTACAATGTTGGGTATGAGCTTGGTTAGTTTTGTGAGATTTACAAAAACTTACAATTGGACAATCTGGACAGCTATGTAAATAACCTTTTGAACTATTACAAGTGAAACAAACTCGGGGACGAATCCACATTGAAAGTTCCAATGGAGTCATATTTCTTCCTAATTTCTTTTCTAAATCAAGTTTATCTCCTGAGGCATCATTCCAAATATCATTATTGTCCATTTTTGGAGGTAACTTTTTATGAAAGCGCAATAATGCTTTTTCTTTTATTACTTCTTGAATTGCTTTGCAGAAACTCTCGTGAACTGATAAATGTTGTAAACGATGTTCCTTGGAGCAATAGGCGATCGTTTTGCAATCACATCTTTCTAGTTTTTTTCTTGATTTACAAATGTAGCACTCATTGGGGAAGAATCTTCCCTTTAATGAAGAATTCATATTTTTTTCTCTTTTTTGTAAATTTTTGTATATTTTATTACCTGAAAACAAATATTCTTTATCAAATTTTAGAATAATAAGAACAAAAAATAATTAATAAAAACTGATTTCCCAATGCGTTTGACCCGTTAGACAATTAACATAACCATATATTTAAATGAATTTATATTACTTGGTAAAAATTATATAATTAAATTAAGAGGAAATTATCAATCTTCCAAGTCAAATAACTGATAATTTCCTTTTAATTTAATTAACATAACCTTAAAATGAGATTTGCTTCTTTAGGTTCCAAAAGACGTCACATTTATATTATTAAATTTAATCTACTTATATAATAATATTAAATTTATTTTTAAAGTATTAAATTATTAATAGTATTAACATTTTAATTCGAAAAATAGAGAAAAATGAATTAATTAATTTAATAAACTTACGTCCATCCAACACAACAATCACAAAATAAGTCTTCTGATTGTAGCATAAAATAATTAACATATAGAACGCCAACTCTTGAATCATACATTACAGCCTTTATTACCTAGAGCCATCTATAATAAGAAATTTTTTAAAAATTCAACCTTCAATCAAAATTTGATAAAGTTTTTCAACCTAAATTTTAATTTGCAATTTAAAAATTTAATTTAACACAAATTCGATAAAGCTTAAAAATATTTAATTGATTTATTCTTCAATTGGTCTAAATTTAATTCTAAATTTTTTAAATTCAATTATTTTCCAAATTTTCAATAAGAATTCTTCAAAAATACTATTATATTTACCAAAATAATTTTTAAATGTAAATAAATAAAATTCATTAAAATATAAAATTTATTTCAATGAAATTTGATAAAATTTTCAATTGTTTCAATTTTTAAAAAATTAATTTCGGAAATTCAAATATGTATCTTTAAAAAATTTTAATTACTATTTTTAAAAAAAAATAATTATTAAAAATCTTTTGACGAATAATTTTGATTTTCGAGAAAGTAGATTAAAATTGTATATAAAAATAATTAGAGACACGATTTTGTGTCAATGAAAATTTTAAAATTATGCAATGAAAAACCTAAATATTATGCAAAAATTATGAGATGAAAATAAAATTATGCAATGACGCATGGTTAGGTTTTATTTGTATATAGTAATTTTTAAATGGTTTTAAAACTGATTTTACTTTAATGCAATTAATTTAGAATTTTTTAATTAAAGAAAAATAACACAAAGTATAACGCTATTCGTTTGCTTCTTAGGAGCGTGTCACAAAAATTCTTTTTAACATTTATCTTTTTGGCATTTGAAAATAAGTCGATTATTTTGTAATTTAAGAAAACAACAAATAAGCAGTAATTTTATAAGTAATTGTACTTACATTCAGGGAAATATTCACAAAATTATTTTCTTTATTGTTTATTCTTTTCCAACATAGAATAATTAATAATTAAAGAACCTCAACTCTATTGTATTTTAGTTGTTAATCAGAGCCACCTTTAGGAAAAAGTGAATCAAAATGTATATTTTCTGCTGGCGCGAAAATTAAAAAAAATATTAATATAATAATTAATATGTAGAGCGAAATTTGCAAAAAAAATGTTTTTTTTATGAAAATAATAATATTTTTCTATTAAAAATTTACTCTAGACGAAAAATACGAAAAATAATCAGAAATTTACAGGTAACAATAATTTATTAATATCTGATACACTTGATAGATATTATTTTATATATTTTTAATTACCTTATTTAAAATTCTATTTTTGCAAGAATAGAATTTACAATAATTTTTTAACAATTGAAAAAGAAATATTGTACCAAGTATTTTTAAATTTATGACATTCCTTTTAGTTTTTAACTTTGAATTTTAGAAAATTGTTATAATATCAAATTTGTAATATTTTTTTAATCGAATTATTTTTCTCCTTTAATTCAGAACAAAGTTTTTCAAGATCCGCATTTCTTTTCTTTAATTTCGCCACTTCCTCGATCGATGAATTCAATTTTTGTTGTAATTCATCGCACTTTGTTTTAAAATATAAAACATTTTGATTTAAGTTTAATTCGGTTTTTTCTGAATTCAATTTCACAATTGAATTATTAACTTGGTTATTTGAAAAATCCTTCTTTCCCTTCGGTTGTAGAATGATGAAATAATTTTCTTTTTGAAATTCAGTTTTTTCATTAAATAATGTGTTTTCCATTGGTCCATTGTGAATAATTCGAAATCTTTCATGTAATAATAAAAGAGTGTATGGTGCTTGATTAAATATTAGTTCTGAATCAAAAAGCAGAATGATTGGACGATCAAGTTCACACCATTGATTTACTTTCACATAATGTATATCGTTTTTTGTGAAGTGAATTAGTACATTTGGTACCTGATATCTTTTAGAGGATATGTCACAATTAAGAGACACTGATTTGCTAATATTCAAAACTTTTTGCCTTGAACAACATTTTTTGCAAAGTGAAATTTTAAGATTATTATTTCCTAAAAAACTATTATCGTCACTATTAACTCCATAAATGGCAAGATTTAATTTAATTATCTGCGGATTGAGATGCAACAGAAATTCCCAAAATTCTTTTCTTGTAATTACATGCTCCCTACCAAGTAAATCAATTTGAATGGTTAATTCCGACGGAAGTGGATTCAGTATTTTTTTTAAAGCACTATTTAGCCTCGAAATAATGTCAACAAAATTGATGAAATCAATTTTTGATTTTCTCCAATAATAACAATTTGATTCAAAATTATTTTTGTTGATTATCGTAAACGTAAGACAGTCCAAATATCCATTTCTCTTTTCATCAACAAATGGAAAATTTAATGGTAAAAATTGCAAATCAATATTTAATTCATCTGCCGTGTTCAAAATTTCTAAATAACGATTCATTGTTGTACAATTTTTCGAATGAATTTCGCTGTCCTTATGATTCGCACAAAAAGTTACAATTGGACAATTTTGACAATTATTCAATAAATTCCTCTTTTGATTCACGACAAATGAAACAAACTCGTGGACGTGTCCACATTAATATTTCCATAGGAGTCATATATCTTTCTAATTTCTCCTCTAATTGAAATAAAATATCCGTTGTCCTACTCCAAGCGGTATTGGAATATGAGAAAAATCCTTCATTTATGTGCGATAATTGTTTTTCTTCTAATATCTCCTTGACTGCTTTGCAAAAATTTTTGTGAATTGACAAATGTTCGAGTCGATGTTCCTCGGAGCAATATGAAATCATTTTGCATTCACATCTTTGTAGATTTTCTCTATTTCGACAAATTTGACATTCGTTGGGGAAAAATCTACCCTTTCCTGAAGAATTCATTTCGAATTTGGAAATTCAATGGAAATCCAAAAAGAAAAATCTGAAAATAATTATTTTTTATTTTTAAAGTTTCTTTTTGTAGGGAAATTAATAGTCTGTAAGTAATTACACAAAATTTCTACAACTGTGCGAGATTTTTTCTAAAATATAAAAAAGAGCATTAGTAATAATTTTATACATACTTTTAAGGAAATAATTCCTAAATTATTTTCTTTATTCTTTTCCAAGTTTCCAATACAAAATAATGATTAATATTTACGTCCAGCAACAATAACAAATCTGACAATCTGAGTTTGCCATAAAATAATTAACATCTAGAACTTCAACTCCAGACTTATGACACATTTAATTAGTTCCATCTATTATCACTATATTACAATTTTAATCAATAAATGAAAAACTTTCGAAATTTTAATTTATTTACATAACAAGTAAAAATTATAATTTTTAACAAAATTTAAAACAATATTTAAGTAAATTTGAAATTTTCAATATATTGTTCTATTTTTAAATTGAATTTACTTTCGATAAAACTCAAAAATAATTAATTAATTCAATTATAAATTTTAGTGATTATAATAAATAATTAGTAATTACAGCAAATAATTGGCATTTGGAAATAATTAGTCATTGTAAAAATTAATTATTAATTACAATGAGAAAACTAGTCATTATTATGAATAATTTATAATTATACAGTGCAGTAATTAGTAACTGTTATAAATAATTAAATATTCTTCATAAAATAAATAATTATTTAGTTTGAAAAATTTATTATTTTAATAATACCAAACTTAGCAAATTTTCTTATTTTTAAATGAATGAATACAAAAAAGTTTTTTTCACATAGTTTATTAAAAAATTATAATTGAAACTTTTAATTATTTTATAACGATAATTACATTATCTTTCGTATTTTTAATTCTTTTTATGAAACCATTATAATCGTTAACATGTAAAAAAATAATAAGTATTAGATATGGTAATTGTTTAAATTTAAATTTCAAAGAAAAAACATTTTCGTGTCGATTATAATCAGAAGAATATGTCAAGAAATTTTTTAAACAAATTAAAAATTTTTTCTTTTCAATCCGAAGCGACGTCATCTTTATCTTCAATTTTTGAAATATTTCGTATTGATTGAATCATCTGATTAAATTGAAAACTAATTTTTTCAAGTTCCGCATTTCTTTTCTCTAATTTATCGGTCGTCGAATTCAATTCTTGTTGTAATTTCGCCACTTCATCGGTCGATGAATTCAATTCTTGTTGTAATTTTGCCACTTTTTCAGTCGATGAACTTAATTCGTGTTGTAGTTTCTCGTTCTCAGCTTTAAGAGATGAATTCTCTATTATTAGCGACTCGTTCTCTGTAGAAAAAGATTCTAAATCGTCATCCGCTATCGAGTTATCATTGCTCGCATTTTTTTCTACATTATTATCTCCTTCTTTGGGTTTTGAAAAAATTGTAAAAGAAGAAGAAAAAGGCGAAGAAGGTCGAAACATCAAATCATCTTTTGTTGAAATTAAACTCGTGTCATTCTTTTTGGAATTGTTAGCAGGTGATATTTCTTGTTTTTTACTTCTTTTTGATTGGAAAATTATGAAATAACTGTCTGCATCATATTCTTTTTTTTCTTCATTAAAAGCTGTTTTTATTTCTCCATTGAAAATAATTTGAAAATTTTGAAGTAAAAACGAAAGAAAAAACGAATCTTTAAAGTAACTAAACTTTGAATTAGGCAATAAAATAACGGGGCAACGAATTTGATTCCATTTATTAAATCTTTTAAAATTGCAATCAATTGCAATTCGGAAATTAAAAAGAACATCCGGTACTTGATAATAGCTTTTTAACATGTAATCTTCGTAGGTCAATAAATACTTTTCAACAGACAATGTTTTCTTTAATTTTACACATTTTTCACAAAGCGAATAATTCATCAAATTGTTTGGTAATGTCGCATTTCCAGTGATAGCAATTTTTAAATTTCTTATCTGTGGATAAACATGCAAAAGAAATTCCCAATAATTTGCGTTTATAATTGCATGGTTGTTAAATGCATTGATATGAATGACAATTTTCTCTGGAATTGTGTCACTAAATATCTTTTCTAAAGCAGCATTCAATCTTGAAGCAATGTTAATAAAATCCATTAAAGTTTCTTTCGTAGATAGCGACTCTTTACATTGTAATTCAGAAGAAGAATCCTTGAATGTATAAGTGAGTGGATCAAAAATATCAAATCTATCTTCTGATATATATGGAAAACACGATGGCAAAAATTGCATATCAATGTTTAATTCCTCTGCTACTGATAATGTTTTTAAATACCTATTCATTACTATACAATTATCATGGGATTCGCTATTATAATAGCTACCTCTTTTGTGATTGTAGCAAAAACTTGCAATTGGACACTTTGGACAGTCATATAAAGAATTTCTTGAATCTTTACAAGAAAAACAAACTCGGGGACGTATCCACATTGAAATTTCCAAAGGAGTCATACATCTTCCTAATTTTTTTTCAAAATTAATCATATGTTCAAAGGCAATATTCCAAGAGGTATTCGTACTAATAATCCTTTCATTTATATGCGATATTCCTTTTTCTTTTAATACTTGTTGAACTACTTTGCAGAAACTCCCATGAACTGGTAAATGTTGAAATTGATGTTCCTTGGAGCAATAGGCAATCATTTTACAAACACATCTTTCTAGTTTCTCTCGACTTCGACAAATGTGACACTCATTAGGGAAGAACCTTTCTTTGAATGAAGAACTCATTATTTGATCTTTTTTGTAACAATCAGATTCGATAACCTGAAAAGAAATATTCTTTATCAAATGAAAAGAAAAGAGTTGGTTTTTATGCGTAGTTAATACACAGTTTACAAAATAATTAAAAAAAAATTTATATACACATTTACGATTTTATAGAAAGTTTATTATTTTTCGAAGCAATCACGACAATTTAAATCATATTATATTTATTGGTATAAACATATTCCCGAAAATCTCTTTTTAATTATAAACTCTTCAATATCATATAATCAGATTATCTTGGAAATTATATATTTAGGGGGGAGGGGGTAGACAAATTTTCTTTAATTGTAACGTGTTTTACCTTTACTGAACTATAATTATTATTGTTATTATTATTATTATAATTAATTATCAGATCTACTATTTTATTCTAAACTACAGAAAAAATATCAAGCAGGGTGGATGTGTTTGATTTTGAATTCCTTTTAACATTTATATAAAACTAATTTAATTTTGTTGATATATAGACATACAGCAAATAAACAATAGGTTTATATATACTTACATATAAGAAAATATTCACCAAATTATTCAGAAAATTATTTTCTTTGTTTTGTTCGTTTCAGTTTCCAAAACACAGAATAATTAACAATTTAGAACCTCAACTAGAAGTTCGTTTCATTCTTAATCAGAGCCACCTATAGGCAAAAGTGAATTAATCAAAAATATATTGTTTCTGCCGGCGCGAATATTTAACAAAAAATATTCTAATATAAAAAATTAAAAGAGAGAAATAATATTATTATTAGTAATTAAAATTTAAAATAAATAATTGGTCCTTGTAATGAAAAATTAATAATTACAATACGTAATTAGTCATTATAATAAATAATTGCCTAATTGGTGATTGCAAAAAATTCTTAGTGATTGTAATTATTAAAAAGTAATTACAGCAAATAATTGGCAATTGTAAATAATTAGTCATTGTAAAAAATAATTAGTAATTACAATGAAAAATTAGTCATTATTATAAATAATTTATAATTATAGTGCAGTAATTAGTCATTATTATAAATAATTGGTAATTACTGTATAGTAATTAGTAACTATTATAAATAATTAACTACTGTTCATTATAATAAATAATTACTTAACTTGAAAAATTGATTATTTTAATCATAATACCAAACTTTGCAACTTTTATTCTTATTTTTATGTGGACGCAGAATACAAAAAAAAGTTTTTTTATTGGAAAATTATAATTCTTATTTTTAATTATATTTTATAAAGATATAATTACATTACCTTTCGTATGTTTAATTATTTCTACGAAACCATAATAATCGTTAACATGTAGAAAAATAATAAGTATTACATTGTAGGTTAAATTGTAATTGAAAAGAAATTTTAGTTTAAATTTAAAAACAAAAATTTTCGTGTTGACTCTAATAAGTATTTTTTTTAACCAATTTTAAGAATTTTCGTTTTCAATCTGAAGCGACGTCTCCATCTTCAATTTTTGCACAATTTCGTCTATCGATTGAATCTTCTCATTTAATTGAAAACCATTTTTCTCAAATTTCACAATTTTTTTCTGCAGTTTCGCCACTTCATCGGTCGACGAATTCAATTCTTGTTGTAGTTTTGTCACTTCATTGGTCGACGAATTCAATTCTTGTTGTAGTTTTTTCACTTCATTGGTCGATGAATTCAATTCTTGTTGTAATTTTGCCACTTCATCGGTCGATGAATTCAATTTTTGTTGTAATTTTGCCACTTCATCGAGTGATGAACTTAATTTATGTTGTAATTTTTCGTTCTCAGTTTTAAGAGACGAATTCTCTGTAAATAGAGACTCGTTATCTTTAGAAAGAGTCTCGTTCTCTTTACAATGAGATTCTAAATCATCATCTGCTTTCGAGTTATTATCATTTACATTTTTCTCAACATTATTATCTCCTTCTTCGTGTTCTGATACAATTGTAAAAGAAGAAAAAGACGAAGAAGGTGAAATAGTTTTGAGATTTTGTTTTTCAATTTCACTTGCTGGAGCTCCCTTATTACTGGAATTATCTTCTGCAATTTTTTCTTCACATACTTTTTCATTATTATTCTCAATTAATATTGAATCATCTTTTGTTGAATTTAAACTCGTGTCGTCATTCTCGCTGGAATTATCCGCAGGTGATATTTCTTGTTTTTTAATACTCTTTGATCGAAAAATTATGAAATAATTGTCTCTTTTAATTTCATCAACATCATCAAAAAATGTTTCAATTTCTCCATTGAAAATAATTCGAAAATTTGCAATCAAAAACAAAAGAAAATACGGCTGTTCAGCTGAAATTATAGAATTTGAAACCATCAATGAAATAACGGGGCAACCAATTTCATTCCATTTATTGGCTTTTTCAAAATTCCGGTCATATTCAATTCTGAAATAAAAAAGAACATCCGGTACTTGATAATTGTCTTGTAACATATAATCTTCGTAGGTTAAGGTACACTTTTCAACAGACAATGTTCTCTCCGAAGAAACACAATTTTCACAAAGGGAATAATTCTCCAAATTGGATTTTAATATCTTGTTTCCAGTGATGACAATTTTTAAATTCCTTACCGGATTAACATGCAAAAAGAATTCCCAATAATTTGCGTTTATAATTGCATGGTCATTGGTAAATGAATCGATATGAAGGACAATTTCATCTGGAACTGTGTCATCGTATATCTTTCCTAAAGCAACTATCAATTTTGTAACAATGTTAATAAAATTTATTAATTCGTCTTTCGTTGATATCGACTCAGTATATTGTGACTCATAACATTCATTATAACCCGTATAAGTGAGTGGATCTAAAAATTCAAATCTCTCTTCTGTAATATAAGGGAAACACGAGGGTAAAAATTGCATATCAATATCTAATTCCTCTGCTACCGATAATGTTTTTAAATATCTATTCATCAATTGGCAAGTTCGATAATGCCCTGCATCATTGTAATTGTGAAGAGAGCAAAAACTTGCAATTGGACAATCTGTACAGTTTTTTAAATAACCTTTAGAATTATTACAAGCGAAACAGACTCGGGGACGAATCCACATTGATAGTTCCAAAGGAGTCATACATCTTTCTAATTTTTTTTCAAATTCAATGATATCTTCTGAGGTTTCCTTCCAAAGTTTTTCTCCAGCAATAAACTTTTCATTAATGTGCGATATTTTTTTTTCTTTTAATACTTTTTGAACTGTTTTGCAGAATGTCTCGTGAACTGGTAAATGTTTTAATCGATGTTCCTTGGAGCAATAGGAAATCATGTTGCAAAAACATCTTCTTAAATTTTCCCTCGATTTGCAAATGTAACATTCATTAGGGAAAAACCTTCCCTTGAATGAAGAATTCATTATTGTTTTGATTTTTTTGTTGTCCATAAACAAATTCGAAAACCTGAAAATTAATATTCTTTTAGCAAATTTTAAAAGAAAAGAATTTCTTTCTGCATAGAAATAAATAGTTATTGCAAGTATTATAAAAAATTTCTACAACTTTGTGATATTATTTTTCGAAACAGCCACAACAATTTAAATGATATAATATTTATTATGAACTTCCAGAAAATCTCTTTTTAATTCAAAATTCTTTAATATATTATAATCAAATTATCATGGAAATGAACGAGGTTATTCTGAATTACCTTCACGAATTAGAGTTATGTAGAACTTCTAAATTTATTATGTAATCGAATTTATTCACAAAAAATGCCTTTTAACATTTATCTTTTACGGTGAAAATAATTTTATTTTATTTAAGATAAAAAATCAACAATTAACATAGAATAAATAATAATTTAGAAATTCAACTACCATTATTTTTAATTAATAATCAGAGCCACCTGTTGGAAAAGGTGAATTAAAATGAAATGTTTTTGCCAGCGCGAATATTTAAAAAAAATGTTTAATATCAATAATTAATAGAGAGAAAATAATATTATTATTAGTAATTATAAAAGAAAATAAATATTTAGTCCTTGTAATGAAAAATGAGTAATTACAATAAGTAATTAGTCATTATAATAAATAATTGCCTAATTGATGATTGCAATAAATTTTTAGTGATTATAATTAATAATTCGTAATTACAGCAAATAATTGGCAATGGTAAATAATAATTAGTCATTGTAAAAAATAAATAGTAATTGGTAACTATTATAAATAATTAAATATTGTTCATTATAATAAATAATTAGTTAATATGCAAAGTTGATTATAAATTCAATCATAATCCAAACTTTGCAAATTTTCTTATTTTTATGTGGACGAAGAAAACACCAAGTTTTTTATTGGAAAATTATAATTCTTATTCTGAATTATTTTATTATAAAGATTATTACATTATGTTTCGTATCTTTAATTCTTTCTGTGAAACCATTAATCTTTAACATGTTAAAAAAAATAAGTATTACATTGTAGTTGAAATTGTAATTTAAAAGTAATTGTAGTTTAAATTTCAAAACAAAAAGTTTTCGTATTGATTCTAGTTAGAAAAATAATTATGTTAAGAAGTATTTGTTTTAAACAAATTTAAGAATTTTCCTTTTTAATCCGAAGCGACGTCTCCATCTTCAATGTTTGAAATATTTCGTCGATCGATTGAATCTTCTCATTTAAATGAAAACCAATTTTTTCAAGTTCCACATTTCTTTTCTCTAATTTCACCACTTTATCGGTCGATGAATTCAATTCTTGTTGTAATTTTGACACTTTTTCTGTCGATGAACTTAATTCATGTTGTAATTTTTCGATCTCAGCTTTAAGAGATGAATTCTCTGTAAATAGTGACTCGTTCTCTTTACAAAGAGATTCTAAATCGTCATCCGCTATCGAGTTATCATTGTTCACAATTTTTTCTACATTATTATCTCCTTCTTTGGGTTCAGAAACAATTGTAAAAGAAGAAAAAGACGAAGAAGGTGAAAGAGTTTTGAGATTTTGTTTTTCAGTTTCTTCTGCACTGGAATTATCTTCTGCAATTTCTTCTTCACATGCTCTTTCATTATTATTCTCAATTAATATCGAATCATCTTTTGTTGGAGTTAAACTCGTGTCGTCATTCTCGCTGGAATTATCAGCAGGTGATATTTCTTGTTTTTTAATTTTCTTTGTTTTAAAAATGATGAAGTAACTGTCTTCATCATATTCAGCTTCTTCATTAAAAGCTGTGTTGATTTTTCCATTAAAAAACATTTCCAGATTTTCATACAGAAACGAAAGAAAAAAGGGCATTTTATAATGTTTAGATTTTGAATTAGGCAATAAAATAATGGGGCAACCAATTTCATTCCAGTCATTAAATCTATCAAAATAGTAACAATTTTCAAATCGGAAATTAAAAAGAATATCCGGTACTTGATAATTCTCTTTCAACATATACTCTTTGTAGCTTGATAAATACTTCTCAACAGACAATGTTTTCTCCAGTTTTACACATTTTTCACAAAGGGAATAATTCTCTAAGCTTGATTCAATAGAATAATTCTGCGTGATGACAATTTTTAAATTCCTTATCTTTGGATTAACATGCAAAAAGAATTCCCAATGATTTGCGATTATAATTGCATGGTCATTGGAAAATGAAACGATATGAATGATAATCTTCTCTGGAGTTGTGTCGTATATCTTTTCTAAAGCAACATTCAATTTTGAAGCAATATTAATGAAATGGATTAAATTTTCTTTCGTAGATATCGACAAAATAGAGGAGGAAGTATCATAAACTGTATGAGTTAGTGGATCAAAAATGTCAAATCTATCTTCTGATATATATGGAAAACGCGATGGTAAAAATTGCATATCAATGTTTAATTCCTCTGCTACTGATAATGTTTTTAAATACCTATTCATTAGTCCACAATTGTGGCTATTCATTTGGTTCCTTCTGTGAGATTTACAAAAACTTACAATTGGACAATCTGGACAGTCGTATAAATTAAGTCTTGAATCTCTACAATAAAAACAAACTCGGGGTCGTACCCACATGGAAATTTCCAAAGGAGTCATACATCTTCCTAATTTTTTTTCAAAATTAATCATATATTGAAAGACATTATCCCAAGTGGTATTCGTATTTAAAATCCTTTCACTAATGTGCTTTAATCCTTTTTCTTTTATTACTTCTCGAACTGCTTTGCAGAAACTCTCGTGAATTGGTAAATGTTGTAAACGATGTTCCTCGGAGCAATAGGCAATCATTTTACAATCACATCTTATTAACATGCGCCTCGATTTACAAATAAAGCATTCGTTAGGGAAGAACCTTCCCTTGAATGCAGAATTCATGTTTTTGTCTTCTTTGAAACGAACAGTATCAAAAGATATTTGATAATCTGAAAAAAGAATATTCTTTATTAAATTTTAAAAGAAAAGAGTTTCATTTCAAGTAGAATAGAAATTAATAATTATAGCAAGTATTATAAAAAAATTTTTATATCTTTGCAATTTTATAAGAGATTTATTATTTTTCGAAGCAGCCACATCAACTTAAATCATTTATAATTGAAATTTTTTTATTAAATCATTTATATTTGTTAGTATAAGCATTTAGAAAATTACTTTTTAATTTTAAACACTTTAATATCATAATCAATCAGATAATAATCTGAATTTACTACGTAGTGATATCAAAATTGCCAAAAAATTAAATTTTCTTTTTCCCTGACTTTTCCTGATTTTGTCCCTGACCATAAAGAATATAATTATTTTGATTCACTCTAAAAATTATTAAATACTCAAAAAAAATTTCTATTATATTTATTTACGAATTTCCTATTAATTGTAAAATTATTCGATAACATCAAGAACTTCTTTTTAATAATTGAATTCTTTCGACGAATTTTAATGGAATTATTAAGAATAATTACATTTCTCGAGAAATTCAATTAAAATTGTATTAAAAATAATTGAAATTCTGCGATGAGGTTTTTTTTTTAAAGATTTATGAAGAAAATGATTGAATTCTTGAAAAGAGTTTTATATTATTTATGAAAATAATTAAATGTTTGCTTAAAATTCTATTAAATTTTTAAACCTAATTAATTAAATATATATTACAAAATTTAACTTATTTCAGAAGAATTTGAATAATTAAAATTTTTCAAAAGTCTAAGTTTTTTAAAATTTCTAATTATAAATATTATTATTCGAAACTATACGGACAAAAAATCGAGCAGAATGGATGGATTTTGAATAAGATTCTAATTTTCTAAATTACCCTCACGAATTGGAATAATAGAAGTTCTGAATTTAAATATGTATGCGAAATATTATTCACAAAAAAACCCTTTCATCATTTATCTTTTATATGAAAATAATTTGTTTTTTTTAACATTGAGATACGGTAAATAAACAATAACTTCATACTTACATTTTTAAAAGAAAATATTCACAACAAAATTATTTTCTTTATTCTTTTCAAGAAGACTATCTTCTTGATTCTTTTTGATCTTTTCCAGCGTCTGCCAGTGTCCAACATAGAATAATTAATGACTTAGAACCTCAACTAGCACTAAATTATAGTTTAATTCATTTAAATTGTTAATCAGAGCCACCTACAGCAAAAAGTGAATTAATTATCAATCAAACGTATGTTTCTTGCCGGCGCGAATATTTCAAAAAAATTATAAATAATATAATGTCAGAAATTAATTGAAAAAATTTCACAAAACAAAAAAAGTTTTATTTATAGTAAAATTTTCTATTTATCAATTTTTATTAAAATTTACTCTAGACGAAAAATACAAAAAATTGTAAATGAGGAAATTCTTGGTGTTCAATATTATTCCTAATTTTAAATTGAAACCAAAATTCGGTATAGCTCCAAAATATTCAATTTATTCAATTATTAATAATTGATTTATCTTTTAATTAATTCCTTATATTTTACTGATGCAAAATTTTAATCATTATTAAAATTTCAAACAGTTTTGCTATTATTATTATTATTATTATTATTATTATTATTATTATTATTATTATTATTATTATTATTAATTAACAATAATAAATAATTAGTAATTACAATGAATAATAATCATTTATTATAATAAAAAGTAAATATAATAAGTCATTGTAATAAATAATTACTTATTATATTAAATTAGTTATTGCTTATTATTGTAATATAACAATTAGTCAATATGAAAAATAATGAATTATAAATTCAATTAAAGCGATGACAAACTTTAATACTTTATTAATTTCTATGTATAGTGTAAATCTCTTTATTTCTTATAGAAAAATATTTTTTATGAATTGAAATAACACACTAAATTCTTATAGTTCAGTATGATTCAATTATCGACACTATTCGACAAATATCCTTGTAAATATTTGCAATAATAATTAAATAATTTTTACATTAGTTTAGAGATTCAATGAAGAATACAGAAGAAATTTTTCTAATGACATAAGTAAAATAAATATATAAATGGACATATTGATTCCAATAAGAAAAATATGTTAATAAGTACTTTTTTTAAAAGAAATTTATGAATTTTCCTTCTCAACCTGAAGCAACGTCTCCATCTTCAATGTTTGGAATATTTCGTCTATCGATTGAATTTTTTCCTTTAATTGAAAATCACTTTTCTCAAATTCCTCAATTCTCTTCTGCAATTTCGCCACTTCATCGGTCGATGAATTCAATTCTTGTTGTAATTTTGCCACTTCATCGGTCGATGAATTCAATTCTTGTTTCAATTTCCCCACTTCATCGGTAGATGAATTCAATTTTTGTTTCAATTTCGCCACTTCATCGGTAGATGAATTCAATTTTTGTTTCAATTTCGCCACTTCATCGGTCGATGAATTCAATTTTTGTTTCAATCTCGCCACTTCATCGGTCGATGAATTCAATTTCGCCACTTCAAGGGTCGATAAATTCAATTTTTGTTTCAATTTCGCCACTTCAACGGTCGATGAGTTCAATTCTTGTTTCAATTTCGCCACTTCATCGATCGATGAATTCAATTCTTGCTGTTTTTTAATTTTTCTTGATTCAAAAATGATGAAATAACTGTCTATATCAAATTCACCTTCTTCATTAATAACTGTGTTAATTTTTCCATTGAAAATAATTTGAAAATTTCCAAACAAAAACGAATGAAAATAGTGCTTTTTACAGCGATTAAATTCTGAATCAGCCAATAAAATAATGGGGCAACCAATTCTATTCCATGCATTAAACCTTTTAAAATTGTAATCATTCGCAATTCTGAAATGAAAAAGAACATCCGGTAGTTGATAATAGCTTTTTAAAACATAATCTTCGTAGGTCGATGAATACTTTTCAACAGACAATGTTTTCTCCAGTTTTACACATTTTTCACAAAGCGAATAATTCATCAAACTGTTTTGTAATAACCTACTTCCAGTGATGATAATTTTTAAATTCCTTATCTTTGGATAAACATGTAAAAGAAATTCCCAATAATTTGCGTTTATAATTGCGTGATCATGGGTAAATGCATCGATATGAAGAACAATTTTCTCTGGCATTGTGTTGTATATCTTTGTTAAAGCAAAACTCAATCTTGAAGCAATGTTAATAAAATCCAATAAACTTTGTTTCGTAGATATTGACTCTTTGCATTGTGAATCAGAAGAAGAATCATTCATTGAATAAGTGAGTGGATCTAAGAATTCAAATCTCTCTTCTGTAGTATATGGAAAATATGATGGTAAAAATTGCATGTCAATGTTTAGTTCGTCTAATAGTGATAATGTTTTTAAATATCTATTCATTAGTGTACAATTATCATGGTATTCGTTACTATAGTTAATTCTATAGTGAATATAACAAAAACTTGCAATTGGACACTTTGGACAGTCAGACAACATTTGTGGAAAATTATTACAATAAAAACAAACTCGGGGACGTATCCACATTGAAAGTTCCAAAGGAGTCATACGTCTTCCTAATTTTGTTTCAAATTGAAGCATATCTTCTGAACCATTATTCCATTTGTTTTCATCTTTAGTAGTAAACTTTTCATTAATGTACAATAATCCTTTCTCTTTTAATACTTTATTTACAGTTTGGCAAAAATGTTCGTGGATTGGCAGATGTTCTAGTCGATGTTTCTCGGAGCAATATGAAATCATGTTGCATTTACACATTCGTAGATTTTGTCTACTCCGACAAATGTGACATTCATTCGGGAAGAACCTTTCTTTGAATGATAAGTTCATTTTTTTATCTTCTTAGTGACAAGTGGAATCGAAAACCTGAAAATAATGTCGTAATTAGATTATCTTGGAAATTATTCTTAAACTAGCATAAGTACGCAAAATTTTCAATTGCTTCAATTTTTTAATTTTCGAAAATCCAATTATTTAAAAAAAATTCTAATTACATTTTTTCAAGAAACAAATTTTTCAGAATTTCTAAATTAAATTATTCAAAACTTGAATATACTTTTTGTTAAACAAAAAATTAAAAACTCATTCTTATATTTTGTTTTTCCAAAAGAATTAAATCTTTAAATCATTTCAATGAAAAACAATTTGAAATTTAATTATTTCTAAAAATTGCAACTGTAATTTTTTCAAAATTCAATTATTCTTTTATAGAATTTTTGAATAAAATTATTCAAGACTTTAAAAATTTTTAAAGAAAAATAATGTAATTAATAATTTTTTAAAATAAAAATTTTAATATTTTTATACGTTTGCTTCCCTTAAATTTTCAAAAAATTTAATTTAAAAATCTTTTAAAATTTATTTAATTTCTAAAATTAATGTTTTAAAGCTTCAAGTATTCAATTTTCTAAAATTTTAACTAAAACTTTTTTTTTAAATCAATTCCTGTCCGAATTCAACTACGAAAATTGAGGTATTTAAATAGAATAAAAAATAATTTTTGCAAATTCATAATAATGTATTTTCAAAAATAAAATTATATTTTATAGACAATTTTGAAAGAGAAACAAATAAAATTCTTTAAAATATAAAATTTGATTTTATAAAATTTTACAAAATTTCCAATTGTTTCAATTTAAAAATTTATTATTTTCGTGAATTCATGTAAGTCAAAAAATCATTTATATTTTTCAAAAACCTTATTTTTTTCGGAATTTACAAATTATATCTTTCAAATTTCAATCATTTTTGTAAAATAAATTTCTAATTATTTTCTAAAGTTTTAACCAAAATTCTTCTTTAAATCAATTCTTATCAAAATTCAAGTATGAGAATTCAATTATTTGAATACAAAAATAAATCATTCCTAAAATAATAATTATTTTAAAAAATTGCAACTGTACTTCTTTATTGAGTTTCTAAGATTTGAGTTAAATTTTTTTACTTCCCTTATTTTATTATAGCTAATATATACAAATTAACTGTCAAACTTTTGACATAACAATTCGAATTATAAAACAATTTAGAATCAAAAAACACTAAAATCACGTGAGGACTTTTATTTTTTACAGTGAAAATAATTTTATTTCTTTGATTTTACAAAAAAAATCAATAAATTAACAATAAATTTATACTTACATTTAAGAAAATATTCCGAAAATTGTTTTCTTTTTTCCAGTTTTTAACACAGAATAATTAATAATTTAGAACCTCAACTACCACTATTTTTAATTAATAATCAGAGCCACCTGTTGGAAAAAGTGAATTAAAATGTATTGTTTCTGCCGGCGCGAATATTTTTTAAAAAATTATTAATTTAGCAGCAAAATTAAAAAAAAAAAATTCATATTTTCAATTACTTTACAATATTTGACAATTTTTATTAAAATTTACTCCAAACGAAAAGAAAATACAAAAAATTACCTGAAAATTTCCAGGTAGTTCTGGTTTTACTATTTAAATAATAGTAAACAAACTTTATTAAAATTTACTTCAGACAAAAAGTACGAAAAATGACCGAAAATTGAAAGTATTATAAAAAAAATTTATACATTATTGCAATTTCATTGGAGATTTTTTATTTTACTATAAAAATAGTTTAAAAAATTTTGTTTAAATTTTACAGCAGACACAGAAAATACAAAAAATTACCATAAATTTCAAGATATTTTAACTTTTACTATAAAAATAGTAAAAAAAAAAAAAATTACTCGTTTTTCGCGTGGTAAAAAAATAAATGAAACTAAAAAAGAAATTTCCAATTTACATATTAATTTATTGAAAAAAAAGTTTACAATAAGAATAAGTGATTTTAACTTGAATAGCTTAAATTTATTTCCATTAGATGAAAATAAATTAAAAAAAATAAAATTTCCATCTAATTCATTAATAGATGAAAATAACAATAATATAGATTAATTTTTGAAATAATAATATAATTATGGAAATATTAGTATCATTATGGAAATATTAATATAATTAAAAATATATTAATGTAATTAAGAAAAAATTAAGAATGTAATAAAAAAAAGAACTTACTTAATTGCAATTAAGTAATTTTTTTCGTAAGCAACGAAACAATAATTTCATTTTCATTGTTCGCAATATCAATAATATCGGACGATATTTTCCTCAACAATTTGTTCTTTTCATTGAAATGAGAATAAATTTCTTCAATTATTGTCTGTAATTTCGCCACTTCCTCGACAGATGAATTTAATTCCTGCCGTAATTTATCATTTTCATTTTTCAAATACAAAACATGTTTCATTAAAAACGATTGACGGAAATCAATTTTATCGTTTTTGTTAATTTTTCCCAATTCAATTGCCATTAATTCACATTCTTTCCTATCATTTCCTTCATTTTCTTTTCTAGCTTCCACATTATTATTCTTCATATTTTCTTCCTCTTCATCATCAACAGACCCTGAATTTTTCGATTTTAAATCAAACTGATCATTTTTCGATTCTTTGGCACTTTTTTCAGTATCGAAAGCATTTTTTGATTCTTTGTCACTTTTTTCAGTATCGAAAACATTTTTCGATTCTTTGCTTTTTTCATCAGAACATTTTTTCGATTCGGATAAACAATTCGTAAATGCATCAAAACTCGAATTGAAATCATCAGTTGACTTTAAATTTTTTCCACCTTGACTCGAAATATCGAGAAATAATTTTGCACTTTCATTCACTCTCGTTTGCAAAATAACGAAATAATCATCGTCTTCAAATGGCGTTGAATCACTGAATGGCGTTTTAATTTGCACCTCGCCAATAATTCGAAACATGACGTAAAGAAGTGAGAGAAAATTTTGCGTCCTATGAAAATTTAATTTCGAACTAATCATTAAAATAATTGGACAATTAATTTGACTCCAACGATTGGATCTTTCGAAATCACGTTCGTCCTCAATTTTAAAGTAAAAAAGAATGTCGGGCGCTTGATAATTATTTTGCACAACATAATAATTGTAATAATAATCCTCATAGGTGAGGGAATAATTTTTAACGCTCAGTGTTTTTGAGAATTTTACACAATTCTCACAGAGGGGTAAATTCTTTAAATTATAGTCCAATGTGTTGATGCCGATAATAATGATTTTTAGGTGCTTTAAATTTGGATTTAGATGAAGGAGAAATTCCCAGTAATTTTCCTTTGTTATTGCGTGATCGTAGGAGAGTGCGTCGACGTGAATTGTCAATTCCTCGGGCATTGTTTCGTAAACTTTTTGCAATGCACTGTTAAATTTTGAAGCGACGTCGAGGAAATCGATTAGATTAATTTTCATTTCTCTCGATTGTTCACTTCTTGTTTCGAAATCGGCAACTTTGAATGTGTAGGTTAATAGATCGATAATTCCGAATTTTGTCTCTTCGGCGAAGAAGGGAAATTTTGAGGATAGAAATTTTAGATCGAGATTTAATTCTTCGCTTTTTGTTATTATGTTCAAATAGCGTCGCATTGTGGAACAATTTTTCTCGTGAACCTCATCGTCGAAGTGACGTTTGCAAAAAGTCGCGACTGGACATCGAGGGCAATTGTATAAATTTTCTTGCTTCGATTCGCGGCACACGTAACAAATTCGAGATGATTTTAACATTCCAAGTTCCAGTGGCGTCATGCAGCGTCCTAATTTTGTTATTATTTCCTTGCAAATTTCCTCTCTTCTTCTACTCCAATCGGAACCGTGGAGGGAAAATAGTTCTTCGTAAATGTGTGAAAGTCCTTTTTCTTTTGTTAATTTTGTCAGAACTTGACAGAAGCTTTCATGAATTGGCAAATGTTTTTGGCGATGATCCTCCGAGCAGTAAGAAATCATGTTACATTCGCATCTTATTAATTTATTTCTCGATTTGCATTCGTAACATTCGTTGGGAAAAAATCTTGCATTCTTTGAATAATTCATTGTTGCGCCTTTGAGTGTCGAAAAGAATTAGAAAAAAAACTTCTCCATACCTGAAAATAATTTACAAACAATTTAGAAATTATAATTTACGAAATAAAAAATAATCACGCGAAATTATTATATAAATCTGAACGTAAAATAATAATTAACTTCCCGCCCGCCTTTCGTTTAGAAACAAAAATTATTTTAAATAATTAAATAATTTTAAATTATTTTTAAATAATAATAATTATTGTAAATAATTCTTTTTTTCCTAAGTTTTGCAATAATTTTCCTTTTTAAATGTTTTCAATTTTAGAATTAATTCATTTCAAGAATTTTATCAACATTTTTTTCAATAATTGAATTCTTTCGAGAAAATGTCATTAAAATTGTACTGAAAATAATTTAATTCTTGGAAAGATTTTTATTACAATTCTTGAAAATAATTGAATTGTTTTTAAGAATTTATTTCAATATTCTTGAAAATAATGGAGTTTTTTTTAATAATTTTTTTTACTGAAAATTTGGAAAGAAATTGGATTTTATAAAGAATTTAATTATTTTCAATAATTGTAATAAAATTCTTTGCAAAAAATCAATTTTTGAATAATAAAAATCTTGGTAAAAAATTCAATTATTTTTATATAAATAATAAAATTCTTATCAGAATTTCACTTATTTTCAATACAATTTCAATTAATTTCACCGAAAACTTCAATTATTTTAAAAAAATTATGTTAAAATTCTCCGAGAAAATTCAATTATTTTGAAAAATAATTCAATTTTTCACAGGTGTTCAATTATTTAAAAAACTTTTAATAAAATTCAATTTAAAATTTTATTTTTAAAAACATTGTAAAAATTCTCCGAGAAAATTCAATTATTTTGAAAAATAATTCATTTTTTCACAGAAGTTCAATGAATTAAAAAACTTTTAATAAAATTCAATTCAAAAATTCAATTATTTTAAACACAATTTTACTTATATTCCAGGGAAAATTAAATTATTATTTTTAAACATTTTTTTTTAATTCTTCAAAACAATTCAATAATGTCAAAAAAATGGTAAATTTTTCACTGAAATTCAATTATTTTAAATACATTTTTAATAAAATTCTTCTCAAAAAAGTCACTTATTTTTTAAAATTTTACAAAAATCGAATTATTTATAGAAATAATAAATTCTTTTGCAGGGATTCAATTATTTAAAAAAGTTTTAATGAAATTCGATTCAAGAATTCAATTATTTTCAAAAATAATTAAATTGTCGATGTATACTGAAAATCATTGAATTCTTGTAAAGTACCTATTTATAAAAAATTTTTAAAATAATTGACTTATTTCAAGAATTTTATCAACATTTTTTTCAATAATTGAATTCTTTCGAGAAAATGTAATTAAAATTCTATTGAAAATAATTTAATTCTTTGTCAAGATTTTTATTATAAATTCTTTAAAATATTTGAATTGTTTTTAAGAATTTATTTTAATATTCTTGAAAATAATGAAGATTTTTTAAAATAATTTTTACTCAAAATGTTGAAAATACTTGAATTTAAAGAAGAATAATTGAACCTTTTAGAGAAATTTTATTAAAATTGTATTGAAAATAATTGAATTTCTCAGAAGAATTTTATTATTTACAAAAATAATTGAATTCTTGCCAAGAATTTTAAAATTTATAAAAATAATTGAATTGTTTCGAACTCGAAGAATTTTATCAGAATTTTGGAAAATAATTGAATTTTTATTAAAACTCTTGAAAATAATTAAATTTAAATAATATTTTGAAAAATAATTCTATTCTTTCGAGAAATTTCATTCAAATTGTATTGAAAATAATTCTGAATTTTGGAAAATAATTGAATTTTTTGAAGGAATTTTATTAAAAATTTCGAAAAATAATGATTTTTTTAAAAAGAATTTTATTAAAATTGTCAAAAATAATTGAATTTATATTGTTTAAATTTTAAATTTGTAATCATTCAAATAAATTGATGTTTATTCTTGAAAATACATCATTTTTTAATTTACAAAATAATAAATAAATTATTGTGAATTGTGCTGAAAAATTTTAGGTTATGTTTATCAGTTTTTTTTATAAATCTTGTAAAGTATAGGAAATAATTTTTATTCAATATTATTTGCACGTTAATCTTTGAAATATATATTTTTGCTTTATAAATAAAGAAAAGGACAAAATTACAGAGGAATCTTTAAAAGGGTTTAAAAGAAATTAAAAAACAAAAACCTAGGTATATAATTTTTTTACTGGTAAAAAATAAAATTCAGTAATTAGCTCTATTCGGAAATGTTTCTTACAAGATTTATGTTTTATATAAAAAAAATAATTTGTTATTAATTATTACGAAAAAGTATGGAAATGAAAGAAAATTTACTTACATCAACAAAGATTGACAATAATTGACAATGAGAATTGACAATAATAACAATGAAAAAAAATTTCGTTTTCGCCATAGAAGAATAAATTACAGAACATAGAACCAAAAATCCATTATATGGATGATTAAGGTACATTTACAGTAAAACAGGACGTGCTCAAAAGCGCCAAAAGCGAATTATTATTATTTAATTGAAAAAAATTTTAATTCGAGGGCGAAAAAATAACAACTAATTAAAAATTTATCTAAGAAAATTATTAAAGTTAATACCTCATTTAAATTAGAAAATAAAATTAATTTAAAGGTTTTAATAAAAAGAAAATAAAAAGCAAAGAAATAAAGGAAAACCTGAAAGAAAATTGAATCGATATTTGGAAATTTAAAAAAAAAATTCCATAAATTGAATTGTGCATTGTAAACAGTAAAACTATTTTTTATTTTTTCAGATTGAGTCCCACTGGTTTTTTTTGTTGACTTCAGAAATAAATTTTGAGAAAATGAGACAACTTCGACAAGGATTACTTTCAATGATTCAAATTCTGCCCGAACATCAAGAAAAATTGTTTTGTAAGTAATTTTTTTCTTCTTATAAATTATTTATTATTATTTACTTCTAATAAATATTCGTCGTGAAACTTAATATTTATTTTATTATTATTATAAACAGAGAGGAACTTTATGAAATAAATAAATATAATTGTTATTTTGAAATAAATAAAATATTTCATGTTAGGACATATCAGGTATTTTACTTATAAATTAAATTAAATATTTAATTGAATATTGAATCAAGAAATAATAGTGAAAATAATCAAAAAATTTTTATAAAACAAGTTTTTTTATTTTACAAATAATACTTTTTTTTTGATACAAAAAATGACCGAATTTTTTTTTTTTTTTATTCCTGAAGAATACACTCGTTTTTTTCTGCAATTCTAGAAATTAAGTTCCAAATTTAACGATTTAGCAATAAAAGTCAATAGAGCAGTAGTTTTTTCCATTAATCCCTGACTCTGGTCATACTTAGAACTGGTATTAATTTTAAACAATAATGGATTCTTTTGTTGCTTCAAATTTCCAATTTTGTTTTGTAAAGTTGCAGTGAATTTCAACGAATGCAATGGATCAACATACCCTGCATAATCGTAAGCTGTCAGTAACGTTGCCGGATATTGTTCATTATTTTTCGGCACTTTAACATTATGAAGCGGTGATAATTTAATTAGATTCTCAAAATCTTGCCTACGGTCAGAATTACCGAATGTAAATATTAAATAATCACTAGATGTGAATTTATGAAAACGTAAAGTATCAAAGATTCCATTAGAGATCAAAGCAGCACCAAATAAATTCGGTCTTTGATTAATGCAAGCGCCAACAATTAAACCCCCTGCAACATCTCCTCTGATTGTCAATTTTTCCCTCGATGTGTATCCATTTTTAATGAGATATTCAGCGGCCGATTGAAAATCATCGATTCCATTTTGTCTATTCTGCAAAATTCCATCTTTGTGCCATTTATCATTAGACTCCTCACTTCCTCGAATTTGTGGTTTGGCTAAAATTCCATTAAAATTCTGTGTAAAAATTACATTCTCGTCATGATAGAAAGATGAGATTGTGATGCCTCCATTTATGGAAAGAAGTGCTGGCATTGATCTATCAAGTTTTGCACCCTTTCTCATCACGATTGTCATTGGAATTTGTGTACCGTCCTTACTCGGATAGAAGATGCGAAATATTTCATAGAGACTTGGATCGAAATTTTTTACTTTTGATTCATAATAAATTTCCGGTTTATCAAATGAATTTACATTTACTCTGTAGATTATTTTCGGAATTAAGAATGACGTGAAACTAAAAAAGTAATCTGGATGTTTTCTATTTCCATATTTCGTCATTAAAATTGTTCCAAAACCGACTTGAAGTTTTTTTATTAATCTCCCACTTTCCAAACTGTGCAATTGTAAAATGTAATCTGTATCACAAGATACGCAAGCTCTATCGCAATAATACTGAATAACGAATTTATCATTATCCACAATTGTCACATCTCTGATGATTTTGTCCGATTCTTCGGATACTAAAGTTGTCCAATTTTCTTGTTTGTAATTCAATACATCGATTGCTATTACTTTCCATTTTGGAGCATTTAAATTTGTTCGGAAAATTCCCTTTGTACCGTCATTTCCAATATACTGAAAATAGAAAAGAAAATCATTAGGTACTGTCTATTAATTTTAATTATAAATTGTCTATTCTCTCTTAAACGATATTTTCTTTATTTTTCTTTTAACCTGATTATTTCTGACATTACCAGACATCGCACTCGATAATTAATTTTTTAAAAATAGCAAAATGTAGCTTTCAAACTAAAGAAAAGTAGTAAAAAAGTAGCTATCGAAAAATTAAACTTGACTACAAAAAAAAATCGTTTTAAACACTTCACAAAACAGACAACAATTCCATTCCATATTTTTTATTTTCCCGACTTTTTTCTAATTTTCATCAAAAATATTATTTACTTCTTTCTTATCCTACTGCTAATAAATTCAATTCCTGCAACGAATTTTATTATTCATCAAAGAATTTAAATATTTATAAAAATAATTTAATTCTTACGAAGAATTTTCTAAAAATTTTTAAATAATTGATTTCTTTCGACTAATTTTATGCAAATTCTCATTTAAACAATTGAATTTCTAAGCAATTTTTATTATTCATGAAAAACATTTAATTCTTACAAAAATGTTTACAAAATTTTTTTTAAATAATTGAATTCTGTTTGGAAATTTCATGATAATAGTAAATATTGAAAATAATTGAATTTTAGCAAACGATTTTATAAGCATTAAATTTAACAAAAAGAATTCTATTAAAATTTCTGACAATAATTGAATGTCTGTGTGATATTTTATTAAATTTTTTGAAAATAATTGAATTCCTAAAAACCATTTTATTATTTACGAAAATAATTGAATTCTTGCAAGCAATTTTATAAGAATTTAAAAAATTTTAAATTTCAATTTTTTTAATTTAAAATAATTGAATTTCCAAGAAGAAATTTATTACTTTTAAAAATAATTGAATAATTGATGAATATTGTTATTTATGAAAATAATTGAATTTTGCAAAGAATTTTATAAAAATGCCTCAAAATAATTGAATTTTCGGGAACAATTTTGTTATTTATCTTGAATAATTGAATTCTTTAGAAGAATTATTTATGTAAATAATTGAATTCTAGGGAAACATTTTATTAAAATCTAAAAGAATAATTGAATTATTTCAAAAAAATTTATATAAAATTGTATTTAAAATAATTGATTTCTTTCGAACAATTTTAATAAAATATTTGAAAATAATTAAATTCCTGTGAAAAATTCTAATATTTTTTGTAAATAATTTCATTCTTCCAAAGAATTCTATAAAAACATTTTTTTTAATAATTGATTTTTCGAGGAATTGAAATGAAATTCTTAAGAATAATTGAAATTTATTATTTATGAAAATAATTGAATAGTTGCTAAGAAATTTTGTTAAAATTTTCAAAAATAATTGAATTCTTCAAAAGAATTCCATTATTTATGAACATAATTGAATTATTGCGAAAAATTTTATTAAAATGTTTAAAAATAATTGAATTCTTGTGATGAATATTGTTATTTATGAAAATAATTGAATTTTGCAAAGAATTTTATTAAAATGCCTCAAAATAATCGAATTTTCGAGAATAATTTTGTTATTTATCGACATAGTTGAATTCTTTCGAAGAATTATTTATAATATAAATAATTGAATTCTCGGGAAGAATTTTATTAAAGACTAAAAGAATAATTGAATTATTTCAAAAAATTTTAATTAATATAATTGATTTCTTTCGAACAATTTTATTAAAATATTTGAAAATAATTGAATTCCTGTGAAAAATTCTAATATTTTTTGTAAATAATTAAATTCTTCCAAAGAATTTAAAAAAATGTTTTTTTAAATAATCGATTTTTTCGAGGAATTGAAATTAAAATTTTATGAATAATTACATTTTTCAACCAATTACTGTAAAATTGTATTAAAAATAATTGAAATCCTCTAATGAATTTTATTATTTATAAAAATAATTAAATAGTTGCACAGAATTATGTTAAAATTTTCAAAAATAATTGATTATTCCTGAGGAGAATTTTAATATTTATAAAAATAATTGAATTATTATGAAAAATTTTATTAAAATGTTTAAAAAGAATTAAATTTCTATGAAGAATTTTGTTATTTTTAAAAATAATTGAATTCTTGAGAAGAATTCATTAAAACCTAAAAGGATATTGAATTATTTCAAAAAAATTTAATTAAAATTGTGTTTAAAAAAATTGATTTCTTTCGAACAATTTTATTAAAATATTTGAAAATAATTGAATTTCTGAGAAGAATTTGATTATTTATGAACATAATTGAATTATTGTGAAAAATTTAATTAAAATTGTATTAAAAATAATTGAAATCCTGCGATAAATTTTATTATTTATGAAAATAATTAAATAGTTGCACAGAATTTTGTTAAAATTTTCAAAGATAATGGAATTCATGAGAAGAATTTGATTATTTATGAAAATAAGAAAAATTTTATTAAAATGTTTAAAAAGAATTAAATTTCTGTGAAGAATTTTGTTATTTTTGAAAATAATTGAATTTTTCGATTAATTAATTTAAAATTGTATTAAAAAAAATTGAAATTCTTCGATGGGTTTTATAATTTATGAAAATAATTGAATTCTTGCGAACAATTTTATTAGAATTTTTTTAAATAATTGAATTTTCAAGAAGAAATATTTTAATTTTTAAAATAATTGAATTTTGCAATGAATTATAATAAAATGCCTCAAAATAATTTAATTTTCAAAAATAATTTTGTTATTTATCTTTAATAATATTGAATTTTTTCGAAGAATTGGTTATGTAAATAATTGAATTCTCGGGAAGAATTTTATTAAAATCTAAAAGAACAATTGAATTATTTCAAAAAAATGTAATTAAAATTGTATTAAAAATAATTGAAATCCTGCGATAAATTTTATTATTTATGAAAATAATTAAATAGTTGCAAAGAACTTTGTTTAAATTTTCAAAAATAATTGAATTCCTAAGAAGAATTTTATTATTTATGAAAAGTAATTGAATTATTGCGAAAAATTTTATTATCAAATGTCTTCAAAGAATTGAATTTCTGTGAAAAATTTTGTTATTTTTGATAATAATTGAATTCTTCATAAGAATTTTATAAACATTGTTTTAAATAATTAATTTTTTCGAAATTTAATAAACATTATGAAAATTTTGTTTTAAATAATTGAATTCTTGTGGAAAACTTTATTTGTGAAAATAATTGAATTATTCGATTATAATTAATTTAAAATAGCATTAAAAATAATTGAAATTCTTCGATGATTTTAATTATTTATGAATTTAATGTTATGAACAATGTTATTTTTAGTGAAAGTAATGGAATTATTGTGAAGAATCGTATAAAAATGTTGTTAAATAATTGATTTTTTCGAAATTTTTTTGAAAATGCTATTCTAAATTAATTGAATTTCTATGGAAATTTTATTATTTATGAAAATAATTGAATTTTGGATGAAGAAAACTTTATATAAACTAACCACGTAGCGTGAATCCGTTTCAACGATGATTTCGGTCAAATTGAATATTCCATTTATTTCCTCTGTTAGTTCAGTAAAATAAAGCGAATTCTTTCCAGTAGCACTTTTTTTCGAAACAAACAACCATTGAACACAGTTTGAAACGTCGGTGTATCTGCAAATTTAAATGCAACATTTTAATCCAAATGGATCGATTTTAAGACGCAAAAAATTGCTTTAGTCGTTTAAATATTTAAGAAGAAGATTAGTGTATAAACTCACATTTTTTGAGGTTTTTCATCAGGAAAATCGACAACAACAATGTCTTCAGACTGAGACGTGCCAATTTTGTGATAATAAACTTTCACATCCTCCTCGATTTTCCTTCTTGAATTCTTTTGTGGAGAATAATTGTAAAAAATTCCCAAATTACCACGAGTCCAAACTGCACTAAAAAATTCTACTCCTTGCAAAATATCAGAATATTTTTCTCCTGTAAAATAAATGCATTATTAGTAAATTTATCGTCCTTTGACAATTATAAGTTTGTTGAGTTTGTAAATATTCTCAATTTTAATTGTAAATATTGTTCATTTTAATGAATTCTTATTGAAAATATTGTTAAAACTGAATAAGTGACTGAATTCATTAGTTTAAAATAAATTCTAACGAAATTAAAAAAGTCAGCAAAAAATTATAGTTTGTTAGTAAAAGCAAAAATAAATATCAGAATAATTTTGATGTTATAAATATATTTTCATACCTGTCTCTGCATTCATGAAATGAATATCCCTCCTAATATCAAAATCGGTGGTTTTGTTTTCAATAAATGTGTAAGCAACTACACTACCATCTTCACTGAATTTTGTTAAAGGATGAAATAATGTTTTATTGTTCGTCGAGAAATTTTTGGGATCAATAAATACTTTTGGTTCACCGCTCTCCAAAGTTTCCTGAACATATGAAACTCCATTTTTCACAAAATAATATTTGTCTCCATGTCTTTCGGGATTTGTGTGATGAGTAGATTTTTCTCCCAGTTCCTTCAGACGATTTTCTATAGATTTTTTCACACTTGACGGTGAATTCAAATAGGAATCAGTTAATGAATTCTGAGCCTCTATGAAATTTGCCGTTTCCTCTGATTTTGAATTTTCAAGCCAACGATATGGATCGGAAATTTTCACTCCATGATAATTATTGACTACATTATCACGACGCGCTTCAGGATAGTTGAAATTTGCCGCTTCAGTTGGAAATATTGTCTCGATACTTTTTCCAGAAATTAAAGTAATCGATAAGATGGAAAAAAGGAAATTTGTCAGGAATCTCATGATTCCTTTTTGGTGCTAGAGATACAAATACACGAACACTGAAATTAATTTCGATTAGAATTTTTTTTCGTATGATGAACTACACTCGAAACACTCCCTGCGAACGGTCTACAAACACTGAAGATCCTACCACTTTGTGCCAATGATTATTTATTCGAAAAATTTAGTTTTGAAAATGTGTGGAAGGGGAATTTTGACAAAAATGATATTTTAATGGCAAGATATTTAAAATGTAATTAAGGAACAATAATTCTTTTTTAATAGCCATCGATTAGTCTAATAGCTTTTCGAACAAAAGGATAGTTTTAACGAAATACTTTCGTAAAATCATTTTCTATGTGAAGTACTCTAAAAATTAGAGAAATTTATAAAAAGACGAGTGATAATATTTTTCTACATTACTCACTGACCAGAAATGCTTATTTCTCTCGTAAACTAATTTTAAACGATTCCCGACTCTTAGGCTCATTAAAATTAATTCTTCATTAAATTACTATATTGTGAATGAAAGTTTTACTTTTCTTTTTTGTTGAGAACGTTCATTCATTAAAAATTAATCAATTTAAATATTTATTCACTAAACATTTATTTTTAACGTGTCTTTTATAACTAAAAAAATTAGAGATAAATAATTTGTTATCAATATTAGTGTACAAATTATTTGTACAGTATAATTAAAATAAAAAATTAAAATTAACTACGCCCATTATCAATATCGTTAATTTTAATTACGCGATTACAAATTTTTAACAGTTTATGAATTTTAATAACGAAATTTTTTTTTTTATATAATAAGTTTAATTCTTTAAAATAAATTCAATTATTTTCCAAATATTTAATTAGAATTCTTCAAAAATACGATTATATTTCCAAATAATTTATAAAAGTAAACAAATAAAATTCACTAAAATATAAAATTCATTTCAATGAAATTTGACAAAATTTTTAATTGTTTCAATTTTTTAAAATTATTTTCCGAAATACAATTATTTTCCGAAAAGATTTCAATTACATTGTTTTAAGAAAGAAATTTTTTTGGAATTGCTAAATTAAATTATTCAAAACTTGAATACTTTTTATTAAACAAAAATTTAAAAACTCATTCTTATTTATTTTTCCAAAAGAATTAAAACTTTAAATAATTTGAATGAAAAACCATTTGAAATTTAATTATTTCTAAAAATTGCAACTGTAATTCATCCAAAATTCAATTTTTTTTTTTTAGAATTTTCGAATAAAATTATTCAAGACTTTAAGAATTTTTAAAGAAAAATAATATAATTAATAATTTTTGAAAATAAAAATTTAAATATTTTTATACTTTTGCTTTCCTTAAATTTTCAAAGAATTTAATTTAAAAATCTTTTACAATTTTCAACTGATGAAATTTCTAAATAAACCAGCTTTTAATTAAAAGAATTTTTATTTATGAAATTTTCTTTTATCGAATTTATGCGGAAAATATCCAGACATTTAAAAAATATGTTTAGAAAAATTTAATTTTTACTGCATTTGCGATTATTTTAGGGGAATTTTAATATTTGAAAAAGAACATTATTTTACTGAAAAAATTGGATGCTTTTAATTTTTGTTTTTTTATTTGACATTTCTTTTAAGTATTGACAAGAATTAATATTTTTCTTACGAACATTTTGATGTTAATTTAGTCTCTATTTAAGTATAAAAATACTAACATTTCGGATTCTTTTTTTTTTTTATTTTCTATTCGAAATGAATATTCGACGTGAAGATTTTGATTTCGGTTATAAAAATCCGTACTCACAATTTAAATCCTTTTAAACTTTCTCGTAATTCTTCTTCGTATGAAATAAATTTTCGGCAACGACATATTTTGACTTTTGCTTAATAATTATTTCCACCCAATTTGAATCTTCTTGATTTTTTGCAGCTGTTACTTTTCTTTAAAATATCCATAGCAGCTTCTGAAAAAAGAATAAAAATTTCAATAATTTTGCTAAATAAATAATTAAATATTATTCACTTATTTTTTAACCCCAAGGAATTATATTTCTCAAATTCCAATTTTAAACCTTTTGAAAATTAATTTTTTCTGAAAACTACCTACAAATGTAACCCTATCCAAAATTTAATTATTTTCTACAATATTCTTAAATAAGCTTCTTCTCAAAATTTGATTTTCAAAAATTTTAATGAAATTTTTGAAAAAAAATCATTTAATTTCAATTAAATCTTTGGCATGAATTTTAATTGCAAATTTTCCTTTGAAAATTTTTCATTATAATTTTTTAAGAATTCTGTTATTTTCAAAATTTGTAATTAAAATTCTTCAAAATTTGATTTTTAAAATTTTCTGTGAGAATTAAATTATTTTATAAATACAGCAATTAAAATTCTTGAATTAAATTTTAATTTTCAAAACTTTTTATGAGAATTCAATTATTTTCAATATTTGCAATTAAAAATCTTGAATTAAAATTTTATTTTCAAAAATTCTAATGAAATATTTGAAAGAAAATCATTTAGTTTCAATAAAATCTTGACATGAATTTCAATAATAAATTTTCTTTTGACAATTTTTCATTATAATTTTTTAAGAATTCTATTATTTTCAAAATTTGTAATTAAAATTCTTCAAAATTTGATTTTTAAAATTTTCTGCGAGAATTCAATTATTTTTCAATTCTGCAGTTAAAATTCTTGAATTAAATTTTAATTTTCAAAAATTTTTATGAGAATTAAATTATTTTCAATATTTGCAATTAAAATTCTTGAATTAAAATTTTATTTTCAAAAATTCTAATGAAATATTTGAAAGAAAATCATTTAGTTTCAATAAAATCTTCGCATGAATTTTAATTGAAAACTTTCATTCGAAAAGTTTTTATTACAATTATTTAAGAATTCTGTTATTTTCAAAATTTGTAATTAAAATTCTTCAAAATTTTATTTTCAAAATTTTCAATGAGAATTCAATTATTTTTCAATTCTGCAATTAAAATTTTTGAATTAAATTTTAATTTTCAAAATTTTTTGTGAAAATTCAATTATTTTCAAATGCAATTAAAATTCTTGAATTAAAATTTTATTTTCAAAAAATGTAATGAAATATTTGAAAGAAAAATCATTAATTTTAATAAAATTTTGGTATGAATTTTGATTACAAATTTTCCTTTGAAAATTTTTCATTATAATTTTTTAAGAATTCTGTTATTTTCAAAATTTGTAATTAAAATTCTTCAAAATTTTCTAGGAGAATTCAATTATTTTTCAATTCTGCAATTAAAATTTTTGAATTAAATTGTAGTTTTCAAAAATTGTTATAAGAATTCAATTACTTTCAAATGCAATTAAAATTCTCGAATTAGAATTTTATGTTCAAATATTTTTATGAGAAAATTTAAAAAACTAATCAATTCTTTGAAGAATTACTTTAATTAAAATTAATTTGTTTTAAATAATTGATTTCTCTGCCATTCTTTTTGAAAAATAATAGTCTTTTTTAATTGTATATAGAAATATAATTGAAAAATTTCCAAATAATTGAAATTTAGTAAAACTTTTTTTTTTTAATTAACTGAATTTTTTACAAGAATTTTTGGGAAAATATTTAAAAAATCAATTTAAAAAAATTCGACGTTAACAATTTTGTTTTTAAAATTTTACTCACAATTTGGATCCATTTTTTCTTAATTTTTCTTTTTAAATTTTATCCGAAACAAATATTCCACGTAAAATTTTTCCGTCCGTGTTAACAAATTGATTCACAATTTGAATCCATTTTATCTTCTTATAATTTTTCTTCAAGATATTTGGCACATTAGTTTTGAATTTTATCTGAAAATGATTTATTTTCACAATTTTGATCCTCTTGATTTTTCTTTTTATATCATTCGCCTTTGAAGAATCCTTAGTTGCTTTTTCGTAAAAAAATAACTTTAGCAAAAAATTTCTCTTGCCTATGAAAAAAATTTAAATACCCGAAATATTATTTTATATAATTTTCCTTATATAAAAATTTTCAATTTTCGATTTTCGATTTAACAGAAATTTTATTTGTCGAATAAACAAATTTCAAATTTTACCTCAGTAGAAATATTTTTTAATTTTGTCTTTACTTTATATTTTATAAAGTCAAAAATTTCTTCCTTTTATAGTTTTTAATTGAAAAAAATAATAATTTATTAAAAAAAACATTTATTTATTATTAAATAAAAAGATTTGTGAATTTAAATTTTTTTCTTTTCAAGCATAAAGCCAATGTCAATATTTTCAACATCCGTAACATTGACAATATCGTTTAATATTTTGCCGACCAATTTATTTTTTTCGTTTAAATCCGAAGAGATTTGCTGAAGTTTGATTTGCAGTTTCGTTATTTCTTCAATTGATGAATTCAATTGTTCCCGCAGTCCTTGATTTTCGTTCTTAAGATACAAATTGTGTTCCAAAAGAAAAGATTGGCGATTTTTTAATTCAGAATTACCGCTGAAATAATTATTTTCAGATTTAGTTTCATTTTCGCAATTATTTGCATCTCTTTCATCGAGGGAGAAAAATTCTGAATTCTCAGCCATGTGTTTATTCACCTTTTGTTCAATTTTATTTAAATTCTCATCCTTTTCCGAAATTACAATAAAAGAACAGAGAGAAGAATTCGAAGAAAGCGATTTTAGATTTTTGTCCTGATAAGCGACGAATTCTTTTTGTAATTTTTCACTTTCACTTGCTTTCCATTCTAAGGAATTTTTAAATTCGTCTTCGAATTTCTCATCATCTGATGTGGAAATTTTGTCCTTTTTTCTCAAATTTTCCTTGTTTTTGAAAATTATAAAATGATCATCAGTGTCAAATAAATGTTTTTCACTAAAAGCAGTGTTAATTTGTCCCTCGTGAATAATTTCCAATTTCTTCACTAGAAACGAAAGGAAATATTGTGCTTTCCGGTAATTTAGATTTGAATCACAAAGCAAAACAATCGGCGAACTAATTTGATGGAAATTTAATTTTTTTAAATTTCCATTTTCGATTTTGAAATAAAATAGAACTTGTGGTACTCGATAGTTTTTTTCCAAAATATAATCGTTGTATGATTTTGAATAATTCTCGACATTCAACGATTTTCCCTCCAATTGACATTTTTCGCAGAGAGAATTATTTTCCGTTTTGTCATTTTTTCCGACCAGGACAATGTTTAATTTTTTTAAAAATGGATTCAGATGAAGGAGAAATTCCCAGTAATTTTCTTTGATTATTGCGTGATCTTGGGAAATTGCGTCGATATGAATGAGAATATCGTCGGGAAAATTGTCGTAAATTTTTTGCAAACTGTTGTTAAATTTCGAAGCAATATCAATGAAATTGAAGAGATTTATTTTCAGTAATCTCGATTGAACACTGTTCGAACGAATATCGTTTAATTTAATTGTATAGGTTAGTCCATCGAGAACGCCAATTTTTTTCTCATCGCTAATAAATGGAAATGTTGACGAGAGAAAACTTAAATCAACATTTAATTCATCGGCTGTATTGAGAATGTTTAAATAATAATTCATTGTTTGACAATTTTTTGTGTGAATCTCATTGAATGGATGTTGTTTACAGAAACTTGCGACGGGACAATTTGGACAATTATCTAAATCTTCTTGCTTTGATTGCCAGCAAACGAAACAAACACGTGGCGAATAGCACATTGTCACTTCCAATGATGTTAGACATCTTCCTAATTTATTCATTAGTTTACGGCAAATTTGCTCCCTTTTCTTCGTCCAATCCGAACCGAATAGATAATTAAGCTCGTCGTAAATGTGCGTTAATCCTTTTTCTTTGAGTAATTCCTTGATTGCTTTGCAAAAGTTTTCGTGAATCGGTAAATGTTTTTGACGATGATTATCACTGCAATAGGCGATCATATTGCAGTCACATCTTTGTAGTTTTTTTCTTGATTTACAAATGTAGCATTCGTTGGGAAAAAATCGGGCTTCCTTTGAATAATCCATTCTCTCCCTTTTTTTTGTTTCTTAAACAATAGGAATTATTTCAAGTCACCTGAAAACAGATTTTTATTAGAAACATATTTTTAAATAACTTCTTATAAAATTAGTAAAATATTATATTACAATTAATTAAAATTATATTATAATTATTGAAATAATAAAAATTAAATTATTAAAATAATTATTAAATTGGTAAAATAATTTAAATTGAATTTTAATAGTAATTATAAAATAAAAAAATAAAATAAAAAAGATAATAAAATAATAATTTTCAGTGTTATTTTAAAATAATTTTTAGATTTCTGTCATATAAATAAAGGAAATAAAAAACTCGTTTGTCTTTGAAAAGTCAGGAATGCAATTAAAATTCATAAAAATTTAATTTTCAAAATTTTTTGTGTAAATTCAATTATTTTCAAATTTTGCAATTAAAAATCTTGAATTAAAATTTAATTTTAAAAAATATTATTTTCAAATTCTTGAATTAAAAATTGATAGGTATCCAAAAAATTTTTATGAGAATTAAATTATTTTTTAATAAAATATCTAAATAAATAAATTTTCAAATTTTGCAATTAAAATTCTAGAATTAAAATTTGATTTTCAAAAATTTTTATAAAAATTCAATTATTTTTAAAGTTTGCAATTAAAATTCTTCAAAATTTTGATATTATAAAATTTTAATGAAATACTTTTAAAAAAGTCATATTTATTTTCAATAAAATTTTAAAAATAATTAAACTTTCAAAAAATTTCCAAATGGAAATTAATTAAAATTAACTTGAAGGAAATTCTGAAAAAATTCTAAAAATTATTTTTTTAAAAAAATATTTGAATAGAATTTTTCTTAATTTCCATTTTCATTTGTCATTAAAACTTTTTGAAATCAATTATTTTTAAAATCTTTATTTTATAATTATTCAAAATTTAATTATTAGAAATTTTTATTCACTTTCTTTCGAAATTAATTTATTTTATTTTTAATATTATTATAACGACTTTAACCGCAATTTTGCGAATAAAAATAAAATAAAATATAATATATAAAAGTCTTAAAAGTAATGAAACGACAAATTACGCAAATAAAAATATCAGTAAGTAGAGAAAAGCAATAATAAAGACACAAAATTTCCACTAAAAAAAAACAAAAATAAAAAAAGCAATTACTTAAAAGCAAAAAGTGTAAGGCGAAAAAGGAGTAAAAAACTGTAGTAAATGAACAGTAAAAGACAAAAGACAAAAAAAAAATTTCCTTTTTCTATAAAAATAAAAAATAAGCAATTAAATAATACTATCTTACTTACATTGACAACAATCATGAAATAGAAAACTTTCTCGTGAGGAAGCAAAAATTAAACAAAATCGACGAAATTTTACGTCAAACGATAAAATTGTTAAGTGCCAACAATTTACAACAAAGGCAACAAAGAGTTTTTAATGGTTTTAATATAAATATAACCTAAAAACACACAATTAATGTAGAAAAAAATAACGGAAATAATACAGCGCTCTCTTTCAGTTTTTTGACAAAGATACGAAACCGGAAATCGCGAAACCACCATCACTCGCGATTTCATTTCGAACATTTCGAATCGACAATTCAATAAAAATTATGTAATTAATCATTAATATTTTTTATAATTCTGTTCTTTCATTTTTTCATAATCTTCCATTGTTGTCACGTCTTTCTGTATAACAAAAAAGAAAATTCCCTTGTGAGTTTCGCGCGCCATTTTGAATTAACTATCGATATATATCGTTCCCCCTACCTCTCGAATGCAACCGACGCAACTTCAGTCTGGAATGAAATTCCCTAGTCGAACATCGCGCTCCCGCGTCTTTCAGTTTTTTTCCACATTATTTCTAATATTTCTAATCAAATTTTCGTCGCATCTTGCAAATAATCGACAATTTTCATCTCATATTCACTTATTTACATGAAAATATCGAAAAATTTAGTTATTCAATCGTCAAAGTGTTTGTGAAAAGTGAAAAATATTTTTGTGAACAAAGTGCTTATGGAAAAGTGACGGAATCGACAGGATTACGGTTCGAGGCAGTGAAAAAGTGTTTTAGTTTCAAATTTTCTTTTGCGAATTATAATAATCTTGTTTGTGGTGTAAAAATATTTGTTATAAATTCCTGAGTAATTATATATTTCGGAATTCGTTGTTGAAAAGTTCGGTTGTGGGGGGGATTCTAACCGTTTTTTTTGGCGCCAAATTATCGGCCATTTTCGAGACCTTCGTGAAGTTAGCACAAATATTGTGTACTCTCAAATTGGCGCGATTAAAAAAAGGAAGTGTCAATATAATTGAATGTGTGTGATGTTTATCAGTGTTTATCAGGACAATCGTCGCATAAACGGAAAGGATTGGTAAAAGAGATATTTCAGGCGACCTTCCTCGGTAAGTCCTTTCGAAAAGAAAATTGTTTTTCCTGTTTAAAAAAGATTTTTCGAGAAAAAATCGAAATTTATCGAAGTAAGAAATAAGCATTAACAACGAAAAAAGTAGAAAGGCGAACTCACATTCCCAAAATTGAAAAGTGATTTTAGACATTGTCTAAAATTTCTAAAAATATAAAATAAAATTTACATATATAATTATTATTTGTAATTTAAATACGGAAATTAAATATTTTTCGAAAAAATTAAATTGAATAAAGAAAATGATTGTTGTATATTTTCTGCTGAAAACATTATTAATACACAAATTTTTGTTTTTTCATTATACATTTATTAGAAAAATCATAATAACACAATTACATTATTTAAATATTATTATTAAATTACAAATTCTATTTTAAAAATATAAAAAAGTAACGAAAATATTAAAAAAAATTATTGAATATTAAATTCAAAAATGTGGTAATGAATATTTTCATGATTTTACTTAAACATTTTTCAAATTATTTATAAAATCACTAAAAATATAAAAGAGAAAATAAAAAGTTAAGTAATAATTGAATTTTGAATTCAAAAAAATGACAAACTAGAAAATTCTTTTTTAAAGAAAAGATAGAAGGAATTTTTTGTTGAAAATTGATTTAAATTTCCTCCTCTTCATCACACTGTGAATCAGTGTCTTCAGAGTCAACAATAACACGTAATAATTTCTTTATTACCTTTTCCTTTTTGTTTAAATTAAAAGAAAGCTGATTAACTTTTGTTTGTAGTTTCGTTATCTCATTGAATGCTAAATTTAATTGTTGTCGTAAACCTTCGATTTCATTTTCAAGATACGAAACATGTCCAATTACATAGGACTGAGATGAATTAACTACTGTTTCATTGTTATCGAAACTTTCCAAATTGACGAGAATTTTCTTATCATTTTCCTCTTCTTTCCGCTCTTCAATATTTTTCTTCTCCATATCGCCCACTTTCGTATTTTTTCGCCCTTTGCCACTTGGATCGAAAAATTCGTTGTCGACAGACTTTAAAAATTTTCCATTTTCTTCAGTTTCTGTATTTTTTTCTTCCTCCTCTTCTCCGTGTCCCGAAATAATGAAAAATGAACGTATAGAAGACGATGGAGAAAGTGTCACACGATCTTCTGATTTTTCTTCATTATTCGATTCTCTATTTTCCGTTTGTTCGCAATTGGAATTTTTTGCAGATTCAATTTCGTCTTTGTTTGTATTTTCGTTCTCAATTATATTCTTGTTTTCCTTGGGAAGAGAAACGGTAGCTGATTGATTTTCGTTTGTTTCCAATTTTGAATTTTCGTTATTGTCAGAATTGTCTTTTGATTCTGACGATTCTGACGGAGTAATTTTAGAAGCATTTTCTATACCATTTGCACTATTATTTTTACCACATTGATGACCAGTATTTTTAATTTCTGAAAGAATTTCAATTGTACTTGTAGCAATTTTATCCTCGCAGATTTCCACTGATTGCAAAATAATAAAATAGTCTTCATTTTCAATTGAGGATAATATACCGAATGGTGCTATTATTTTTCCTTCGTAAATAAATAGAAACTTTGCTGTTACATGCGATAGAAAATTATGTACTTTACAAAAATTTAGTTTTGAATCAAGTCGCAAAATAATGGGAAAATTAAATTTACTCCACTGATTTAATCTTTCGGAATTACATTCATCATTGATTTGAACGTAAAAAAGAATATCTGGTTCTTGATAATTTTCATCTTGCATGTAATCGTCGTAAGATTTTGACAAATATTTAACAATTAATTTTTTTCCCTCTGAATCACAATCTTGACAAAGAGGCGTCTCTAAATTGTCCCGATTTTTAGTTTGAGTGATGACAATTTTTAACTTTTTTATCAGCGGATTGAGATGGAGGAGAAATTCCCAATAATTTTCTTCTGCGATTGCGTGTTCATAAGAAAGGACATCAATGTGAATTAATAATTCTTTTGGAATAGTCTTGTGTATTTTTTGTAAAGCGTTATTAATTTTCGAAGCTAAGTCCATAAAGTTAATTAGGTCCATTTTCATCAATCTCGATTTTAAAAAAACTTCTTTCATGTCAGCTACGTAAAATGTGAGTGTAAGTAGGTCTACATATTGATTTACATTTTCTTCTCTAATACAAGGAAATGTTGGAGATAGAAATTTTAAGTCAATGTTTAATTCCTCTGCTGTGTTCAGAATGTTTAAATATCGATTCAGTACTTCACAGTTTATATTGTGATTTTCAAAATTAGGATGAATTTTACAAAAACTTACTACTGGACAATGGGGACAATTGAGTAAATCTTTATCTTTTGTATTCGAACAATCGAAACAGTTTCGCGGATGATAAAACATTAAATTTTCTAATGGACTCATATTTCTTTCTAATTTCTTTAATATTTCTCCATAAATTTTATCTCGTTCCTTTAACCAAGGGGAGCCAGTTATATTTGTAAGCTCTTCATAAATATGCGACACTTTTTTTTCTTTTAATAATTCTTTAATTACTTTGCAAAAAGTCTCGTGAACTGGCAAATGCTCTAATCGATGATCCTCAGAGCAATAGTAAATCATGTTGCATTCACATTTTTTTAAATTGTCCCTCGATTTACAAATATAGCATTCATTTGGCAGAAATCTTTTCATCTTTGGCGGCTTCATATTTTAGAATTTCTTTATTATTTCTCCAATATTTGCGGATACCTGTAAATTTTATTAAATTTTAATATTTTTTCTTAACAATTCAATAGTTTTTAATAAAGTAAAAAAACAAATTCAATTTAAAAAAAACTCATTTTTCTTTGAAAAAATAGGAAAAAAAACTAATTTTCATTGTAAAAAATGTAAAAAATTAAAATTGTAAAATTAAAAATTGTAAAATGTAAAAGTGTAAATTTAAATATTGTTTTAAAATTATAATATTTATTAAATTATTACTTAATATTTATTTAATATTTGTTCTTAACAGTTCGATAGTTTTTAGTAAATTAAAAAAAATAATTATCATAAAAAAGCTAATTTTTCTTTGAAAAAAACTAATTGTCATTTTATTAAATTTCACTGTTTATTCCATTTTTTAAATAAGTTGAAAATGAGCAATTTATAAATGTACAAAAAAATACATTGAGATATTTATAGATATTTTTTTATTTAATAATTAATAATTGTTAAAAAATTCGAAAAATTCTATATAATTTTTTATATTCATTAAAATTGTCAAACATTACCTTCTAATGTACACATTTTAACAACTATAACCGCAGTTTTGCGAACAAAAATAAAATAAATAAAATAATATATAAAAGTCTTAAAAATAATGAAACGAATGATGACGCAAATAAAAATAGTAAAACTATCTGTAAGTAGAGAAAAACAATAATAAAAGAAACAATAAAAACAAAGAAAAACAATGACAAAAATGCAAGTATGTAAAAACAAAAAGTATTAAAGGGGTAGGAGTAAAAAACTGTAGTAAATAAATAGAAAAAGACAAAGAACTTATAATAATAACCATTCGAAAGTGTAATTTCCTTTTTCCATAAAAATAAAAAATAATCAAATTAAATACTATCTTACTTACATTGACAACAATCATGAAATAGAAAACTTTCTCGTGAGAAAGCAAAAATTAAACAAAATCGACGAAATTTTACGTCAAACGATAAAATTGTTAAAGTGTCAACAATTTACAACAAAGACAACAAAGAGTTTTAATATAATAAATATATAACCTAAAAACACACAATTTATGTAGAAAAATAACGGAAATAACACACAGCGCTCTCTTTCAGTTTTTTGCCAAAGATACGAAACCGGAAATCGCGAAACCACCATATCAACTCTCGATTTCATTTCGAACATTTCAATTTGCCAATTAAATAAAAATTATGAAATTAATCATTTAAATTTTTCATTTTTCATAATTCTGTTCTTTCATTTTTTCATAATCTTCCATTGTAGTCACGTCTTTCGTATATAAGAAGAAAGAAAAATTTCCCTTGTGATTGTGAGTTTCGCGCGCCATTTTGAATTAACTATCGATATATATCGTTCCCCCTACCTCTCGATTGCAACCGACGCAACTTCAGTCTGGAACGAAATTCCCAAGTCGAACATCGCGCTCCCGCGTCTTTCAGTTTTTTTCCACATTATTTCTAATATTTCTAATCAAATTTTCGTCGCATCTTGCAAATAAACGACAATTTTAATCTAATATTCACTTATTTACGGGAAAATATCGAAAAATTTAGTTATTCAGTCGTCAAAGTGTTTGTAAAAAGTGAAAAATATTTTTGTGAACAAAGTGCTTATGGAAAAGTGACGGAATCGACAGGATTACGGTTCGCGGCAGTGAAAAAGTGTTTTAGTTTCGAATTTTCTTTTGCGAATTATAATAAATCTTGTTTGTGGTGTAAAAATATTTGTTATAAATTCCTGAGTAATTATATATTTCGGAATTCGTTGTTGAAAAGTTCGGTTGTGGGGGGGATTCTAACCGTTTTTTTGGCGCCAAATTATCGGCCATTTTCGAGACCTTCGTGAAGTTAGCACAAATATTGTGTACTCTGAAATTGGCGCGATTAGAAAAAGGAAGTGTCAATATAATATTGAATGTGTGTGATGTTTATCAGGATCGTCGCATAAACGGAAAGGATTTGTAAAAGAGATATTTCAGGCGACCTTCGTCGGTAAGTCCTTTTGAAAAGAAAATTGTTTTTCCTGTTTAAAAAAGATTTTTCGAGAAAAAATCGAAATTTATCGAAGTAAGAAATAAGCTTAACAATGAAAAAAGTAGAAAAGCGAACTCACATTCCCAAATGAAATGTAGTAACAGGTAGTAACTTAAAATAATTTTGTAAAATTGAAAAGTGATTTTAGACATTGTCTAAAATTTTTAAAAATATAAAATGAAATTTGCATATATAATTATTTGAAATTTAAATACGGAAATTAAATATTTTGCGAAAAAATTAAATTAAATGAAGAAAATGATTGCTGTATATTTTCTGCTGAAAACATTATTACATAATACACAAATTTTTGTTTTTTCATTACACATTTATTAGAAAATTCATAACACAATTACATTATTTAAATACTATTATTAAATGACAAATTCTATTTTATAAATATTTATATAAAAAAGTAACGAAAATATTATAAAAAATTATTAAATATTAAATTCAAAAATGTGGTAATGGATATTTTCATGATTTTACTTGAACATTTTTCAAATTATAAAATCACTAAAAATATAAAAGAGAAAATGAAAAGATAAGTAATAATTAAATTTTTAATTCGAAAAAATGATAAACTACAAGAAATTTAAAACTCGATTTTTTAAAGAAAAGATAAAAGGAATTTTTTGAAAATTGATTTAAATTTCCTTCTCTTCATCACACTGTGAATCAGTGTCTTCAGAGTCGACAATAACACGTAATAATTTCTTTATTACCTTTTCCTTTTTGTTTAAATTAAAAGAAACCTGATCAAGTTTTGTTTGTAATTTCGTTATCTCATTGATTGCTAAATTTAATTGTTGTCGTAAACCTTCGTTTTCATTTTTAAGATATGAAACATGTCCAATTACAAATGATTGAGATGAATTAACTGTTTCATTGTTTTTGAAACTTTCCAAATTGACGAGAATTTTCTTATCATTTTCCTCTTCTTTCCGCTCTTTAATATTTTTCTTCTCCATATCGTCCTCTTTCGTATTTTTTTGCCCTTCGCCACTTGGATCGAAAAACTCGTTGTCGACAGACTTTAAACATTTTCCATTTTCTTCAGTTTCTGTATTTTTTTCTTCCTCCTCTTCTCCGGGTCCCGAAATAATGAAAAATGAACGTATAGAAGACGATGGAGAAAGTGTCACACGATCTTCTGATTTTTCTTCCTTATTCGATTCTCTATTTTCCGTTTGTTCGCAATTGGAATTTTTTGCAGATTCAATTTCGTCTTTGTTTGTATTTTCGTTCTCAATTATAATCTTGTTTTCCTCGGGAAGAGAAACGGTAGCTGATTGATTTTTGTTTGTTTCCAATTTTGAATTTTCGTTATTGTCAGAATTGTCTTTTGATTCTGACGGAGTAATTTTAGAAGCATTTTCAATTGTATTTGTAGCAATTTTATTCTCGCAGATTTCCACTGAATGCAAAATTATAAAATAGTCTTCATTTTCAATAGAGGATAATGTACTGAAAGGTGTTGTACATTGTCCTTCGTAAATAAATCGAAACTTTGCTGTTAAATGCGAGAGAAAATGTTGTACTTTACAAAAATTTAGTTTTGAATCAAATCGAAATATAATGGGAAAATTAAATTTACTCCACTTATTCAATCTTTCGGAATTACATTCGTCGACGATTTTCACGTAAAACAAAATGTCCGGTTTCTGATAATTTTCATCTTGCATGTAATCGTCGTAAGATTTTGACGAATATTCAACAATCAATTTTTTTTCCTCTGAAATGCAATTTTCACAAAGAGACGTCTCTACATTGTCTGGATTTTCAATTGCAGTGTTGACAATTTTTAACTGTTTTATCCTCGGATTGAGATGCAAGAGGAATTCCCAATAATTTTCTTTTGTGATTGCGTGTCCGTAGGAAAGGGCATCGATGTGAATTAATAATTCTTCTGGAATCGTCTTGTGTATTTTTTGTAAAGCGTTATTAATTTTCGAAGCTAAGTCCATAAAGTTAATAAGGTCTATTTTCAATAATCTCGATTTTAAACATTTTTCCTCCATGTTATTTACTTCATATGTGAGTGTAAGTTCGTCTACATCTTCATCTACATTTTGTCCTGTAATACAAGGAAATGTTGGAGATAGAAATTTCAAGTCGATATTTAATTCCTCGGTTGTGTTTAGAATGTTTAAATATCGATTCAGTACTTCACAGTTTATATTGTGATTTTCAAAATCAGGATGAATTTTACAAAAACTTACTACTGGACAATGGGGACAATTGATTAAATCTTCATCTTTTGTATTAATACAATCGAAACAGTTTCGCGGATGATTAAACATTAAAACTTCTAATGGACTCATATTTCTTTGTAATTTCTTTAATATTTCTTGATAAATTTCATTTCGTTTCGTTCTCCAATCGAATCCACCTAAATTTTGAAGCTCTTCATGAATGTGTGACACTTTTTTCTCTTTTAATAATTCCTTAATTACTTTGCAAAAAGTCTCGTGAACTAGTAAATGCTCTAATCGATGATCCTCAGAGCAATAGCAAATCATGTTGCATTCACATCTTTCCCAGTAAAAAAAAAAGTATTCAGAATAGAGAAAAAGTATTGGTGGAGACGTTCGGTGAATGCGTTTTCGCGACAAAACCGTATTGGTGGGTCACGGTGAATACATTTCGCTTACCGTGAATACTTTTTTTTTAAACTCTCGATTTAAAGATTCCTAAGCAAAGTTGAGAATATTTATAAAGAGCGTAAGTGATCTGAAGTATAAAAATGACGATTGCGAGAAGGAAATAAGAAATTTTGAGAAAAAACGAAAAATTAAATGTGACAAACCTACAGCGTATGATGATGAAAAGGAACATTGACGATACCGACAGAAACTTGAGAAATCCAAGTAAATGTATGTGAAACAGTAAGTTCCGCCGGTAACGTCAAAGTTCTTTTTAATCATCATACGTTGTAGGCACAGAAAAGCATATGGTAATTGATCAACATTTGACAATCTGTTTGTCACATTTAATTTTTCGTTTTTTCTCAAAATTTCTTATTTCCTTCTCGCAATCGTCATTTTTATACTTCAGATCACTTACGCTCTTTATAAATATTCTCAACTTTGCTTAGGAATCTTTAAATCGAGAGTTTAAAAAAAAAGTATTCACGGTAAGCGAAATGTATTCACCGTGACCCACCAATACGGTTTTGTCGCGAAAACGCATTCACCGAACGTCTCCACCAATACTTTTTCTCTATTCTGAATACTTTTTTTTTTACTGGGATTTTAAATTGTCCCTCGATTTACAAATATAGCACTCATTTGGCAAACATCTTTCCATCTTGGAAGAATTCATATTTTAGAATTTTCTTCTTATTTCTCCCAAGTTTGCGGAAACCTGTAAATAAAAATTTGTTTCTTATTAAATTTTATTGAGAAACGTTGTATTATCGAAATGAATAAAAGTTACAAAAATAATTGTGACTCTCTCCCAAGAAAGCTATATATGTATACCATTCTATTTGGGAGCGCGTAACATTATGAATAGAATTTTTAAGAAACCTAAAAAATGTGAAAATATTAAATAGAACAATTTTCTCATATTTTACTTACAGGCTTTTAAACTTTCAATTGTTTAACAACAATAGAGAAAAATCTGACAGTGTTTTCGTTTTGCTTTTTTGCAAACATAGAATAGTTACATAATTGAGAATCAAAACTATAGGACGTTTAATTTACACGTAATGCGCGTAATGTAATGTCATATTAAGGGCTTAAAGACCCTTCAAAAACTTAGTTTTTAGCCAAATTTTTTAGTTTTAATTTTTTTAAAGGCGCTTGCACACTTCCAAATTTTTAGGCGAGCAGCGAATTTTCACGGCCTTGAAATGCACATTACTAAATATGATTGGCTCTACAAAAAGCTGCGTGAAAATGTACTTTGTCAGAGCCAATCATATTTAGTAATGTGCATTTCAAGGCCGTGAAAATTCGCTGCTCGCCTAAAAATTTGGAAGTGTGCAAGCGCCTTAAGATTAATTGCATTTTTGAATATTGTTTAATTAAAAAGCTTTCGAATAATTTAAATTTCGTACTTTTTAAATATTATTTAATTAAAAAATTTTCATATTATTAAAATTTTGTCATTTATTGACAATATTGAGAGCAATTGAATTTAATACAATTTTAAAAGAACTTTTTTTTAGATAATTAAAATTTCAAAGAATTTTTTCAAAATTTTTAAAAATAAAATTGATTTGAAGAAAAATATTAAATATAAAAATATTAATTTTTCATATAAATTTATTAGAAAATTTGTGACATAAACGCATTATTTAAACAGTTTTTTAAAAAATTATAATTGCAATTTAAATAAAATAGAGAAATACAAAAATATTAATGAATTATATTAATTATTTTTATAAATTTCCATAAAATTCTAAAAAGCAATTCAATTATTTTCAAAAGTAATAAAATTGTTCGCAGAAGTTCAATTATGTTTAGAAATTTTTTTAAACTCTCAAAATTTTAATTATCTTTATAAATTATAAATAAATAAATTATTCTCCACAATTCAATTATTTTCAAAAATTTTAATAAAATTCTATACGCAAATTAAATTTGCAGAAATTCAATTAGTATCAATACATTTTAATAAAATGTAATTAATCAAATTTTCAATTATAATTATGAACAGACAAGACTATTTTAAAAAATTGAAAAAATTCTTAATTTAATTCAATTATTTTCCAAATTTTTAATTACAATTATTAAAAAAAAATTATTTTACAAAAAAATTTAAAGAAACTTGTCGAAAGAATTTAATTATTCATAAAAAATTTGGAAACCATTTGTAGATTTATTTATGTTCGAAATTAAAGAAATTTAAATTTGATGAGAAAAAAACCGGGAAAAATCCGTGAATTTTGTTGAACGAAAATAGTAGACGCTCTGTTTAAACACGTTCCCAGTCAATTTTAAATCTAAAATGATTTTTTCAAAATCCAAAATTTTAAGAACTTGTAAAAATTCTATATTGCAAGAAAAAAAACTGTTTTTTTTTATTGTACATTTATTAGAAAATTCATAATAACACAATTACATTTTTTAAATATTATTAAATTACAAATAGTTTTATAAATATGAAAAAGTAACAAAAATATTTAAGGAATGATTGAATTTTAAATTCAAAACTTTGGTACGAATTTTTTCTTCTTTTATAAAAAGATAGAAATTATATAAACAATCGTTAGAATCGAAATAACATTAATATTAATAACAAATAGGATATTTTCATTTTTTTTCTGAAACATTTTTTAAAATATTAAAATCACTAAAAATATAAAATAGGAAATGAAGAGAAAAGTAATAATTGAATTTTGAATTCAAAAAAATGATAAACTAGAAGATTCTTTTTTAAAGAAAAGATAAGAGAGGAATTTTTTTGAAATGGATTTAAATTTCCTTCTCTTCATCAGACTGTGAATCAGTGTCTTCAAAGTCGACAATAACGCCTAATAATTTCTTTATTACCTTTTCTTTTTTGTTAAGTTTTGTTTGTAGTTTCGTTATCTCATTGAATGCTAAATTTAATTGTTGTCGTAAACCTTCGTTTTCGTCTTTGAGATACGAAACATGTCCAATTACATATGACTTGGAAAAATTAAATGTCTCTTCTTCCCCTTCTTTGCGTTCTTCTATATTCTTCTTCATATTGTCATCTTTGGATTTTTCTTCCTTAGTCGATTCTCTATTTTTCGTTTTTTCGTTATTAGAATTTTTCTCCTCCTCAATTTCGTTTATGATTGTATTTTCCAGTTCAATTGTAATTTTGCTTAAATCGATATAAGAATTTGAATCAGAGAGATTTTCGTTTGTTTCCAATTTTGAATTTTCGTTAATGTCAGTCATTGTGCCAATTTGTCCCTCGCAGATTTCGCCTCTTGCCGAATAAATAGATTTTTGGAGTACTTTGTTCTCCTTTGATTGCAAAATTATAAAGTAGTCTTCATTGTCAATTGAGGATAATGTACTGAAAGGTGTTGTAAATTGTCCTTCGTAAATGAATCGAAACTTTGCTGTCGAAGACGCGAGAAAATGGTGTGTTTTACAAAACTTTAGTTTTGAATCAAATCGTAAAATAACGGGACAATATAATTCACTCCACTGATTTCGTTTTTCGAAATTACACTGGTCGTTGATTTTCAAGTAAAATAGAATATCCGGTTTTTGATAATTTTCATCTAGCATGTAGTCATCGTAAAATTCTGAAGAATATTCCACAATCAATTCTTTTTCCTCCGAAATGCAATTTTCACAAAGAGACGTCTTAGAATTGTATCGATTTTCAGTTTGAGTGATGACAATTTTCAACTTTTTTATCTGCGGATTGAGATGCAGGAGAAATTCCCAATAATTTTTTTTTGTAATTGCGTGTTTAGAGAAAAGGGCATCGATGTGAATTGTCAATACTTCGGGAATCGTGTCGTGCACTTTTTGTAAAGCACTATTCATTTTCGAAGCTACGTCCATAAAGTTAATTAGGTCTATTTTCGAGAATCTCGATTTAAAACACTTTGACCTTATGCCAATTACTTTGAATGTCCGTGTAAGTTCGTCAATAACTTGATTTACTTTTTCTTCTGCAATACACGGAAAAGTAGGAGACAAAAATTTCAAGTCGATATTTAATTCCTCGGCTGTGTTCAAAATGTTTAAATATCGATTCATCACTTTACAATTCGTACTGTGAAGTTCATCTTGTGGGTGCTTTTTACAAAAACTTGCCACTGGACAATCAGGACAATTTTTTAAATCCTCTTGTCTTGTTTGACGACAAAAGAAACACAATCGCGGATGTTTCCACATTGCATTTTCTAATAGACTCATGGGTCTTCCTAATTTCTTTGTTACTTCAAGGCTGATTTTTTCTTTTTTTGCCTTCCAATCGAATCCACCTAAAATTTTCAGCTCTTCATGAATGTGTGACACTCTTTTCTGTTTTAATAATTCTTTAATTACTTTGCAAAAAGTCTCGTGAACTGGTAAATGCTCTAATCGATGATCCTCAGAGCAATAAGAAATCATGTTGCATTCACATCTTTTTAAATTGTCCCTCGATTTACAAATATAGCACTCATTTGGCAGAAATCTTTCCATTTTGGAAGAATTCATATTTTAGAATCTCTTTCTTATTTGTCGGAAATTTGCGGATACCTGTAAATAAAAATTTGTTTCTTATTAAATTTTAGCGTAGTATGTAAATTTATAATCAGTTTTTATTGAATATTTTCGGTGTAATGACGACTTAAACATCAATAAATTGTTAATTGATTTTCTTTCTGTATTTTTATTTTACTTTACAAATTATAAATATAACCTAAAACTTCTTGCTTTTAGAAATGACATTTATAAACGTTCGATTGACCTCATTGACAAACCTTAGAATTTTGAAAAACATAAGAAAAGTGAAAATATAATAGAGGAAAATTTACTGATAATATACTTACGTTATAATTCTTTCAATTAACTATTGTTAATTATAGCAATTATTAAAAAATCTGACTATATAGACAGTGACAGTATTTTTACAACTTAGAATAGAAAAATTATAGAACTAAAACCTACATTATTTTTGTAATTTTGTTTTTACATGCAAATGTAATGTTATCTAGGGTCCGAGGACCCCTTAAGAAAAGTTAGAATTTCTTTAATTAAGTTCATTAAAGTTTTAAATATATTTTTCAAAATTTATATTTTGCTCTTAAACATTTTTCAATACTTTTATGAATATTGAAATAAGAGCTGAGTTGCCGCGTCGAAAAATATTGAAAACCTTAAATTGTCAATTAATTTTCCTTAAATTTAATAAATTAATTAATTAATTATTAATTAATTAATTTTCCTCTTTTTTTTTAAATTATTAAAAAAAGCATTCAAATATTTTCCCAAATAATAAAATTTGGCACGAAAATTATTAATTACATTAAAAAGAATTAAATACAATTCATCGCAAGAATTCAATTATTTTTAAAAATAATAAATTTCTTCTTGGAAATTCAATATATTATTTTAAAATTTTAATAAAATTCTTCAGAGTTTAATTATTTTTCCACTTAATAAATTTTTTCACGAGAATTCAATTATTTTAAAAAAAAACTTGAACACGACTCTTTGCAAGAATTCAATTATTTTCATAAATAATGAAATTCTTCTCAGGAATTAAATTATTTTTTTAAATTTGAATAAAATTTTTCACAAAAATACAATTATTTTCATTATAATAATAAAATTCTTCTGGATTCAATTATTTTTTTAAACTTTAAGAAAATTCTTCGCAACTTAAAATTTCTAGAAAGTAATTAAATTTTTGAGAAGTTAGGTAGTAGACATGTTTAGTTCAATTTCGATTTTTTTTTTATTTTGAATCAATTGAAAAGATATTCTTTTTTTGAACTTAAATTCAATCAAAGGGCTGAAAAAATAAAAGCAATGATTTTTTATATAAATTTATTACAATTCACAATGGCGATCGCATTATTTAAACATTTTTTTTGCAATTAAAGCTGCAGTTTTTAAATACAATAAGAAAATACAAAAACATTAACGAATAATTGAATTTTAAATTCAAAAATAGATGTAGGAATTTTTTTAAACCAGAAAATAGAAATTTAAAACGTATTCTTTTAAAAAGAAATAATATTAATTGTATTAATTTATAATAGGTAGGCATTTACATTTTTTATCGAAATATTTTCCAAATTACGAATCATTGAAAATGTAAAAGAAGAAGTAAAAACAAAAATTAGTATTGGAATTTCAAATTAAAAAAAACAAAAATAAAAGATTTTCTTTTGAAGACAAAAAATAAAAGAGTTTTTTCGTAACGAATTTAAATTTTGTTCTCTTCACACACTGAATCAGTGTCTTCAAAGTTGACAAATACGCGTAATAAATTCTTTATTATCTTTTCCTTTTTGTTTAATTCAAAACAAACCTGATCAAATTTTGTTTGTAGTTTCGTTATTTCTTTGAATGCCAAACTTAATTGTTGTCGTAGACCTTCGTTTTCATTTTCAAGATACGAAACATGTCCAATTACATAGGACTGAGAAGAATTAACTGTTTCATTGTTATCGAAACTTTCCAAATTGACGAGAATTTTTTTAACATTTTCCTTTTCTTTACCCTCTTCTATATTCTTCTTCTCCATATTTTTTCGCTCTTTGCCATTTGGATCGAGAAATTCGTTGTCAACAGTCTTCAAAAATTTTCCATTTTCTTCCGTTTCTGATTTTTTTTCTTCCTTCTCTCCTCCGGGTCCCGAAATAATGACAAATGAACGTACAGATGATGATGGAGATAGTGTCACGCGATCTTCGGATTTTTCTTCCTTATTTAATTCTGTATTTTCCGTTTGTTCGTTTGTTTCCAATTTTGAATTTTCGTTAATGTCAGAATTAACTTTTGATTCTGACGGATTAATTTTAGAAGCATCTTCTACAACATTTTCACTATTTTCACCACATTGATGATTTTTCGTACCAGTATTTACAATTTCTGAATGAATTTCAATCGTATTTGTACTAATTTCCTCCTCGCAGATTTCGCTTGTTAATGAATCAGAAGATTTTTGAAGTACTTTGTTTTCCTTTGATTGCAAAATTATAAAGTAATCTTCATTTCCAATTGAGGATACCCAGCAAACACGTTACGTAAGTGTTACATAACAAATAAAGCACCTTGTTATGTCTCACTGTGACAATATTGTTATGTAACAACTACATAATGAGATAGTAACAATATTATATAACACTGTTACTGAATGGTGATATAATAGTTACATAATTTTTTCAAATAACTATTATATAACTGTGTGATATATTCATTACATCACAGAGTGATAATTTTTGTCTTGTTAGATTGTTCTCTAATTGTTACATAACTGTTACGAAACTGTGTGACATAACAGATACATAATTTTGTTATAATTAATAAAGTAGGTTACATTATTATATCACACTGTGACAATATTATTATGTAACCATTATATAATGAGATAGTAACACTGTTATATAACACTGTTACTGGATGGTGATATAACAGTTACATAATTTTTTCAAATAACTATTATATAACTGTGTGATATATTCATTACATCACAGAGTAATAATTTTTGTCTTATTGCATCGTTCTCTAATTGTTACATAACTGTTACGAAACTGTGTGACATAATAAATACATAATTTTGTTATAATTACTAAAGTAGGTCACATTATTATATCACACTGTGACAATATTATTATGTAACTATTATATAATGAAATATTAACACTGTTACTGGGACGTGATATAACAGTAACATAGTTTCATAACATACGTATTATACAACAATGTGATACATTTTTTTAAACTGCACTTAAATAAATAATAGGCAGAATGTGTTTTTTACATAGGCAATTTTTTCCTAAAAACAAAAGCAATACACGCAAAGCAATTGCTTATTCTTTTTAAAAAGAAATTTTTGCTTTAGTTCCTAAGGTTAACATAACAAAGCAAATTTTAATTTGAATATTTAGAGAATACTATATTAAATAATAAATTTATTTATTCCAATATTCACAACTAATCCAATGAAGAGATTAAACCTTATAAACAGAATTAATATTATATATATATATATATATATATTCATTTTTACTATCGTGAATATAATGATAATGTATTTTTATAGTTTATTATTTAAAAATTAAAAAATTATATTTTACATTTTTATTAATTATATGTGACGCGATTTGAAGAAAGGGAACTTAGAAGCAAAAAATTGTAGGCTATGTTTGCAATTTTTTAAATGAAAATACAAAAAAGTAACAACCGTCAATATAAATAACTGACATTTTAAGTCTTTATTACAACTAAAATATTTAAAAACAAATTATTTAAATAGCAAACATGTTCTGTAACTGTTACGTAACATTTCTGTAGTAATAAGAGCTAAATTACGTAACTGTTATGTAATTTTTATGTAACATAAAAGTAACAATGTTCTGTAACTGTCGTTACAAAATTGTTACGTAAAATTGTAGTCTCTCTGTTACGCAATAAAATTATGTAATTGTTACATAACTGTTATGTAACATGAAACACTATTTTATAATTATTGTTTCGAATAAATATTTTTTATTATAAATCTAGTTTAACTGTTTAAGTTTATTAATTTACAATAAATTATTATTAATAATTATTATCAGTATTATTTATTATAATTATTAATGTCCAAAACTTTTAAAGAAGTACGTAAAAGTAAAGTGGGGTGAAGAAGCCGACTTTTGGAACATTTTACGATATTTAATATATCACTCACTTTTAATTTTATTTAAAATTTTTTAACGTACTCTGAAAAGTTTGTCTATTAAAAATTTAAAAAATATCTTAATTTTTTTTGTAAAAAGTTGTCAGAAATTAATAAAGAAAAATTTTTATTTGAACAAATTTATTTAAAATTAATTTAAAGTTTATAACTCTCAAATTTTATGTGAAGAAAAATAGAATTTTCAGAATAAAATAAAAATTTGTAATCCCGATTAGTATAATTGTAATCGTTTCTTTTTGTTACTCACATGTGTGTGACATTGTTATGTAAATGCTACAAAATTGTTACTTATATGTGTGTAACATTGTTACGTAAATGTTACAGAATTGTTACTGAACACTGTGACTAATGTGTGGTAGATATTTTTATTAACACGTTAATCGTATATTACAAATAAAAAATCACAAGTTTGTCTTTGTTACGTAATAGTTACATAACAGTAAGTAACAGAATATACGGCACTGCAGTTGATATAGTAGATTAGGAGAATTCTCATCCAGCCTTCAGTGGCCGTGCGGTTTAAATGCGTTGCGTCGGGTCGTCAAGGGCGGGGGGACGTGAGTTCGATCCCACATGCGAGCGGATATTTTTCATTCTAAGCGTTATGTAAAATAATAAAATTACTATTTAATCTGTATATAAGTGTTGTGAAATGTGAATAAAATAAACTTGTGAACATGTTTATAAATAATATTAAAGATCTGTAAAAAAATCAAGTTTAAAAAATGTACTAATTAATAAATCAGTTTTTTACTAAAATTATTTTTGGATATTACCATGTCAAATGGCATTTGTTATTATCTATTGAATAAAAATAATAACAATAATTTTCACGTAGGTCATAATAGTGATGTTACAATTATATAACAAGCTCATCAAATTATGTAACAGAATCTCATAATTGTGATATAATAATAAGTCACAACGTGATATAAGTGTGATATAACAATTATGTAACATATTTACATAACTGTGATATAATAATAAGTCACAACGTGATATAAGTGTGATATAACAATTATGTATCAAATTCTTCTAATTATGTAACATATTTACATAACTGTGATATAATAATTAAATATCACGCTGCAACATAATTGTTATATCACCCTTCTTGTAACAATTATGTAACTGTGACCCTCATGTTACGACATTTCGTGTCACATGTTCATATCATGTTATATCACGTGTGATATTCTGTGACATAACTGTTACATAACTGTTATGTAACAATGTTTGCTGGGTAATGTACTGAATGGTGTTGTAAATTGTCCTTCGTAAATGAATTGAAACTTTGCTCTTGAAAACGAGAGAAAATGTTGTGTTTTACAAAAATCTAATTTTGAATCGAATCGTAAAATAACGGGACAATCAAATTCACTCCACATGTTTAATCTTTTGGAATTACATTCATCATTGATTTGAACGTAAAACAGAATATCTGGTTCTTGATAATTTTCATCCAACATGTAATCGTCGTAAGATTCTGACGAATATTCAACAATCAATTCTTTTTCCTCTGAAATGCAATTTTCACAAAGAGACGTCTCTACATTGTCTGGATTTTTAATTGCAGTGTTGACAATTTTTAACTGTTTTATCTCTGGATTGAGATGCAGGAGAAATTCCCAATAATTCTTTTTTGTAATTGCGTGTTTATAAGATAGGGCATCGATGTGAATTGTCAATTCTTCTGGAATCGTGTCGTGAACTTTTTGTAAAGCACTATTAATTTTCGAAGCTGCATCCATAAAGATAATAAGATCCATTTTCAATAATCTCGATTTTAAATAACATTTTTTCATGTCAGTTACGGTATATGTATTTGTAAGTATATCTATAGCTTCATTTTCTTCTTCTTCTGTAATACACGGAAAAATAGGAGACAAAAATTTCAAATCGATATTTAATTCTTCGGCGGTTTTAAGAACTTTTAAATACTGATTCATCACTTTACAATTCATAGTGTGAAGTTCATTTTGTGGATGCTCTTTACAAAAACTTGCCACTGGACAATCAGGACAATTTGTTAAATCTTCTTGTCTTGTTTGACGACAAACGAAACACACTCGCGAATGTGTCCACATTGCATTTTCTAATAGACTCATGGGTCTTCCTAATTTCTTTGTTACTTCAATGCTGATTTTTTCCTTTTTTGCACTCCAATCAAATCCACCTAAAATTTTAAGCTCTTCATGAATGTGTGACACTTTTTTCTCTATTAACAATTTTTTAATTACTTTGCAAAAACTTTCATGAACTGGCAAATGCTCCAATCGATGATCCTCAGAGCAATAGCAAATCATTTTGCATCCACATCTTATTAATTTGTCTCTGGATTTACAAATATAACACTCATTCGGCAAAAATCTTTCCATCTTGGAAGAATTCATATTTCTAGCTTTCCGTCTTCGCAGAGAGTAAACAATCAAAGTTTACGAAAACCTGTAAATGAATAATATTTTTATCAAATTGTACAGAAAAATGTATTGCACTATCGAAAATTAATAAAGTTACAAAAAAAGATGTTTTGGGAAAGGAAAGAAATCTATTTCGATACTTTAAGTAATGCTTATGGAATTTTCAATAGAAAATGTAAACACAATTCAACGTCTGCATTTTATTACAAAAGTACTTTTAAATTTTCATGTCCTTGTCTTAGATTTATTTTGATTAAAAGTTTCATGCCAAAATATATAATATATTTAAAATCAGTTTTTATTGAATATTTTCGATGTAATGAAGACTTTAAACAACAATAATTTGTAATAGAAATTGATTCCCTTTCTGTATTTTTACTTGAAATGATTTAAATTTATAAACATAACCTAAAATTTTTTGCTTTTTAGCCTTTTAAGATATACCTTTCGTGGGAGTGCGTCACAATTATTTTTTGGAAAATGAAAGAAATCTATTTCTGCACTGTAAGAAATGCTTATTGAATTTTCAATCTAAAATGTAGATGAACGTCCGAAATTTAATACAAAAGTACTTTTGAATTTCCCATAGAATTTTTTGTTTTTTTTTAATTTGTTAAACAATTCTTTTAATAAATTGTTAAACAATTTGTTTTAATAAATTATATACATTTATAAATTTTCTATTGACAAACCTTGGAATTTTGAAAAAACCTAAGAAAAGTGGAAATATAATGGAGAAAAATTTACTGCTAATATAACTTACAGGTTTATACACGTTATAATTCTCACAATTAACAATTGTTAATTAACAATTAAAACATCTGACTTGACACCGTGTGACAGTATTTTTACAAATTACAACTTGAAATAGAAAAATAATAGATCTACAACTGTACTTGCAATTTTGTTTTTATGTTTTTATGTAAATATATAATTAGATCTAGGGTCCAAGAACCCCTTAAGAAAATTATTCAAAAAATTATTTATTTTTGTATTTAAATAAGGAGTTACTCAAAAAATACGTACATTCTAGAAATTAATTTTAATATTGAAAGAGTAACTAAAAGTTTTTAGAAATCATTAGATTTCAAAAGGTTCGAAATTGAAATTTTTGAAAATTTGAATTTTGAGTAACATTGATTAAAAATTCTAAAGAACTTATTTCTTCGAATAATTTTAAGTTTAAATCCTTTTCAAATATTAGTCGAATTTTTGAATATTATTTAATTAGAAACTTTCGAAAAATCAAAATTTCGAATTGAAAGGAACAGTATTTTATACTTATTTTAAGTATCATTTTCTTTGTAAAGAATTAAACTCTCGAAGAATTTTTTCAATTTTTAGAATTTTTAACTAAAATTCTAAAAATTAAAGTTTTGAGAAGTTATAGTAGAAATGTTTAGAAATAATTCAATTTCTGCTTTTCTGTATTTTAAATCGATTAAAGCAACATTCTTTCGGCTTTAAAGTCAATCAAAGGGCTGAAAAAAAGCATTGATTTTTCATATAAATTTATTACAATTATTAATGATAATCGCATTATTTAAATACATTTTGAAAATTACATTTGCAATTTTTGAATACAAAAAGGAAATACAAAAACATTGACGAATAATTGAATTTTAAATTCAAAAATAAATGTAGGAATTTTTTTTTAATAAAAAAAAATAGAAATTTAAAACGTATTCTTTTAAAAAGAAATAATATTAATTGTATTAATTTATAATAGGTATAGACATTTACATTTTTTATAGAAATATTTTCCAAATTACGAATCATTGAAAATGTAAATGAGAAAGTAAGAAAGAAATTAGTATTGGAATTTCAAATTAAAAAAACAAAAATAAAATATTTTTTTTTAAAGACAAAAAATAGAAGAGTTTTTTCGTAACGAATTTAAATTTTGTTCTCTTCACACACTGAATCAGTGTCTTCACAGTTGACAAATACGCGTAATAAATTCTTTATTACATTTTCCTTTTTGTTTAAATTAAAAGAAAGCTGATCAACTTTTGTTTGTAGTTTCGTTATCTCATTGAATGCTAAATTTAATTGTTGTCGTAAACCTTCGTTTTCGTTTTTGAGATACGAAACATGTCCAATTACATAGGACTGAGATGAATTAACTGTTTCATTGTTATCGAAACTTTCCAAATTGACGAGAATTTTCTTATCATTTTCCTCTTCTTTCCGCTCTTCAATATTCTTCTTCTCCACATCGTCCTCTTTCGTATTTTTTCGCCCTTCGCCACTTGGATCGAGAAATTCGTTGTCGACAGACTTTAAAAATTTTCCATTTTCTTCAGTTTCTGATTTTTTATCTTCCTCCTCTCCTCCGGGTCCCGAAATAATGACAAATGAACGTACAGAATACGATGGAGAAAGTGTTGTACGATCTTCTGATTTTTCTTCTTTATTCGATTCTCTATTTTCCGTTTTTTCGTTATTGAAATTTTTCTCCTCTTCGGTTTCATTTTTATTTATATTTTCCTTTTCGATTACTATAATCTTGTTTGAATCGATGTAAGAAGTAGAAGCAAATTGATTATTGTTTGTTTCCAATTTTGAATTTTCGTTATTGTCAGAATTGTCTTTTGATTCTGACGATTCTGACGGAGTAATTTTCGAAGCATCTTTTGCATCACTTTCAACATATTTAAGAGTTTCTGAATCAACATCTGAGAGAATTTCAAGCGAGTTTGTAGTTATTTTGCCTTTGTTAATTTCACTCGTTACTGCAACACAAGATTTTTCAACAACTTTTTTCTCCTTTGATTGTAAAATTATAAAATAATCTTCATTCTCCATTGAGGACAATGTACCAAATGGTGTTTTAAATTGACCTTCGTAAATAAATTGAAACTTTGATGTCGAATACGAGAGGAAATGTTGTGTTTTACAGAAATTTAATTTTGAATCGAATCGTAAAATAACGGGACAATCAAATTCACTCCATTTGTTTAATTTTTCGGAATTACATTCATCGACGACTTTTACGTAAAACAGAATGTTTGGTTTTTGATAATTTTCATGTAGCATGTAGTCGTCGTACGATTTTGAAGAATATTCAACAATCAATTCTTTTTCCTCTGAAATGCAATTTTCACAAAGAGACGTCTCTACATTGTCTGGATTTTCAATTGCAGTGTTGACAATTTTTAACTGTTTTATCCTCGGATTGAGATGCAAGAGGAATTCCCAATAATTGTTTTTTATAATTGCATGTTCAGAGAAAAGGGCATCGATGTGAATTGTCAATTCTTCTGGAATCATGTCGTGTATTTTTTGTAAAGCGTTATTAATTTTCGAAGCTACGTCCATAAAGTTAATAAGGTCCATTTTCAATAATCTCGATTTTAAACATCTTTCCTCCAAATTCGTTATTGTATATGTGTAAGTAAGTTCGTCTATATCTTGATTTACATCTTCTGTAATACACGGAAAAGTAGGAGCAAGAAATTTCAAGTCGATATTGAATTCCTCGGCTGTGTTCAGAATTTTTAAATATTGATCCATCACTTTACAATTCCTAGTGTGAATTTTATTTTGAGGATGCTTTTTACAAAAACTTGCCACTGGACAATTAGGACAATTTGTTAGATTTTCTTCTTCTGTTTCACAACATATGAAACACCCTCGCGGATGTTTCCACATTGCTTTTTCTAATAAACTTATAGGTCTTCCTAATTTCTTCAATATTTCTTCATAGATTTCATTTCGTTTCGTTGTCCAAGGGGATCCAAATTTATTCTTTAGCTCTTCACAAACGTGTGACAATTTTTTTTCATTTAATATTTCTTTAATTACTTTACAAAAATATTTGTGAATTTCCAAATGCTTCAGTCGATGATCCTCGGAGCAATAAGAAATCATGTTGCATTCACATCTTTTTAAATTGTCCCTCGATTTACAAATATAGCACTCATTTGGCAGAAATCTTTCCATCTTTGACGACTTCATATTTTAGAATCTCTTTCTTATTTGTCCGAAATTTTCGGATACCTGTAAATAAAAATTTGTTTCTTATCAAATTTTAGCGAAAAACGATGTATTATCGAAAGTAAATAAAAGTTAGACAAAAAATTGTGATCCTCTCCCAAGAAAAGTACCTAAGAAGCAAATGAGTTTCAGATTATATATTTGTCTTAGATTTATTTTGATTAAATTGAATATTTTCGATGTAATGAAGTCTTAAACATAAATAATTTGCAATATTAATTGATTTTCTTTCTTTTACTTTAAAAATTATAAACATAACCTAAAATGTATGCTTTTTAGGTATATAATTATACCTTTCGTAGGAACGCGTCACAATTATGTTTTAGAAAATGAAAGAAAACTATTTCTGCACTGTAAGAAATGTTTATTGAATTTCCAATCTAAAATTTCCTATTCACAATTTGTTCAAATTATAAAGTAATAAATTTCATTTATAAATTTTCGACTGACAAACCTTGTTATTTTGAAAAAACCTAAGAAAGGTGAAAATATAATGGAGACAAATTTACTGCTAATATGCTTATAGTACAGGCTTATGCACGTTATAATTCTTACAATTTATTAATAATTGTTAATATTAATTAACAATTAGAAACCTGTCAGACAGTATTTTTAGAACTCAGAATAGAGAAAGAATAGATGTACAACTATATTTGCAATTTTGTTTTTACATGTAAATGTATTGTTATCAAGGGTCCAAGGACCCCCTAAGAAAAGTTAGAATTTCTTTATTTGATATTTGATAAGGCTGGAGTCCCATGACAGCGTTTTGCGTTGCGTTTTGTAACTAGGCCATGAGTGTGAGAAAGATACAGATATAGGTTTGCTCTATTTGCACTCATTGCCTAGTTACAAAACGCAACGCAAAACGCTACCATGGGACTCCAGCCTAACAGTTTGTATGTATTGTTCAAAATTTATTTTTTGCTCTCAGACTTTTTTAAAAATATTTTTATGAATATTGAAGCTCTTTAGCTTCAATATTGAATATTGAAGCAACTCTTAAGCTGAGTTGCCGCCTAGGAAAATATTTAAATTGTCCATTAATTTTCCTTAAAGACTTTTTGAAAACTATTAAAAAAGAATTCAAATATATTCTCAAATAAAATTTGTCACGAGAATTTAATTATTTTCAAAAATAATAAAATTCTTCTCAAGAATTCAATTGTTTTTAAAAATAATAAATTTCTTCTTGGAAATTCAATATATTATTTTAAAATTTCAACAAAATTCTTCACAAGAGTTCAATTTTTTAAAAAAATTTGATTACAATTCTTTGTTAAAATTTAATAATTTTCATAAATAATGAAATTCTTCTCAGGAATTAAATTATTTTTTAAAATTTTAATAAAATTCATTACCTAAATGAATTTAATTATTTACAAAAAATTTGAATAAAATTCTTTGCAAAAATACAATTATTTTCATTAATAATAAAATTCTTTGCAAAAGTTCAATTATTTTTTTAAACTTTAAGAAAATTCCTCACAAGTTAAAATTTCTAGAAAGTAATTAAATTTTTGAGAAGTTAGGCAGTGAACAAGTTGAAGGCTGAAAAAGATAAAAGCATTGATTTTTCATATAAATTTATTACAATTCATAATGACAATCGCATTATTCAAACACTTGTTTAAAATTATAGTTGCAGTTTTTAAATACAAAAAAATTGATGAATAATTGAATTTTAAATTCAAAAATAAATGTAGGAATTTTTTTTTTTATAAAAAAAATAGAAATTTAAAACGTACCTATTCTTTTAAAAAGAAATAATATTAAATGTATTAATTTATAATAGGTAGGCATTTACATTTTTTATCGAAATATTTTCCAAATTACGAATAATTAAAAATGTAAAAGAGAATTAAAAACAAAAATTAGTATTTGAATTTCAAATTCAAAAAAAAAAAAAAAAATAGATTTTCTTTTAAAGACAAAAAATGAAAGAGTTTTATTTGTAACGAATTTAAAATTTGTTCTCTTCACACACTGAATCAGTGTCTTCAAAGTTGACAAATACGCGTAATAAATTCTTTATTACCTTTTCCTTTTTGTTTAATTCAAAACAAACCTGATTAAATTTTGTTTGTAGTTTCGTTATTTCTTTGAATGACAAATTTAATTGTTGTCGTAAACCTTCGTTTTCATTTTCAAGATACGAAACATGTCCGATTACATAGGACTGAGAAGAATTATCTATTTCATTGTTTTCGAAACTTTGCGAATTGAGGAGAATTTTTTTATCATTTTCCTTTTCTTTCCGCTCTTCAATATTCTTTTTCTCCATATTGTCCTCTTTCGTATTTTTTGGCCCTTTGCCACTTGGATCGAGAAATTCGTTGTCGACATACTTTAAATATTTTCCATTTTCTTCAGTTTCTGAGTTTTTAGCGTTTTTTTCTTCCTCCCCTTCTCCGGGTCCCGAAATAATGACAAATGAACGTACAGAAGACGATGGAGAAAGTGTCACACGATCTTCTGATTTTTCTTCCTTATTCGTTTCTTTATTTTCCGTTTGTTGGCAATTGGAACTTTTTGCCGATTTAATTTCGTTTGTGCTTGTATTTTCCTTTTCAATTACTTTAATCTTGTTTGAATCGGTGTAAGAAGTAGAAGCAGATTGATTTTCGTTTGTTTCCAATTTTGAATTTTCGTTATTGTCAGAATTGTCTTTTGATTCTGACGGATTAATTTTAGAAGCATCTTCTACACGATTTGCACTATTTTCACCACATTGATGAGTTTTCATGACAGTATTTTTAACTTCCGAAAGATTTTCAGTTGTCTTTGTACCAATTGTTTCCTCGCAGATTTCGCCTGTTAATGAATCAGAAGATTTTTCAAATATTTTGTTTTCCTTTGATTGCAAAATTATAAAGTAGTCTTCATTTTCAATTGAGGATAATTTACTGAATGGTGCTTTAATTTGTCCCTCGTAAATAAATTCAAACTTTGCTATTGAAAGAGAGAGAAATTGTAGTGTTTTGCAAAAAATCGAATTTGTGTCAAATCGCAAAATGACTGGGCAATTAAATTCACTCCACTGATTTCGTTTTTCGGAATTACACTCGTCGACGATTTTCAAGTAAAATAGAATATCTGGTTCTTGATAATTTTTATCTTGCATGTAATCGTCGTAAGATTTTGACAAATATTCAACAATTAATTCTCTTTCCTCTAACTGGCAATTTTTGCAAAGAGACTTCTTAGAATTGTTCCGATTTTCAGTCTGAGTGATGACAATTTTTAACTTTTTTATCTGCGGATTGAGATGCAAGAGAAATTCCCAATAATTTTTTTCTGTGATTGCGTGTTCATAAGAAAGGGCATCGATGTGAATTAACAATTCTTCTGGAATCGTGTCGTGTACTTTTTGTAAAACACTATAAATTTTCGAAGCTGCATCCATAAAGTTAACAAGATCCATTTTCAATAATCTCGATTTTAAACAAACTTCTTTCATGTCAGATACGCAATATGTGAGTGTAAGTCTATCTATAACTTGATTTACTATTTCTTCTGTAATACACGGAAAAATAGGAGACAAAAATTTCAAATCGATATTTAATTCTTCGGCGGTTTTAAGAACTTTTAAATACTGATTCATCACTTTACAATTCATAGTGTGAAGTTCATTTTGTGGATGCTCTTTACAAAAACTTGCCATTGGACAATCAGGACAATTTGTTAAATCTTTTTGTCTTGTTTTACGACAAACGAAACACACTCGCGAATGTGTCCACATTGCATTTTCTAATAGACTCATAGGTCTTCCTAATTTATTTGTTACTTCAATGCTGATTTTTTCTCTTTTTGTTCTCCAAGCGGATCCACCTAAACTTTTAAGCTCTTCATGAATGTGTGACACTTTTTTCTCTATTAACAATTCTTTAATTACTTTGCAAAAACTTTTATGAACTGCCAAATGTTCTAATCGATGATCCTTAGAGCAATACCAAATCATTTTGCATCTACATCTTATTAAGTTGTCTCTGGATTTACAAATATAACACTCATTCGGCAAAAATCTTTCCATCTTGAAAGAATTCATATTTCAAAATTTTCGTCTTTGCAGAGTGTATACAATCAAATTTGTCGAAAACCTGCAAATGAAAAATAATTTTCTTATCTAATTTTACAGAAAAATGATGGACTATCGAAAATTAATAAAGTTACAAAACAATATGTATTGGGAAAGGAAAGAAATCTTTTTTTATACTTTAAGTAATGCTTATGGAATTTTCAATAGAAAATGTAAAAAAATGCAGCGTCACAATTATGTTTTGGAAAATGAAAGAAATCTATTTCTCCACTGTAAGAAATGTTTATTGAATTTTCAGTATAAAATGTAGTTGAACGTCCGAATTTTATTACAAAGGTACTTTTGAATTTCCCATGAAATTTTCTTTCCTGTTCACAATATATTATTTATAAGTTTTCGATTTACAAACCTTGGAATTTTGAAAAAACCTCAGAAAAGTAAAAATATAATGGATAAAAATTTACTGCTAATATGCTTATAGTACAGGCTTATGCACGTTATAATTCTTACAATTTATTAACAATTGTTAATTAACAATTAAAAAATCTGACTTGACTTGACATTGCTTGACAGCAAACATTGTTCGACAGCAACCATAGTCATAGAAAATAATAACATAATGTAGAATCACAACTATAATTGTAATTTGGTTGTTGACCCTAAGGTCCAAGAACCCCTCGGAAAGTAAGAATTTCTTTAAGGGCATTCGGGAGCAAATAGTGTTTTCGTAAATTACTTCTCATTTGAAAGGAAGATAATATTTTGGATTTGTATTTTATGAAAATAATAAGAAAAGGTACCCTGACTTTCTTTCTTCTTCTTATTTACAATAATTTTGTAAGAAAATGATTTTAATAAAGATATAAAGTGGACCATTTTTTAAAGGGTAACTGGGGACACCCACAGAAAATTCTAAAAGTTGTCTTCGAAAAAGAAATAAACATTGAATTTTCATGCACATTTATTAGAAAATTCTTAACAATGATATCTATAAATAAATATTTTAATCTATCTATAAATATTTTAATAGAATTAAAATTACTGTTTAAATACATATAAAAAATAAAACATTGAATGGAATTTAGAATTTATACATAAGTATTCTTTTAAATCGAAATAATGTTCTATAATAATTACTTACATACAAATAATTAAATTTTTTTTCAACTATTTTTCAAATATTATAAATGTCTAAAACAATTAAAAAAGGAGTAACAATCGAATTTTAAAAGTAAAAAACTAGAAGATTCTTCATTAAAGAAATTGAAATAGAAAAATTGTTTTGGATTTAAATTTTGCTCTCTTCACACACTGAATCCGTGTCTTCTATTGTAGTGTCTCCAAAATTGACAATACCAGATAAAATTTTGTTTAAATCCAAAGAAACTTGCTCGAGTTTTGTTTGCAGTTTCGTTACCTCATTGAATGATAAATTTAACTGTTGTCGTAAGCCTTCGTTTTCGTTTTTAAGATACGAAATATGTTTGATTAGATACGACTGAGAAAAATTAACTTCACGTTTACCATTCTTGTTGAAATTTTTAAAATTGAGAATATTGTTTTCTTTACGCTCTTCTAAATTGTTTCTATCGATATTGTCATTTTTTCCTTCTTCGTTGTTTGGATCAAGAGTTTCATTATCCATAGATTTTAAACAATTTTGACAAATTTCAGTTTTTGATGATTTATTCTTCTTTCCTTTCTTATTCTCTTTTCCGGATTCTGCAACATCCTTTATATTTTCTTTTTCAATTACACTCTCGTTTGACTCGTCCAAAGAAACGTTAGACGATTGATGTTCGTTTGGTTCAACATCCGATTTATCCTTATTGCAATTGACTTCTGATTCTAATTCAATAATTTTCGTAAGATCTGCATTATTTTCACTACATTTAGAAACTTGGGTGTAACTTTTGTTTATTTCTAAAGGAATGACAATTGTGTTTGCCCCATTTTTCTCCTCGCAGATTTCGCCTGTTACTGCAACACAAGATTTAGAAAGAACTTTGCTTTCCTTCGATAGCAAAATTATAAAATAGTCTTTGTTTTCAAGTGACGATAATGTAGCGAATTGTGTCGTTAATTGTCCTGCGTAAATAAATCGAAACTTCGTTGTTGAAAGCGAGAGGAATTGTAGTATTTTACAAAAATTCGAATCTAATTCAAATCGTAAAACGACGGAAAAATTAAATTCACTCCACTTGTTTAATCTTTCGGAATTACATTCATCACTGATTTGAATATAAAAAAGAATATCTGGTTCTTGATAATTTCCATCCAGCATATAATCTTCGTAAGATTTTTTTAAACATGTAACAGCCAATTCTCTTTTCTTTGAATGACAATTTTCACAAAGAGACATCTTTAAATTTGACTGATTTTCTGACGAAGTGGTGACAATTTTCAACTTTTTTATCTGCGGATTGAGATGCAGGAGAAATTCCCAATAATTGTTTTTTGTAATTGCATCGATGTGAATTGTCAACTCCTCTGGAATCGTATCGTGTATTTTTTGTAAAGCGTTATTAATTTTCGAAGCTACGTTGATAAAATCAATGAGATTAATTTTAGATAAGTTCGACATCATTCTTTCTATCTCCGTATCAACTGTTCTGTATGCCATTGAAAGATAATCATTACCTGCGTACTGATTTTTCTCTCCAGTAAATGGAAAATCAGACGATAGAAATCCTAAATCAACATTTAATTCTTCGGCCTTTGTCAGTATATCTAAATATGTGCTCATTACTTTACAATATTCTTCATGACTTTCATCATTTTCGTGCTCTTTACAAAAACTCGCTATTGGACAATGTGGACAATCAATTAAATTCTCTTGTTTCGTTTCGTGACAATCGAAACAAATTCTTGGACAATCGAGCATAAATTTTTCCAGTGGACTTAAAATTCTTCCTAGTTTCTTTTTTATTTCTTTGCGGATATGGTCTCTTTTTTTCGTCCACTCGGGATCGAATAAAAAAATCAGCTCTTCGTGAATGTGAGCTATTCCTTTTTCTTTTAATAATTCTTTTACTACTTTGCAAAAATTTTCGTGTGTTGAGAAGTGTTGTTGTCGATGATCCTCAGAACAGTAGGAAATCGTGTTGCATTCGCATCTTATTAAATTTTCTCTCGATTTGCAAATGTAGCATTCATTTGGAAAGCATCTGGCACTCTTTGAATAAATAGGCATCTTTCGGGTTAAACGGTAGTCAACTGGTTTTTCAAAATCTGAAAATAATAAATAACAACAGTAAATTTAAGAAGGAAATTTTTTTGTAATTATTTTATAGCCAAAGGACCTTATTAGGTACCTAAGAAGAAAAACACTTCACAAAAATGACAAAAATTCCATTTCATATTTTTTTATTTTCCTGACTAATTTTCATAAAAAATATTTATGAATTTGTGAAAATATTTTAAATCTTGCCAACTATTAGAATTTTTTAAAATAATTGAATTTCCAAGAAAAAATTTATTATTTTGGAAAATAATTGAATTTTTGTGATAAATATTGTTATTTATGAAAATAATTTACTTTTGCAAAGAATTTTATGAAATTGCCTCAAAATAATTGAATTTTCGAAAATAATGTTATTTATCGACATAATTGAATTCTTTCCAACAATTATTTATGTAAATAATTTAATTCTTGGGAAGAAATTTAATTAAAATTGTCTTTAAAATAATTGATTTTTTTCAAACAATTTTATTAATATATTTGAAAATAATTGAATTTCTGTGAAAAATTATAAAATTTTTGTAAATAATTGAATTCTTCCAAAGAGTATTGAAAAAACATTTTTTTTAATAATTGATTTTTATAAAATACCTGATATTGATAGTAATTGAATATCGTTATAAAGAATTTGATATGCTTTTAAGAAAATAAAAATAGTTACCTCTCTTTTTTTCTAAATATATTTTCTCTCTTCTCAAGTTGACTTAAAAATCTCCTTAAATTAAACAATCAAATTTTTGTGTATATTTTACTAATACATTTTATCATTTGATAACAAAACAATTAGAATATTACAGGAATATTATTAAAAGATAAACTGCGTTAATTCTTTCAACATGAAATAATGAATGAACACAGAGTCACAAATATAATTGTCATCATTGTCATCGATCATAGAGATCATAGATAAAGTCATGCAGGGTCCCTGAACCCTTTTTTATATAGAATTATTAAACTTTTCGCAAGAGAATTGCAAATTTTTCGTCGATATTATTATTATTAATATTATTTTTTTTTTATTAAAATTTTTGTACTGTTCTCGAGAATATTATTCTTCTTCCGGAAAATTTCTCTGAATTTTCTGTTAGAGTTAAAACGAGTTAAATTACGAATTTCGAATGATATTTCATTAATCATAAAGATTTTTTTAAAGTTTCAAAAGGAATTTTTTCAATAACAATAATATATTTTTTACAATAAGAGTTTAAAAAAATGAAAAAGTGTTTTTTACCAATTCTGCACCAAAAAAACCCCTTAAACAATTTTAAGCATATAATTTATTAATAATTATTTTGTTAAAATAATAGTGGATGGTAACTGAAACACAGACAGTAAATTCGAAAAAGAAATAAACATAGGTAATGCATTTTCAAACATATTTATTAGAAGTATTTTAATGACATATACAAATATTTTTATATAGAATTACAAATACAGTTTAAATACAAAAAATAAAACAATAAATAGAATTTAGACAAGTATTCTTTTAAATCGAAATAATATTAATAGTATCTATCCTTGACAGATATTTACATTTTATTTCAACGTTTTTTCGAATTATAAATCCCAAGAAATGTTAAGGAGAAAAATTTGAATTTTAAATTCAAAAGAAGATAAATTAGAAGCATATTTTTTAAAGAATAAAATAAAAGAAAAATAATCATGGAGGAAATTTTTCCAACGTTTTCAATATTTTAAATTTTGTTCTTTTCGCACACTGAAGTCTCTTTAGAATCGAAAATCCCACGTTAAATTTTGTCTTAATCGAGTTTTGTTTGCAGTTTCGTTACCTCATTAATTGATAAATTTAACTGCTTTCGTAAGCCTTCGATTTCATTATTGAGAAACGAAATGTGTTCGATTAGAAACGATTGAGAAGAATTAACTTCAACGTTCTTTTTTGCAACAATTCCTTCTTCATTTGGATCAAAATTTTCCTTATCGATAGACTTTGAACAATTTTCAGTTTTTGATTTTTTATTCTTCTCGCCTTTCTCCTCTTCTCCAGCTTCGGAAATAGTTGCAAATGAACGTTTCGATGATCGTTTACTCTTTGTGCCAATTTTTTCCTCACAGATTTCGCCTCTTGCCGAACAAACAGATTTTTCAAGTTCTTTGCTTCCCTTTGATTGTAAAATTATAAAATAATCTTTATTTTCAATTGAAGATAATGTACTGAACGGGGTTTTCAATTGTCCCTCGTGAATAAATCGAAACTTTGCTCTAGAAGACGAGAGAAAATGTTGTGCTTCACAAAAATTGGAGTTTGAATCGAATTGTAGAATAATGGGACAATTTAATTCACTCCACTTATTTAATCTTTCAGAGATACTTTTAATGTTGATTTGAACATAAAACAGAAGGTTCGGTTCTTGATAATTTTCCTCCAGCATGTAATCTTCGTAAGATTTTTCCAAAGTTTCAAGAATGAAATTTCTTTTCTCCAAATGGCAATTTTTACAAATAGACTTCTTTAATCTAGATGCATCTCGAGATGTAGTCATGACGATTTTTAATTTTTTTATCCCTGGATTGAGATGCAAGAGAAATTCCCAAAAATTAACTACTCCTACTGATATATCATAGGTGAAATCATCGATGTGAATTGTCAATTCCTCTGGAAACGTGTCGTGTATTTTTTGTAAAGCGTTATTAATTTTTGAAGTCAAGTCAATAAAATTAGTGAGAAAAATTTTACATTCACTCGATATAAATACATATGGGTCCATATCGATTGTTTTGTATGTCACTGTGAGTTCATCTAGAGAATCACCTTTCTCTCCAGTAAATGGAAAACCAGACGATAGAAAATCTAAATCAATATTTAATTTCTCGGCCGTTGTCAATACATTTAAATATGTATTCATTACTTTACAATATTCTTCATGAGTTTCACTTTCTTCGTGTTCTTTGCAAAAACTCGCTATTGGACAATTTGGACAATTAATTAAATTCTCTTTTGTTTCGCAACACTCGTAACAAATTCGTGGAGTATAAAACATAAAATTCTCCAGTGGACTTAAAGTTCCTTCCAGTCCTTTCAGTTGTCTTATGATTTCCTTACGAATTTTGTCTCTTTTTTTAATCCATTCGAAACCATCTATAGTATTAAGTTCTTGATAAATGTGAGTGATTCCTTTTTTTTTCAACAATTCTTTTATTGCTGTGCAAAACTCTTCGTGAATTGATAGATGTTGTTGTCGATGATCCTCTGAACAGTAAGAAATCATGTTGCATTCGCATCTTATTAAATTTTCTCTCGATTTGCAAATGTAGCATTCATTTGGAAAGCATCTGGAACTCTTTGTATAAATAGGCATTTTTTTTGGGTTAAACGGTAGGCAACTGGTTTCTCGAAATCTGAAAATAAATAATAATAGGAAATTTAAGAGGAAAAATTGTTCTTTTAATTTATAACCAAAGTTCTTGTATTTTATATAAAAATTCAGAAAGTTTTTCAAAGTTCGTTAATTAATTTGAAACGCGCTCCCAAGCACTTGACTACTAAAAGTTCCTATTTAATTATATGTTAATTTGAAACTAGTTTTTATTGAATATTTTCTATGTAACGAAGAGTTAAACATCAATAATTTGTAGTGGTGATTGAATCTCTTTCTGTATTTTTTATCCGAAAATTATAAACATAACCTAAAATTTCTATTTGTAATTTTTTTTAAACTCTTTTCTACATCTAGTTTTAAAAGATATTAATTAAAATACATGATGCTGAATACAAAATTAATTGATTCAATATAATAGCGATTGAATATTTCAAAACAATAAAAAATGAATTGTGGTTAAAACCACGAAGTGTTAAAACTCTTTTTCTTTTAAGAAAATAAAAAAGTTACCTCTTTTTTTCCTTTAATATTTTCTTTTCTCAAGTTGACGTGAAAATCTCCTTAAATTGAACAATCAAATTAAGTTTTAGTCACATTTTAACAACAGAATCACATTTATTAACAACAATTAGAATTGACAGTAGACCTTTCAACATGCAATAAATTATTTGACATAGAAACACAAATATAGCTGCAATTTGGTTGTCACAAGTAAAGTCCGAAAATAAAGGGTCCATGGACCCCTTGTGATAGAGTTGAAAATTTTTCGATAATTTAAATTTTGGCAATTTTGGTATTCGAAAATATTCTTCCAGAATATTGGAGAATATTCTGTATCTTTGAATTTATGAGTATCATTGAAATTAATTTTGATGTTACGTAGAGGAAAATTTCGAAATATTGAAATTAGATGAAGGAAACTTTCCTTTGGATGACAATAAACATTGCTTCTTTAATTATTTATCAAAAATAATGACACTTTTAGTACAATATTAAATTAGAAGTAATGACAATTTACAACAAAATTGTGTTAGAAATATAATAATAATTACATTGTTTTAACATTTTTAAAAATTATAAAATCAGTTAAGAAATATAAATATAAGTAGAAAATAATAATTATTGACACAGACAAATGTGTGAATTTTGTTTTAAATAGATAATAATAAAATAGTTTTTTTGTGGTTTTAAGACTTATTCTTAAGCACTGAATCAATGTCAGCGTTATTGACAATATCGCGTAACACTTTTTTCATTAATTTGTTCTCTTCGATTACAGTCGAAAAAACTTGTTCAAATTTTATTTGTTGTTTTGTCACTTCCTCGATAGATGCATTTAATCGTTTTCGTAACTCATCGATTTCATTATTAAGATATGAAATGTGATCGATCAGAAATGATTGGGAAAAATTAGTTTGAGAATTTTTGAAATTTCCCAAATTGACACGAAGGTCTTTATCATTTTTTTGTTCTTCTCCTTCCTCTATGCGCTTTTCTATTAATTCCGTATTATTTTTTTCGTTATTCTTCTGCTCGTCGTCTTCTGTCTCTAAAGATTCATCTTTGTCGATTGATTTTGAACAACTATTTTCTTCGCGTTTGGAATTCTCAATCGCAGTATTTTTTCAACTTCCTCTTCTTTTTTTTCTTTCTCCACTTCTCCGGGTTCTGAAATAATTACAAAAGAACAAACTGATGTCGATGGAGATATTGTTCTACGATCTTCGGATTTTTGTTCAGCATTTGATGTATGAACTTCAGGTACTGTTAAATTACTGGAATTCTTATTTTCCACTTCTTCGTTAGTGGGATTTTTTTCGATTTCAATACCGTTTGTTTGTATATTTCCGTTTGACTCAGTGGAAGAAGTGGCGGGCTTGTCCTTTGGTTCTGACTGAGTAACTTTAGAAGCATCTGCAATATTCCCACATTTTAGAATTTCGGAATTAATATTTTCAACTAAAACAGTTTCAGTCGTGTTTGTCCCGCTTTTTTCCTCGCAGATTTCGTCTGTTACTGTAACACATGATTTTTCAAGTACTTTGTTCTCCTTTGATTGCAAAATTATAAAGTAATCTTGGTTTTCAATTGAGGATAATGTACTGAATGGTGTCTTCAATTGTCCTTCGTGAATAAATCGAAACTTCGTTGTCGAAGAGAAGACAAAATGTTGTGTTTCACAAAAAATCGAATCTGATTCAAATCGCAAAACAACTGGAAAACTAAACTCACTCCACTTATTTAATTTTTCAGAATTACATTCATTGACGATTTTCACGTAAAACAGAATATCTGGTTTCTGATAATTTTCATCCAACATGAAAACGTCGTAAGATTTTGCCAAAATTTCCAGGTTCAAATCCTTTCCCTCTGAATGACAATTTTGACAAAGAGACGTCTCTAAATTGGACCTATTTTGAGTTGTAATTATAACAATTTTTAACTTTTTTATATGTGGATTTAGATGCAAAAGAAATTCCCAATAATTTTCTTTTGTGATTGCGTGGTCATAGGTAAGGGCTTCGATGTGGATTGTCACTTCTTCTGGAATCGTGTCGTGTGTTTTTTGTAAAACGTTATTAATTTTCGAAGCAACGTCAATAAAATCAATTCGATCGATTTTAGATAATTTCGATTTTTTATAAAATTTTTCCACTTCAAACTCGGTTTCTTGCACTGCAAACGTTATTGTCAGATAATCTTGGTACTGATCTTTCTCTTCGGAACAAAATGGATAGCCAAAGGACAGAAAATCTAAATCAATGTTTAATTTCTCGGCCGTTGTCAATATATTTAAATATGTATTCATTACTTTACAATATTCTTTATGAGTTTCATTTTTTTCGTGTTTTTTGCAAAAGCTCGCTATTGGACAATGCGGGCAATTAATTAAATCCTCTTGTTTTGTTTCGTGACAAGCGAAACAAATTCGTGGATTATAAAACATAAAATTCTCCAGTGGACTCAAACTTCTTCCCAGTTTCTTTATGATTTCCTCATGGAGTTCTTCTCTTTTTGTAGTCCATTCGGGATCATATATGTGAATAAGCTCTTCAAAAATGTGAGTGATTCCTTTTATTTTTAACAATTCTTTTACTACTTTGCAAAAATCTTTGTGTATCGATAGGTGTTGTTGGCGATGATCCTCTGAACAGTAAGAAATCGTGTTGCATTCGCATCTTCTTAAATTTTCTCTCGATTTGCAAATGTAGCATTCGTTTGGAAAGCATCTGGCACTCTTTATATAAATACGACTCATTTTTTGTGTTAAACGGTCCGAGCACATCAAACTGTTTTTCGAACTCTGTAAATAAGAATAGTATTAAATTAAAAAAGTAGAATTTTTTTTTTGTATTTTATTGTCAAAGTTTTTTATTATATTATATAAGAATGTATATAAATTCAAAAATTAGAAACTAAAAATTCAGAAGTTGTTTTATCAAAACCATTTTTTATTTTTTGTAAATTCTTTCTAACAAGTTTTAAAAAATTAAAATAAATCATGAATAATTAATTCAATAATTAATATTGAATATTTAGAAACGAATGTACAAAGTGCTATAATAAAAATAAAAAGTAAAATTAATAGAATGAAACGGTTTTTTTTTTAAGAGAATAGGAAAAATATCTTTATTTCTTATTATTTTCTTTTTTTCAAGTTGACCTAAAATTCTTCTTATAAAAGAAACATTTATTTACTTTTACCATTCTTATTGAATTAGAATTTAAAATAAAAAATTTTTGCATATTGAGAGTTGAAATTTTTCTCTTTTTAGCACAAGTTTAATTGTTCTGTGCGCAATTATTTTTTCTTTCAAAATATATTAAACAATCAAATTAAATTTTATGTGAGTATTTTACTTACTGTTTATTATTTATTAACAACAAATAATTAGAATTTTATTAATAAAGTAACGAAATTAACTGACATTGACAGTAGATCTTTCGACAATCAACATGGAATAAATTACTTAACACAGAAACACAAATATAGCTGCTATTTTGTTGTCACAAGTAAAGTCTGAAAATAAAGGGTCCATGGACCCCTTATGAAAGAGTTGAAAATGGTTGAAAATTTTTTGATAATTTAAATTTTGGTATTAGAAAATATTCTTTTTTCAGAATGATAAAAAAAGAAATCTGGAACAATATAATTCACATTATAAATTAATTATTAAACCAATTAATTATTAATATTTAAATAAGTGAAAATAAAAAAACTTAAAAATTATTTGACAATTTTAATGTTATAAAAATACATAGTATTCGTTTATTAACTCAATTCTTAATTTGTTGCTGAAAATATTTAAATTCGCTTTCACTATAGAAACCATTAAACAAATAATTGTAAAGATTCGAAATATTGAAATTAGATGAAGGGAACTTTTCTTTGGATGACAATAAACATTTTTTTTTTCTATAAACATTGCTTCTTTAATTATTTATCAAAAATAATGACAGTTTAGTACAATATTAAAATAGAAGTAATGTAAATTTACAACAACATTGTATTCGAAATATAATGACAATTACATTGTTTCAATATTTTTTAAAATTATAAAATCAGTTAAGAAATATTAATATAAGTAGAAACTAATAATTGAATTTTTAAATTCGAGGATAAACGAATGTGTGAATATCGTTTTAAATGTTTTAAACAGATAATATAAAACAGTTTTCTTTTAGTGATTTTAAGACTTAATCTTAAGTACTGAATCAATATCAGCAGTAGTATTGATAATATCACATAACGTTTTTCTCATTAATTTATTCTCTTCGATTAGAGTCGAAAAAACTTGTTCGTATTTTATTTGTTGTTTTGTCACTTCCTCGATAGATGCATTTAATCGTTTCCGTAACTCATCGACTTCATTATTAAGATATGAAATGTGATCGATTAAAAACGATTGGAAAATATTAGTTTGAGAATTTTCGACATTTCCCAAATTGACACGAAGATCTTTCTCATTTTTTTGTTCTTCTTCCTCCCTGCGTTCTGTGTTATTTTTTTCGTCATTCTTCTGTTCATCGTCTTCTGTCTCTAATGATCCGTTGTCGATTGAGTTTGAACAATTATTTTCTTCGAGTTTGGAATTCTCAATCGCAGAATTTTTTTCGACTACCTCTTCTTTTTTTTCTCTCTCCTCTTCTCCGGGTTCTGAAATAAATACAAAAGAAGAAGATGGCGATGGAGAAAGTGTTTTATCCTCGGATTTTTGTTCCTTTTGTTCATCATTCGACGTATGAACTGCAGGCTCTGCTGGAATATTCGAATTTTTATTTTCCGTTAGTTCCGTTGTTTCGTTGTTAGAATTTTTCTCAACTTCGGTTTCGGTGTTTGTATTTTCGTTCTGAATTAAAATCCTGTTCGCCTCGGGAAGAGAAACGGTGGGCGATTGATTTTCGCTTGTTTCCAATTTTGATTTTTCATTATTGTCAGAATTTTCCTTTGATTCTGACGGAGTAATTTTAGAAGCATCCGCAATAGCATCTGTACTATTATTTTCATCATATTGAAGATTTTCAATACAAATTTTCTTAACTTCCAAAGAAGTTTCAATCGTGTTTGTAGCAATTGTTTCCTCGCAGATTTCATCTGTAACTGTACCCCAAGATTTTTGAAGTACCTTGTTTTGCATTAACTGCAAAATTATAAAATAATCTTCATTGTCAATGGAGGACAATGTACCGAATTGTGTTTTTAAATGTCCAGCGTAAATAAATCGAAACTTTGTTGTTGAAAGCGAGAGAAATTGTAGTGTTTTACAAAATGTCGATTCTGATGCAAATCGCAACACAATGGGAAAATTAAATTCACTCCACTTATTTAATCTTTCGGAATTACATTCATTGATGATTTTCACGTAAAGCAGAATGTTCGGTTTTTGATAATTTTCATCCAGCATGTAATCGTCGTAAGATTTAGCCACGATTTTAACATTCAGTTCTTTTCCCTTTGAACGACAATTTTCGCAAAGTGAATAATTTACTAAATTGTTTAATATCTCATTGACAACAATGACAATTTTTAATTTTCTTATCATTGGATTAAGATGCAAGAGGAATTCCCAATAATTTTCTCTTCTAATTACATGATTATGAGATAGGGTATCGATATGAATGACAATTTCCTCTGGAATATTGACGTAAATTTTTTGCAAAGTATTCTGAAGTTTCGAAGCTAAATTCATAAAGTGAGTGAGGCTAGTTTTTAATAATCTGGACTTTGCACAGTTTTGTCGCATATCAGTTACTATGAATGTCCGTGTAAGTACGTCTATAGATTGATTTTCTTTTTCTTCTGTAATACAAGGAAAAGTAGAAGGTAGAAACTTCAAGTCAATGTTTAATTCCTCTGCTGCGTCTAGAACGTCTAAGTATTCTATTATTACTTTACAGTTTATATTGTGAATGTCATGGTGAGGATGATTTTTACAAAAACTTACCACTGGACAATTAGGACAATCTATTAGATTTTCTTGTTCTGTTTTGTAACAAAAGAAACAGATTCGAGGACGATGAAACATAAAATATTCCAAAGGAGTCATTCTGCGTCCTAATCTATTTTTTATTTCCTCAAAGATTTCAATTTGTTTTGTTCCCCAATCGGACCCACGTAAATTTGTAAGTTCTTCATAAATGTGCGACAATTTCCTTTTTAGCAATAATTTTTTAATCATTTTGCAAAAGCTATTATGAATCGGCAAATGTTCTAATTGATGATTCTCAGAGCAATAGGAGATCATCTTGCAGTCACATCTTATTAAGTTGTCTCTCGATTTACAAACGTAGCACTCATTTGGCAGAAATCTCTCCATTTTCGTAAAATTCGTTTTTTTTTTCAATTTTCGTCCATGCAAAATGTCGGCAATCGAAATTTACGAATACCTGCAAATAAAAAATTGTTTCTTATCAAATTTAGTTTAGCACATTAATTTAGTTTCGTGAATATAGTTTTTCAATTATACAATTAAAAATTTTTCAAACAATTGAAATTAGTCAAAATATTTTTAAAATAAATTCGAATAATTTTGAAAAATAAAAAAAAATAATCAAATTTTTGAAGAATTTTAATTATATAAATATGAAATCATGTTTTTGAATAAGAATGAAATTTGAATAAGACGAAAAAAGTACATTTTCAAAAATTTTTATTTACTTTCTTCGAAAGAAATTGAATTCTAAGCATTAGTTTTTTAAAAATAATTTAATCTCTTAAAAGAATTTCTGTGTAATTTAAAAAACGAAGTGTAATTTTTTTAAAGAATTTTAATTATAAAAATTTTGAATATGATTGTTTTTTCCAAAAAGTTAAAAATAATTCTAAAAAATTTTAATTTAGTTTTGAAGGTATTTCAATTTTTGAAAATATGCAATATTGAAAATAATAGAATAATTTAATTTTAAAAAAATTAGAATACAAAATTCTATAAATTACTTTTTCAAAAAATATTTTAAATATATAATTTTTAGAAGTTTCATTAAGTTTCGTTATTTTAAATTTACACTTGAATATTTTTCATTCAAATTTTTGAGAATTCAATAAATATTTAAATTATTTTCAAAATTTGCAATTCAAATTCTTCAAAAGTTGATTTTCAAAAATTTTAATAAAATACTACTTGAAAAAAATCAATTGTTTTCAATAAAATATTACGAAATTTCAATTATTCAAAAATTTCTTAATTGTATATTTCGAAAATTTAATTAAAAAAATGAAAAATAATTTTTGCAATATTTGTCTATAATTATTTTTCACTTTAAAAAATATCGGAATTAAGTTGCATTTTTATACTAAAAAATGTGGTATTTTGTTGCAATATTTGTAAGAAAGGTCGAAAAAAGTCCAAATTTTTTAAAGTAAGTCTTATTTTTTTGAAAATAAATCTCATTTTTTGAAAGTATAATCGAAAAGTCATAATATCAAAAAATAATTTTGTATAAACTCAGAAACTAAAATGAAAATAAACTTTTGTCAAGGTCACTGGAATAATATTCGTTATTGAAAAGTTGAAAATTAATCAGTTGAAAAAATCTGTACAATTTATGAATTTTTAAAATAAAACAACCATGGAATTTTCAAGGAATGTGAAAATATAAAGTAGAAAAGTTTACTTATATTTTACTTACAGGTTTAAACTTTTAATTAACATTTAACAACGACAGAAAAATTCGACATTAAAGTTTTTTGCAAACATAGAATATATAGTTAGATAATTGAGAATCATAACTCCTTATTTTAATATGGTCTATAGTCATAAAGAGTTAGGTAACAATTATTAGGGTCCTAGGACCCTTCAAAAAATTAAAAAAATAAAATAATTAATTTAAAATTTCTTTAATATGATGCAGATAATTTTAACAAAATTTTAATAAAATTCTAAAAAAGGAAAAAAATTGATTTTTCATATTTTATTAGAACTTTAATGACAGTCATAATATTTAATTATTTTTATAAAAATACAATTTCAGTTCAAACATAAAAAAGTAATACAAAAACAAAAATATTAAGAAGTGTAATTGAATATTTCTAAATTTACATTTTTTTATTGAAATTTTTGATAACTCAATTATTTTCAAAATTTCCAATTAAAATTCTTCAAAAAAGAGATTTTTAAAAATTGTCACAAAATATTTGAAAAAAATTAATTATTTTCAATTAAATTTAACAAAATTTCGATTACTCAAAAAGATTTTTATTATATTAAAAAAATATTTTATTTTTATTATATTTAAATAATAAAATTAAAAATTAATAAAAAATTAAATAAAATTAAAATTAAATATTTGAAAAATTTAACTACCTTGAAACAAAATTTTTTTTTCTGACATTTACCTGACTTTACTGACATGTGATCATCATTAGATTCTTCGAAGTATTCAAATTGGAAGGAAATTTATTTCTTTGAATGAAAATGTTGTCGGTATATTAAATAAACGTAAACACCAGCAAATACACAGTAAAGAGATTTATTAAAGAAAAGTAATTATCGTCAAGGGACTTCTATACTTTACAAGGCGTAGCCATGAACTGGCGATTGTTGTCACACGGAAGTAACTAGTGTCCTCTATATTAAGAGTTTGATTCGCGTAGTGCTTTAAATTAAAATATTCCGACACTTCCCCTCGAAATAAACTCTACTTATTTAATCGAAATTCCCCACAAAATTCACTTTTAACAGTCCCATCGATTCTAAACACTGTTGATGGCGTGGCTTTGGTAAGAATTTTGTAAGAACATCGGCTAACATGTCTCTTGAACTAACATGCTTCAATGTCACTTGACCCGACCCGACGACTTCGCGGATGAAATGATGTCTAATGTCGATATGCTTGGATCGTGAGTGATGAACGGGATTAGCTGCCAATTTTTGAGCACTCATATTATCCACGTGTAATTCGATAGATTTAGCATCAGATACTCCAAGCTCCAAAAGAAATCGTCGAAGGTAAATAATTTCTTTAGCCGCTTCTCCCATGGCCATGTACTCAGCCTCGGTACTAGATTGTGCAACGGTCGGCTGCTTTCTGGAATCCCACACGATGGCACCTTCGCTCAGGAGAAACACGTAGCCCGTGTATGACTTCCTATCAATAATGGAACCTCCCCAATCGGCATCCACATACCCGTTGATTTTTCTGCCACCATGCCTGTAAAAAATACCAAGATCAATTGTACCTTTCAGGTATCTTAATACCCGCTTCGCTGCGTTCCAGTGTTCCTTCCCAAAACAATCGTTAAACTGGCTGAGAACGCAAGCCGTGTGAGACAAATCCGGGCGTGTTGAAACTGACAGGTAGAGCAGACATCCAACCAGCTCTCGATAAGGCGGAATTTTCCCTTCCGACTCTTCCCAAACTTTGTCCTTTGTTAACTGTGTACCCGGATCGAGAGGTGTTGAAACCGGATTGCACTCCGTCATTCCAAAGCGTTGAAGAAGACTGGTGATGTACGTCCTGTGATTGATGAGTATTCCATGATCACTCGTATTGAAATCCATCCCGAGACAGCGTTTTACGTCACCGATGTTTCTCATTTCGAAAGCTTTTGATAGACTGCTTGCAAGTTTCGTAATTTTCTCGTCATCCTGACACATGATCAACAAATCGTCCACGTAAATAACTATAATTATTAATTCTTCGTCTTCAAATTTTAAATACACACATGGGTCCGAGTTAGTTGGTCTAGCTCCCAATTTTCGGAGTTCTTTGTCTAGATGTTTGTGCCAGACTCGGGCTGCTTGTTTAAGACCGTACAAGGCCTTTTTCATTCGACAGACGACGTTTTTCGACTTCAATGTATTTAACATTTCTCCGGCCTTGATCATCCATTCGCTTTCTCCTTTTATTTCGTTGACGATGAAGGTGAGAACATTTTCTAGCCACTTTGGTACCTCCATGAAAACCTCTTCCTCTAATTCTCCGTTGAGATACGCGGTTGTGACGTCGAACTGTCTTATTTTCATCCCCTTCTGAGCTGCGATGGCGATTGTGGTACGTATCGAACTGAGTCTTGCAACCGGTGCAAAAGTTTCGTGATAATCCTTTCCATGACGTTGCAGGAATCCTTGAGCGATGATCCTGGCTTTCTTTTTCTTGATTTTTCCACTGTCGTCGATTTTATCCCTCAGGATGAAACGACTACCGATGGTCTTAACTCCTGTGGGTCTTTCTGTCAATTCCCACGTGCTTTTGATTATGATTGACTTCGCCTCTTCCGCCATTGCCATCATCCAATCACGTGATTCGGGACCACTCAGAGCATCTTCAACAGGAGTTTCTGCCAGTGATGCAAAATCAGCTGTTGGTTCGTTTGCAAGTGGTGCCGCTGCCGCTCTGGTTTTTCTTGGCCTTCCTCGAAGTCCTGTTCGCACGATTCGTGGCCGTCCTCTTCTCGTCGCTGGTCGCGGATTTTCAGGCTGAAAACCATAGAAATCCTCTTCAACTTCAGAGTATTCCTGCTCGTACTCGTCCTGATTATCTTCTTCCCCTGACTCGATGATATCCAGCACTAAATTTCTGCGAAGATCTACTTCAATTGAATCCGGTGATGACTGCTCTCGAGGAATCTCGTCAACTGGAAAAACGTCTCCAGAATTTGGATCTGCCGTGCCAGCGAGTCTGTCGGTGAATCTGACGTCTCTGGAAATTATTACTTTCTTCTCAGAGTTCACCCATACTCTGTATGCCTTTGACTCCGCACTGTGTCCAAGAAAAATCCCTTCTCGACAACGTGGTTCCAGTTTTCCGATGCTAGGTGTTCTATCCATAATGTAGACTCGACATCCGAAGTTCTTGAAATCTGACACATCAGGTACTTTCCCGTGCCAAATTTCGAACGGCGTTTTTCCTCCTAATTTTCTAGACGGTGACCTGTTTCTTATGAAATTCGCTGTGTTGACAGCCTCTGCCCAAAATGCATCAGGAAGTCCTGATTCAATCAACAAGCATCTTGCTGTCTCCATGAGGGTTCGATTTCGACGTTCCGAGACACCATTTTGCTGTGGATTGTATGGAGCAGTAAGTCGTCTCAGGATTCCGTGTTTTAGGAGTATCTCGTTCAGGGTGTGATTGTCATACTCTCTGCCATTATCGGATTGTAACGCTTTGATTCTCTTCCCCTTTTGCGTTTCCATCAGTGCTCGAAATTTGTCAAATTCTTCGGAAACTTCGCTTTTTCGACATAAGAATCTGACCTCGCACCATCCAGACGAATCGTCGATGAAAGTGAGGAAATATCCCTTTTTCCCATGAGAAAGAACACGCATGGGACCACAAATGTCCGAGTGAATTAAATCCCCTACACTTGTCATTCTGTTTGACTCCTTGGGAAAAGGGATCCGACACATTTTTCCTAGGGCACACGTGCTGCACTCGAATTCTTCGTTTACGTTGTTGACTTTAATACCTTGAATATTTCCTTTCTTGATAGCATCCCGTAGATATTGGACATTTAGATGACCCATCCGTCTGTGCCAGTCTTCCAAGGAGTTCTTCTTCGCGACTTGAGGTGCACTAAGAGATGATACTACACGACACTCTTGATCGACTGTATTTTGAAGATAATACAGCCCACCTTCTCTTTTTCCCGTTATTAGAACATTCCCGTATTCGTCAATCACTTTCGCACTATAACTGTCAAACACTACTTTATTTCCTTTATCGGTAATTTTCCCTATCGATATTAGATTTGACCGAAGATCCGGTACATATAATGTGTCACTTAATTTCAAGGATTTTCTGTTTCCTTCCGCGATTAGTTCCGTTTTCACAACACCTTTGCCGACTATATCCGTATGAGCACTGCTGGCAAGATTTAGCTTTCGTTTTTCACTGTCACGATTAATTTCCACAAAATGCTCCAGCTCACTACACATATGCGACGTGCAGCCGCTGTCTAAGCACCACTTCTTTCCCCCTGCACTGTCACTTGTTATAAACGAATTATTTATCGATGATTCCGGTTTTATAAGAAAACTTATATCCTCGGTGACACTTGCAGATTGGTTTGACGAATTTTTCCCGCTTAGACAGTTTCGCGCTCGGTGTCCTATTTTTCCGCACTTGTAACATTTCATCTTCGAATCCGATCTTATCACACTGTCCTTTTTATTTTCCTTTTGTTGATTACTAAATCCACTTTTATTTTTGTTCTCGAGTTTCGTAACAACCATCGCGTTTTGTGAGGATCTTTGATTCGTCTCTTTTCTCGCTTCTGATTCTTCGATGACTTTGATTCGAAGTGTTTCTAGTGATGGCAGCTCGTCCCGTGAAGATATGGCGCATCGGAAATTTTCGTAGTCCTCCGGTAGACTTCGCAAAAACATGATGGCTAACAGATCTTTGTTAATCGATATATCCAGTTCTGCCAACTTGTCAACGATTTCGAGAAAGGACTGTGAATGCTGCCTAACGTCTTCGCCATTTTTCATTTTCATGGACATTAGCTGGTTGAGAAATGCCGCTTTTCTCGCAGGTCCCTTAGACTGGTAGGTGTTTTCTAATTTGACCCATATCTCTCGAGTTGTAACGCAATCTTTAATGAGCCTGATCTCCGATGGGCTAATCGCGAGCACAATATCCGATTGTGCTTTTAGATCTGCGTCCGTCCACTGATTTGCAGCTTCTACTGTCGCTGGGTTTGGGTTTTGCGCAGGAACTTCTGGTTTCACGACTGTTCCGCTTGCGTACCCCCACGCATCATTTTTAATTAGGAGAGCACGCATCTGGAGCTTCCAGGTATCATAGTTGTCCTTTGTAAGGACCTCGAACCTTACACCAGTCGAACTCATTTTTCCCGTCTCTCCGGAGAGCACGCTAACCTCAAAAAAATGATCGTCACTACGTTTACCGTTCTATAGCTTTACGAAAACTAATCGCGTGCGCGTAGAATTTTAGGCGTAGGTACCTGGGCCCATAACCTGTTGTCGGTATATTAAATAAACGTAAACACCAGCAAATACACAGTAAAGAGATTTATTAAAGAAAAGTAATTATCGTCAAGGGACTTCTATACTTTACAAGGCGTAGCCATGAACTGGCGATTGTTGTCACACGGAAGTAACTAGTGTCCTCTATATTAAGAGTTTGATTCGCGTAGTGCTTTAAATTAAAATATTCCGACAGAAAATGAACAACTTTTTTTTTTATAAACACTGCTTCTCAACATATTTATTAATAGAAACAATAACAATTTATGACACTATTTAAAAAATAATTACAATCACATTGCTTTATTTTAACATTTTTTTCTAAATATTAAGTTGAACTTAATTTCGAAACGAACGATTGTTTGAATACTGTTTTAAATTTTTTTTAAATAGAAATAATCGAAATAATATAAAACTATTTTTTTGTGATTTTAAGACTTCTTCAGCTGTAAATCAATGTCAGCAATATTGACAATATCGCGTAACACTTTTTTCATTAATTTATTCTCTTCGATTACAGTCGAAAAGATTTGTTCAAATTTTATTTGTTGTTTTGCCACTTCCTCGATGGATGCATTTAATCGTTTTCGTAACTCTTCGTTCTCATGATTGAGATACGAAATATGATCGATTAGAAACGATTGGGAAAAATTAGTTTGAGAATAGCTGAAATTTTCCAAATTGACACGAAATTCAATATTATTTTTCTGTTCTTCTTTTTCTACTCTGAGTTTTTCAATTAGTTCCGTATTATTTTTTTCTTCATTCTTCTCCTCGTCGTCTTCTATCTCTAATGATTCGTTGTCGATTGATTTTGAATTTGAACAATTATTTTCTTCGTGTTTGGAATTCTCAATCGCAGTATTTTTTTCGACTTCCTCTTCTTTTTTTTCCTTCTCCTCTTCTTCGGGTTTTGAAATAATTACTAAAGGACAAATTAACGATGACGATGGGGAAAATATTTTATCCTCGAATTTTTGTTCCTTTTGTTCATCATTCGACGTATGAACTGCAGGCTCTGCTGGAATATTCGAATTTTTATTTTCCGTCAGTTCCGTTTTTTTGTTGTTAGAATTTTTCTCAACTTCGGTTTCGGTGTTTGTATTTTCGTTCTGAATTAAAATCCTGTTCGCCTCGGGAAGATAAACCGTAACTGCTAGATTTTCCTTTGTTTCCAATTTCAATTTTTCGTTATTGTCAGAATTGTCTTTTGACTCTGACGAATGAATTTTAGAAGCATTCGCAATATTTTCAGCAGAGTTTAAATTTTCTGAATTATCTTTAACATTTGCCTCGGGAAGGGAAACGATCGCCGATTGATTTCCCTTTGTTTCCACTTTTGATTTTTCGTTACTGTCAGAATTGTCGTTTAATTCTGACGAAGTAATTTTCAAAACATCTGCAATATTTTCAGCGGAGTTTAAATTCTCTGAATTAATATCTTCAACAATTGAACTAGTTTCAATTGTGCTTGTACCAATTTTTTCCCCACAGTTTTCGCCTGTTACTAAATCAAAAGATTTTCCTTTGTTTTCCTTTGATTGAAAAATTATAAAATAGTCTTTGTTTTCAATTGAGGATAATGTACTGAACGGTGCTTTTATTTGTCCATCGTAAATAAATCGAAACTTTGTTGAAAGCGCGAGAAATTGTGGTGTTTTGGAAAAATTCGAATCTGATTCAAATCGCAAAACAACTGGAAAATTAAATTCACTCCACTTTTTTACTTTTTCGGAATTACATTCCTCGACTTGGACGTAAAACAAAATGTTCGGTTTTTGATAATTTTCATCCAGCATGAAATCATCGTAAGATTTTGCTAAAAATTTAACAGACAATTCTTTTTCCTTTGAACTACAACTTTCGCAAAGTGAACAATTTTCTAATTTGTTGTTTAATATTCTATTCAAAACAATCACTATTTTTAATTTCCTTACCATGGGATTAAGATGCATGAAAAATTCCCAATAATTTACTCTTGTGATTGCATGTGTCGAGAAGAAGGCATCGACATGAATGACAATTTCCTCTGGAATTCGGCCGTAAATTTTTTGCAAAGCATTCTGAACCTTCGAAGCTACATCCATAAACTGAATAAGACCATTTTTTAATAATCTCGACTTTAAACAATCAAGTTTCATGTCCTTTACTATAAATGTCCTTGTCAGTTTGCCCATAACTCCAATTTCTCGTTCCTCTTTTAAACACGGAAAACTAGAAGACAGAAATTCCAGGTCAACATTTAATTCCTCTGCCACATTTAAAATTTTTAAATATTGATTCATTACTTTACAATTTATACTGTGGAGTTCATCGTGAGGATGATTTTCACAAAAACTTGCCACTGGACAATTGGGACAATTTGTTAGTTCTTCTTTTTCGGTTTTACAACAAACGAAACACACACGCTGACGATGAAACATTACATATTCCAATGGACTTAATCTTCTTCCTAATTTACTTTTTATTTCTGCGTAGATTTCACACCGCTTTGTATTCCATTCAGGTCCAGGTAAATTTGTAAGCTCCTCATAAATGTGTGACAATTTCTTTGCTATTAACAATGATTTAATTAGTTTGCAAAAACTTTTATGAATCGGCAAATGATTCAATCGATGTGCTTCGGAACAATAGGAGATTAAGTTGCAGTCACATCTTATTAGGTTATCTCTCGATTTACAAACATAACATTCATTTGGCAGAAATCTCTCCATTTTTGCACAATTCATTTTTTGGTATTTTCGTCCATGTAAAATGTAAACAATCAAAATTTACGAAAACCTGAAAATAATTTTTTTTATCAAATTTTAAAGAAATGTATTTTATTTTTTTAATGCGCTTTTTTCTATCAAATTCTAATTAAATTTAATTAATTAATACCGAATTAATTAAATTTAATTATTTTTAATTATTAAGTTATTAAAAATTCATAAAGTTACTTCAAAATATCTGGAAAAATTGCAGTTCATTTCGTATATTTACAACTAAATTTATGAGTTTTCAATATATAGAAGAATTTTTAAGAAACTTGAGAAATGTGATAACAAAATATAAGTAGAAAAATAAAATAATATTTTACTTACATGGTTCAAGTTTCAATTGTCATTAAACAATAATTAACAATAATAATTGAAAAAATCTGACACATCTGACATTTAGCGTTTTACAAACATAAAATAATTACATAATTTGCATAATACAGAATCGCAACTATAATTTTAAAATTATGGCCGCAGTATCATGAGTAATGTAACGATATTTAGGGTCCTAGGACCCTTCAAAAGAATTTTAATTTCTTTATTAGGAAGAATTTTAACAAAAATTGTAATAAATTAGGTATAAAAAAAAGTTTAATTATAATAATGTTAAAGTTTTCTCGAATTCTTGCGAACGATTTTATTAGAATTTTTTTAAATAATTTAATTTTCTAGAAGAAATTTATTACTTTTAAAAATAATTGAATTCTTGTGACGAATATTATTATATTTATAAAAAAAATTAAATTTTGCAAAGAATTTTATTAAAATGCCTCAAAATAATTGAATTTTCAGAAATAATTTTGTTTTTCTTCGACATAATTCCTGAGAAGAATTTTATTATTTATGAAAATAATTGAAGTCTTGAGAACGATTTCGTTAGAATTTTTTTAAATAATTGAATTTCCAAGAAGAAACATTTTTTAAAAAAATAATTGAATTTTCGGGAATGATTTTGTTATTTATCGACATAATTGAATTGCTGTGAAAAATTCTAATATTTTTGTAAATAATTGAATTCTTTGAAAAAATTCAATTATTTTTCGAGGAATTGAAATTAAAATTTTAAGAATAATTGAATTATTGCGAAAAATGTTATTAAAATGTTTTAAAAAAATTGAATTTCTGTGAAAAATTTTGTTATTTTTTAAAATAATTGAATTCTTTATAAGAATTTTAAAAACATTGTTTTAAATAATTAATTTTTTCGAAATAATAGTAAATATTATGAAAATTTGCATTTTAAATAATTGAATTCTTGTTGAAAATTTTTATGTGTAAAATAATTGAATTATTCTATTAAATTAATTTAAATTAGATGAAAAATAATTGAAATTCTTCAATGATGAATATTTTTATTTTATGAAAATAATTGAATTTTTCAAAGATTTTTTATAAAATCCTTAAAATAATTAAATTTTCGGGAATATTTTTTTTTTCGACATAATTGAATTCTTTCGAAGAAATTCAATTAAAATTGTATTTAAAATAATTAATTTCTTTCGAACAATTTTATTAAAATATTTAAAAATAGTTGATCTCTTGTGAAAAATTCTAATATTATTGTAAGTAATTGAATTCTTCCAAAGAATTTTATTTTTTTTTTTTTTGAATAATTGATTTTTTTGAGGAATTGAAATTAAATTTTAAAGAATAACAATTCTTACATTTCTCGAGAAATTCCTGTAAAATTGTATTTAAAATAATTGAAATCCTGCGATGAATTTTATTATTTATGAAAATAATTCAATTTCTCGATTAATTAATTTAAAATTGTATTAATAATTGAAATTCTTCGATGAGTTTTTATTTTTTATAAAAATAAATTTTACCAAACATTTTTTTAAATAATTTAATTTTTATGGAAAATGTTATCAGTGAAAGTAGTGGAATTATTGTGAAGAATTGTGTAAGAATTTTGTTAATTAATTGATTTTTTTTAAAATACTATTTTAAATTAATTGAATTCATGTAAAAATTTTATTTATGGAAATAATTGAATTTTTTTTGAAGAATTTGATTATAATTTTTGAGAATAGTTTTTTGATTTCTAGTATTATCGGATTTAAAATTTTAAAGTAGTGGAAATTCTAAAAAAGACATTATTTTTTGGTATAAAATTCAAAATATTTATTTATACAAAACACGAAATATTAATATTAAACGTACATTCAATGACAACTGGATATAATAAACATGAAAAACTTCCATTAAATGAAAGTAACGAGTTTGTTCTTTTCTGAACTTAATAAGTTCTTTTCTTCTTACGTGCTGGAGTCTCAGTTTCATTTTCTTTATCTGAAGAACTGCCAATATCGCGGGATATTTTGCTTATAACTTCATTCTTCTTATTTAACTCATTGGAAACTTGTTTAAGTTTAATTTCCAAATTATTTTTCTCCTCGATTGTTGAATTTAACTTCTTTTGCAATTCATTGTTCTTATTTACAAGTTGAGAAATGTGTCTTCTTACAAACATGTAATTCTTATGGTCGAAATTTTCCAATTCGACTGTAACTTGTTTATTGACTCTTCCTTCCTCTTCTTCTTCTTCTTCTTTCTCTTTCGGTTTAAGAATTAAAAAAATGTCTTCATTTTCAAACGAAGATAACATACCGAACGGTGAATTTAATTGTCCCTCATAGAATTGAATATAATTTGGAAATAATTCCCGTTGGAAATGTTGCGCTTTGTAAAAATTTAATTTCGAATCGAAACGAAATACAACGGGACATTTCAATGTTTCCCATCTATTTAATATTTTGGAAATATTTTCTACTTTCAAATAAAAAAGAACATTGATTACTTGATCTTTGAAATTATCCTTAATTAGTGAAGAACTTTTCACTGACAATGTTCTACCTGAAGATTTACATTCTTTACAAAGTTGATAAATTTTAATATTGTCGTTTTCCTTATCGTCTTTTACAATAATTATTTTTAACTTTTTTATCTGCGGATTGAGATGCAGGAGAAATTCCCAATAATTTTCTTTTGTGATTGCGTGCTCGTAGGAAAGGGCATCGATGTGAATTGTCATTTCCTCTGGAATCGTGTCGTGTAGTTTTTGTAAAGCACTATTAATTTTCAAAGCTGTATCCATAAAGTTAATAAGGTCCATTTTCAATAATCTCGATTTTAAACATCTCTCCTTCATGTTACTTACTACATATGTGAGAGTAAGTGCGTCCATAACTTGATTTACTTCTTCTTCTGTAATACACGGAAAAATAGGAGACAAAAATTTCAAATCGATATTTAATTCTTCGGCGGTTTTAAGAATTTTTAAATATTGATTCATCACTTTACAATTCATACTGTGAAGTTCATCTTGTAGATGCTTTTTACAAAAACTTGCCACTGGACAATCAGGACAATTTTTTAAGTCCTCTTGTCTTGTTTGATTACAAACAATACACGCTCGCGGATGTTTCCACATAGCATATTCTAATAGACTCATAGGTCTTCCTAATTTATTTGTTACTTCAATGCCGATTTCTTCTTTTTCTTTTGTCCAAGCAGGTCCTTTTAAATTTTGAAGCTTTTCATGAATGTGTGACACTTTTTTCTCTATTAACAATTCTTTAATTACTTTGCAAAAACTTCCATGAACTGACAAATGTTCTAATCGATGATCCTCAGAGCAATAGCAAATCATTTTGCATCCACATCTTATTAATTTGTCTCTGGATTTACAAACATAACACTCATTCGGGAAAAACCTTTCCATCTTATCTGACGACTTCATATTTAAAGAATTTTTTTCCTGCGCAATTTATGCACAATCAAAATTTGCGAAAACCTGAAAATAAAAATTTTCTTTATATATTTTTTTAGAGAAAAGTGACGTAATATCGAAAATTAATAGTTACTTTAAAAAATGGTTAGAAGGGAAAAAGATAAATTTCTCTTTCCCTATAAAAAAAAGTATACAGACATTGCGAGAAATGCTCATTAGCTTTTTTTACGAAACAGAAAAAGAATTACAGATTTTTTCCCAATGTTTAAGGTTAAAAAAGGACTTTAAAATTTTTTTTAGCTCTTAGGTAAATAAAAGGGGTGAAATTAATGACATTTTTATTACTAAAAGGACGCTGAGGCTGAGCTTCGACGACAACTTCAGAGACTTAACAATTTTTATTGAATTTTCAATCTAAAATGTAGGGAAATAACTAAAAGTCTGAATTTTATTCACTTGTTAAAAGTTAAATTAATATTTATGAATTTTCGATTGACAGGCCGTGGAATTTTTAAGAATAGGACAATGATTACTGATACGGGAAAAAAACATGAGATAGAAAAGAACTCTTATTTGTATTTTATTTATATTTCTTTATCTCATGTGCTGTTTACCGAAATTTGAAAGAAAAAATTAAGTAAAGTTTATGAATATTTTACTTACAAGGCTCACACTTATAATAATATTAATAACATTTTGTTAAAAATCTGCGACAATGAACAATCTGACAGTGTTTTACTAACTTAGAATAAATACATGATTTAGAAGTGCAACTATTTGTCTACACGTAATGTTACAATCTATTGGGTCCTAGGACCCCTTTAAAGTAAAAGATGAATTTTTGAATAATAATTTAAAGAAAAGTAAATAATTTTTCAATGAATTTTAATTAAAAATTATAAACATGATTTTTTTCCAAAAAGTTAAAACGAATTCTACAAACTTTCAATGTTATTAGTTTTGAATGTATTTGAATTTTCGAAAATATGTAATTGAAAATATTGAAAATAATTGAATTTTAAAAAATTAGAATGAAAAAGAATTTTAAAAATTACTTTTTTCAAAAATATTTTAATACAATTTTTAGAAGTTAATTTTTATTAATTTTCATATTTATAAATTTACACTTGAAAATTTTTTATTGAAATTTTTGAAAATTCAATTATTTTCAAAATTTACAATTAAAACTCCTCAAAAGTTGATTTTCAAAAATTTTAATAATACTTGAAAAATTCAATTATTTTCAATTAAATTTTAAAAAATCTGAATTATTGAAAAATTTTTAAATTGTATATTTCAAAATTTAATTAGAAAAATCATTGAAAAATAATTTTTTTGAAAGATTTGTCTAGTTATACTTTTTACACTATAAAAATCGAAATAAATGGCATTTTATACCAAAAATGTAGTTTTTGTGGCAAAACTTGGAAGAAAAGTCGAAAAAAGTCGCAATTTTTGAAAATAAGTTTAAAAAAGTCGCATTTTTTTGAAAAAAGTCGAAAAAGTCATAATATCCGAGGCCTGTAAGAATAGTTAGATAATTATGCAGAGAATTTTAACAAAATTTTCCTAATTTCTAAAAAAGGAAAAAAACAATGATTTTTCATATAAATTTATTAGAACTGTAATGACAGTCATAATATTTAAATATTTTTATAAAAATACAATTTTAGTTTAAATATAAAAAAGAAATACAGAAACATTATTAGGAGTGATTGAATTTTTAATTCAAAACAGTGATACGAATTTTCTGTTTAACAAAAATAGAAATTCGATAATCATTCTTTGAAATCGAAGTAGAACTAATTGTATTCATTATAATACATCACATTTTTTTTTAACAATATTTGACAACTTTAATCACTGAAAACAGTAAACGGGGATAAAAAATAAGAAAGTAATATTTGAATTTTAAATTCAAATAAATTTAAAAACTAGACGATTCCTTTTAAAGAAATAAAAAACTAAATTTTTCAATACGGATTAAATGCTGTTATTTTCACCGTTTTCACACAATGAATCTGTGTCTTTAAGTTCAGTGTCCGTTGCATTGACAATATCGCGTAATATTTTGTTTATTAACTTGTTCTTTTTGTTTAAATCAAAAGAAACTTGATCAAGTTTTGTTTGCTGTTTCGTAACCTCATTGATTGATAAATTTAACTGTTGTCGTAAGCCTTCGATTTCGTTTTTGAGAAACGAAATGTGTTCGATTAGATATGATTGACAATTAAGTTTATCGTCCTTTTCGGCAATTTTCCTTTCTTCGCCATTTTGACCGCAATTTTCCTTATCGATAGATTTTGAACAATTTTTACAATTTTCAGTTTTTGATTTTTTACTCTTCTCTCCTTCCTCCTTGTCTCCGGGTTCGGAAATAGTTGCAAATGAACGTTTCGATGAAGATGGTGAAAGTGTCTCTCGATCTACGGATTTTTGTTTCTTATTCGATTCATTGTTTTTGTTTCTATCTACAAGAACTTCAGTTGTTGTATCAATATTTTTCTCGGTGATTTCGACTGCAGTTTTACAAGATTTTTGAGGTACTTTTTTTTCTTTATTTTCCTTTGATTGCAAAATTATGAAATAGTCTTTGTTTTCAATAGAGGATAATGTACTGAATGCTGCTTTTATTTGTCCCTCGTAAATAAATTCAAACTTTGCTGTTAAAAACGAGAGAAAATGTTCTGTTTTACAAAAATTGGAATTTGTGTCAAATCGCAAAATGACGGGACAATTAAATTCACTCCACTTATTTAATCTTTCAGAGATACTTCTAAGGTTGATTTGAACATAAAACAGAAGGTCCGGTTCTTGATATTTTTCCTCCAGCATGTAGTCTTCGTAAGTTTCTGACGAATATTCAGCAATCAATTCTTTTTCCTCTGAAATACAATTTTCACAAAGAGATGTCTTTGAATTGGATCCATTTTCAGATGAAGTGAAGACTATTTTTAATTTTTTTATCTGTGGATTTAGGTGCAGGAGAAATTCCCAATAATTTTTCTTCGTAATTGCGTGTATATAGAAAAGGGCATCGATGTGAATTGTCAATACTTCGGGAATCGTGTCGCGCACTTTTTGTAAAGCACTATTAATTTTCGAAGCTACGTCCATAAAGTTAATGAGGTCTATTTTCAAGAATCTCGATTCTAAACATTTTTCCTCCATTTTATTTACTTTATATGTGACAGCAAGTGAGTCCATAAGTTGATTTTCTTTCTCTTCTGTAATACACGGAAAAGTAGGAGACAGAAATTTCAAATCGACATTTAATTCTTCGGCTGCGTTAAGAATTTTTAAGAACTGACTCATCACTTTACAATTCATAGTGTGAAGTACATCTTGAGAATGATTTTCACAAAAACTTGCCACCGGACAATCAGGACAATTTATTAAATATTCTTGTCTTGTTTGACGACAAACGAAACACACTCGCGGATTTTTCCTCATCGCATTTTCTAATGGACTCATAGGTCTTTTTAATTTTTTCAATATTTCTTTATTGATTTCACTTCGTTTTGTTACCCAAAGGGATCCAGTTATATTTGTTAGCTCTTCAAAAATGTGTGACACTTTTTTCTCTATTAACAATTCTTTAATTACTTTGCAAAAACTCTCGTGAACTGGTAAATGTTTGAGTTGATGATTCTCAGAGCAATAGCAAATCATGTTACATTTACATCTTGTTAAATTGTCCCTCGATTTACAAACATAACACTCATTCGGCAAAAATCTTTCCATCTTTGATGACTTCATATTTTAAGAATTTCTTCCTCACACGATTTATGGAAGGATCAAAATTTTCGAAAACCTGAAAATAAAAATTTTCTTTTATATTTTTAGAGAAAAGCGACGTATTATCGTCATAAAAAGGTATCTTTTATCATCAAAAGTATCTCTTACGTATTATCGAAAATTAATAAATTTGGCTTCTCTTTCCCTACAGAAAATGTTGAGAATGTCGCGTTGAAAAAACATTTTTTCACGATAGGGCAATTTTCACGAAACCGAAAAAAATGGCAGAAGTTAAAAAAGGACTCTTAAATTTTTTTAGCTTCTTAGATTAATAAAAGAGGTGAATTATTAGTGACATTTTTATTACTATAAAAATAATAGAAAAATAATATCGAAAATGTAGAGAAATAACTAAAAGTCTGAAGTTTATTATCAAATCTAATATAATAAAATTGTTAAATTGGTATTATACACTACTTATTAAATTAATATTTATGAATTTTTGATTGACACTCCTTGGAATTATCAAGAATAGGGCAATGAATACGGTTACAGGAACAAAACATGAGGTAGAAATCAACTTTTTTTTTTATGTTATTTGTATTTCTTTATCTCATGTCCTGTTACCGATATTTGAAAATTGAAAGAAAAAAGTAAGTGAAGTTTACTAATAATTTTTTACTTACAAGGCTCACACTTATAATAATAACGATAATAACATTTTATAAAAATCTGTGACAATGGACAATCTGACAGTGTTTTGCAAACATAAAATAAATAGATGATTTAGAAGTGCAACTATATTTCTACACGTAATGTTATAATCTATTGGGTCCTAGGACCCCTATTAAGTAAAATTGCTTTTTTACCTTTTTTATTAATAAAAAAATGAATTAAATGAATTAATTAGTAGTATTTTCGATACTTTTTCTTTACAAATTTGAAAAACTTTGAAAATTAACAAAATGGCGGAAATTTCTTGAAAAACTTAATTTTTTCAAAAAAATAAATAATTTATTAAATAATTGAATTCTTATGGAGTATTTTATCAACAAAATTTAAAATAATTGAATTTTTTCATGAAGTTTAAAAATATTTTAAAAAATAATTATACATTTTTCGAGAAATTAGATTTAAATTGTATTATAAAAATAATTGAATTTTTGCGATGAGTTTTATTATTTTTGAAAATAATTGAATTATTGGGAAGAAATTTATAAAAAATTTGTAAATAATTGAATTCGTGTGAAATTTTTATTATTTATGAAAATAATTGAAATTTTGACAAAGAATTTTATCAAAATTCTTGAAAATAATTGAATTTCGAAAAAGAATTTGTATTATTTATTTTATAAAGATAATTGGAATTTCTTCTAAGAATTTTATTACTTTTGAAAATAATTGAATATCAGCTTTCATTTGTAGTTCAATTTAAAGATAGAAAAAAAATGTTTGTCAACTTGGCTGGAATTTTGCAGTAATTGATTTTCTTTATACAAAATAATGATTTTCATGAAAAAGGTTTTATTTTTTTGTATAAAATTTTTAAAAAATCAGTATGTATAAAATTTACAATATAATTATACTTATTCTACAAGAATAAAATTAACATTTTAATATACTTTCTGAATACAGAATTTTTTTTCAATGATATAACAAAAAATTGTTATACAAATTTAATGTGTTATGTAAAATTGACGAGTTTATTCTTTTTTAAAATGAAAATTTAAGAAATTCTTTTTTTCTTATAAACTGAATTCATTGTTCCATCTTCTTTATCTGAGAAATTTGCAATATCAAGTGTTATTTTGCTTATGTCTTCGTTTTTCTTTTTTAAATCGTTGGAAATTTGTTTGAGTTTTCTTTCTAAATTTATTTTCTCCTCGATTGTTGAATTTAACATAGTTTGCAATTTTTGCAATTCATTGTTTTTACTTGGATGATTAGAATTTTCCTCTCTTGCGAACCAGATATTTTTCAGGTCGAACTCAATTTCGAATGAATTTTCTCTATTTATTTCTCCTTCGCTTTGTTCTCTCTCATCTTCTTCTATTGCTTCTTCTATTACTTCTTCTTCCTTTACTTCTAATTCTGTTTCTTTTACTTCTGCTCCTTCTTCTTCTTCTTCTTCTTCTTCTTCTTCTTCTTCTTCTTCTTCTTCTTCTTCTTCTTCTTCTTCTTCAACTTCAAGAGGTTTAAGCATTAGATAAAAGTCCTTATTTTCAATCGAAGATAACATGCCGAACGGTGTATTTAATTTTCCTTCATGACATTGAGAATAATTTTTAAATAAATTCCAATGCGAATGTTTCGCTTTGCAAAAATTTGATTTCGAATCGAAACGAAATAAAATTGGACAATTTAATGTCTCCCATCTGTGTAATATTTCGTCAATATTTTTTATTTTGAAGTAAAAAAGAATGTTCGTTACCTTATTTTCAAAAGGGTTTACATTTCCCTTCAGTAACGAATAACATTTCACAGACAAACTTTTTCCTGAATTTCGACAATTTTCACACAGTCGATATTTTATAAAATAGTCATTCGTCTCGTCTTTTACGATAATAATTGATAACTTTTTTATCCTGGGATTTAGATGCAGAAGAAATTCCCAATAATTTTCTTTGGTAATCGCATGATCGTAAGCTAAAGAATCGATATGAATTGTCACTTCTTGTGGAATAGGATCGTAAATTTTCTCGAGAGAGAAATTAATTTTTGAACTAACGTCCATGAAGGTAATGAGATCAATTTTTGATTTTCTTGATTTTTGACTATTTTTTTCCATTGCGACGAGTTTGTGTGACCAGACGAGATCGTCTAAATAATGGACAATATTTTCTTTTTTAACGTAGGGAAAAATTATCGGTAGAAAGTCTAAGTCGATATTTAAATTGTCGGCGGTGTTTAAAATATTTATGTAACTATTCATAGTAGAACAATTTTTATCATGAACTTTGTCGGTTTTGTGTTTTTTACAAAAACTCACCACCGGACATCGTGGACAATTTTTTAATTCCTCCTGCTTCGTTTTTTGGCAGACGAAACAAATTCGTGGACATTCCCACATTGTGAATTCCAAAGGGCTCATATTTTGTCCATCTAATTTGTCGATTATGTCCCAGCGGACTTTAATTTCTTTGTTCTTTCGTTCGCCATCGGGGACTGGGACCAGAGTCTGGTAAATGTGAGATAATTTTTTTTCTTTTAGTAATTCCTTTATTGCTATGCAAAAACTTTCGTGAATTTCCAAATGTTCGAGTCGATGTTCCTCGGAGCAATAGGAAATCATGTTGCATTTACATCTTTTTAAATTGTCCCTCGATTTACATGTGTAGCATTCATTTGCAAAAAATCTTGCACTCTTGGACCAATAAACAGTGTCGTCATCATGATCCATTATTTTTTTCTTTTTAAAAACCATTTCCAATTAAACTAACGAATCTGAAAAATATATTTAAAAAAAATTATTTTTATTAATTGTTCGGTGTATAATTGGAAAATTATACGCAAATAAAACTCAATTGTCAACGTAACATCAAAATAAATTGTTTCTAAAGTTTTTTTTGATGGCGAGGAAATGTGTAAAATAAATAAATAGGGAACCATTATTATTTCATAATTTTTCTATAATTTTTGAAAGAATTTTAAAAGTCAGAAGTTTTTTTGTTAATGGAAATTTTTTTTCTGCGAATTTTTATTTCGAGATTTTTTCATAATTAAAATTTTATTTGTACAGAATTTTTACATTAGGTCATATTTTAATTTATCGAAATTTCCATTTGCAAGAATTTTTATTGAATAAAATTTCATTAAAAAAAAAAATTAAAATTTCATTAAAAGACCAATTTTGGAGAAGAATGTTATTTATGAAAATAATTGAATTGTTTGGAAGTATTTATCAAAATTTTAGAAAATAATTGAATTTTGTTTCGAAATATAATTTACTGTTTAAAATTCGATTAAAAAAATTATAGGTAAGTTTAAAATTTTAAAACGAAGTCTAAAAATATTTTTTAAGTTTTGAAATAAAAATAAACTTGAGCAATTTTTTTGAGGTTATGTTTATATTGAGGCAAAAACAAAACAATTTTAATGCGATTTAGCAACAATTTTAAGAATAATCGTCAAAGAAGACAAAAATAATTAGCAATCAAAGAAAAGTTATTCAAAAAATTTTTATTCTTTTTGTTCCTTTTATTCGTAAAAATCGGAAAAACAAAACGTAAACAATAAATTAGAAATCAAATGGAAAATTAACACTTTTTCCATTGCTTCTAAAAAGGTGTCAAAATAAATAAATTGAAATAATAAACTCAACAAATTTTGTATTCAGTTTTATTGAATATATAATTTGTTTTTACGTAAATATGGTAAAAGATATATAAAATTAGCTAATTTATATTTTACTTACAAAAAACAATCAACAAGTAAACAAAAATGAATAATAAAATTAATAGAACTTCACAATATTAGAAAATTGATTCTTACTCAGAGCCATCTACAGGGTGGGAATTGAAATTAAAATAATTTCCACCCCTTTTTTAAAAAAGACGCGCAAAATATTCGAAAATAGTAATAATAAAATGTCAAATTGTGACAAATTAAATATAATAAATAATATAATCAAGATAACAATTGTTTTTTACCAGTTTTTACTTAAATACTTTTTCTCTCTCTTTATTGTCTTATAATAAATTATTTTTAGATCAATAAAGTAAAAAGATGAAAAATATTAATAACATTAAAATATTTCTATTAATTTGTTATTTGAATTTTTTATTTAATTATTAAATTCTATTTGTATTATTAAAACTTCTATTTGCAAATTTGAACTTATAATTATTATTATTGAAAAAAATCACAATTTAATAATTTGGGTAATTAAAACAAATTTTCGTTTTTTAAAATTAAATTAAATTTCCTCCTTTTAAAAAATAAAAAAACGTTTATTTTTTTGTGGAAAATTTTTATTATAATAAATCTTTATATTATATAGTAGATAAAAAATTGCATAATTTGAAAAAAATAAAAACTATCAATACAACGGTAAGAATTGTAAATAAAATTTATAATAGAAAAAAAATTGTTTAAATGTAAAATAAATTATATTTTAGACGAAGATCATAAATAATTTTGTTTTTGTAATTCATCGGCAATTCTCCCTAAACACGAGCACAATTTCTCTTGCATTTCCATTTTTAATTTCATTTTTCTTTCATTTTGCTCCTCAGTTTTCTTCCATATATATTCCCTTAATTCCAATTCTTTTCGCTTCAATTCAATTCTCTCTCGTAATAATTGCAATCTATAATTCTCTGCAATAAATAATAGTTTGTTAATAACAAAAAGAAAATTAATTTCTATTAATTTTCCTAAATAGAAAAATCGAAAAGAAAATAATTAAAATTTCTAATTAGTTTTATTTACCTTTTTCTTCTGCTTTCTTTGAGTTTCTATTATTTTCCTCGGTTCCAATGAAAAAATTGTTATCCTCTAGTTCTTCTTCCTCTTCAAATAAATTATTGTCGGTATCTGAGGAAAGAAAAATTACTTTTTACATTAAAGAAAAAGAAATGAGAAAATATTGTTTGGAAATTACAAAAATTTCTTTGCAATTTCTTTACTGTTTTTTTTTATTGTAAAAATATAAATGAAAATCATAATTACTGTTAATTTTGGCTTTTTTGTAGTAAGCAGGAACGGAAGTATCAATTTTCCTCTTCATTTCACTCGTTGAGGGCGGTGAGAAATAATTCATTTTATTTCTCTCCTCATCAACTTCGAAATCGTTGAAAAAAAATTCATTTGTACTGAAAAGAAAAATTTCTTTTAGTTTTTTGAATTGAAATTAACTTCTTCTATATTTTATTCTTTTAATAATATTAATTATAATATCCCAGTAGTAGAGTCGACTCTCGAGAAATTAAATTTCAAGAGACATAAAAAAATTCAAATTTTCGAAGGTTTTATAAATATTTTTAGTATCAAAATTTTTTCTAGGGACGCAAAATCAGCATTAATTTATTGAAAATTTAATATTATCAAGTGTTTGGTGTAATAAGAATGTTATTAATAATTATTTACTTATTTTCGACTTCATTTTCCTGTGGTTCAGTCTTAATTTGTGAAATCTGAAAACGAAACAAAAATAATCAAATTATTATTATAATAAAAATAGTAATAATTTGTTGTGATTGAATTTAAATATGAATTTTATTTACCTCGTGTTCTTTAATCTCCAGCTCATTTACTTCTTCAGTTCGAAATCTTTCTTTAGGAACAAGGTGTTCAATTATAATTCTGTCCATATCACTCATTTGTACTTCTTCTCCATTCGGTATCGTTAATTGTTTTCTTCTGTAAAATTCTTTTTCAATTGACTTTCTCTTTAGGTCCGTCCAACTCTGTAATTATCAAAATAATTTAATTAAGAATTTATTATTATTCTCTTACAACAATAATAATAATAACACAGAAATTCAATTATTTTTATAATTATTAAAATTTTTTGCAGGAATTCAATTATTTTTAATCTACAAATTTAATAAAATTTCTTTTAAAAGAATTAATTATTTTTATAAATAATTCTTTCGCAAGGATTCAATTATTTTCATTATTTCAAAATATTCAATTATTCGCAGGAATTCAATTACTTATTAAATAAAATTTTTCGAATTCATTCAATTTCTTCAAAAATTTTAATAATTATATATTGTAAATAAAATAAGATAGAAATAATTTTTAGAAAATGAATAAAAATTTTCTCTACAGTTCAATTATCTTTTTGCAATGAATTAAATTTTTTCACGGGAATTCAATTATTTAGAAAAAATTTTAATAATATTGTATGCAAAATCCAATTATTTTCGTAAATAATAAAATTCTTCTTAGAAATTCCATTATTTTAAAAAATTTTAATAATGTTCTTCAAAAGAATTCAATTATTTTTTTAATTTTACCAAAAAATTAATTGATGTTCAAAAAACTTTTAGTAAAATTCTTTATAAGAATTGAATTATTTTAAATAAAATTTTTTTTAATTACCTCAAAAGAATTGAATTATTTTAAATAAAATTTTTATTAATTACCTCGAAAGAATTCAATTATTTGAAAAAATGTTAATGAAATTATTTGAAGCAGTTCAATTATTTTTCTTATAAAGAAAAATAACGTTAACCGTATTTTTCAATGATAAAAATTAGTTTCTTTTACAATTATTTCTAATTAGATTTTTAGGTTTTAGAATGTGAAATTAAATTTGTAAATTAATTATCATTTTTAATTCCAAAGAATTTTGTTTAATTAATTTTTTATCATTAGGATACTTCATCTTGAAAATATTGAATTAGAATTTTATTATATTTTAATATTCAAAACATTTAAAGCAGAGAGAAAAATTACTAATGAAACTAACTTCAAATTTCATTTTTTTTTAATGAAATATATAATTTTCTTTAAATTAATTTCAAAAATTGTTTTCGTTGAAAATAATTACCTTTTTCCAACCGTCGACATCTTTAATTGATCCGCCTTTCACAGCATTCAAAATATTCGCTAATTGAGCATACAATTGTTCCTGTAAATAAATATAAAAATAAATTACTGTTAATTAATTAGAAAGAATAATAATAATAATAATTAGTTATTATAAATATTAGTACATAAAATATTATTTAGATTATTTTTGGGAAAAAATTGAATAACTTACAGCAGTCTGTTTGTATTTATTGCCACTAACTTTTCCTGCAGCCAAGTCCCTATGTTGGAGCATAAATTCTAATAATTTCTCCTTTTGTTCAGCATTAATATGCTTATAATTTTTAATTGGAGCCATCGTTCTTTCAGTCTTTTTCTTATGATTATTATTTTCCTTAGAGCAGTCTCTGTAAAAGAAGGGAAAAAATGTCACTGAACTGAAATAAACAAAAGATAATATTGTTCCTGCACAGCGATATTTTTATTTTGTTTTAAATATTAGGTCAACAATAAGTAAAATCGTGTAAACACAACCTATTAATTAGCGTTAAAATTGAAAAACCCTTCATTGTATTTTTTCAATTTTATAATTAGTATAATATAGATAATAAATACCTAATAGTAATTAAAATTTAAAAAAAAATTATAATCTACTTAAAAACAATAATAATTCAAATAGAAAGAAATAAGAATTATTGTGTAAAAATAAATAAATAATAAATAAATGAATGAATAGTAAATAAAAATAAAAACCTGTGTAAAAATAATAATCAGAATAGAATACAATAAAAATTGAGTAAGTCAAACTAAATTAACATTATAAATATTATGTTTTTTTTAGAAAGAATAAAAAATATGTCAGATTTGTTATTTTTTTTAAGGAATGTTAGAGAAAATATTTAAAAAAAAAGAGAAAAAACAATCTCTGACATCTGTATTGTATGAACTTATATTCGACAATTACAATATCGATAACGTCACTTTCTATTTCACAGTAAACTAGAAAATAGAAAACAGTTTTTTTTCTCTCGCATATTTATACTATAAAAACTAACAACTGGATACCAAATATTTCCAATATTTCATTATTTCCAAATTAGTACTCAAAACAAAAATAAAACAAAATAAGAATTTGAAACTATAAATTTAAATTCTTCGAGAATTTTGTTTTTAATAAAGTTTGTTTTTATAAAATAACTGATTTACCTGCGTATTACATTGACGGAATAATCAACCAAGTCCTCCTTCTTCTCAACATGTAGAATAATAACAAACACACATCAGAGGAATCTTGATTCACATTTGTAAATACATTTTAATGGGAAAATTCGAGATATTTTCAGTAGAATGAGCACCCACTTCCTTTTATATTTCTAATAATTTTACCAATTTCTATCACAATTTAATAACTTAATTGATAATAATACTTTAAATCCTTACAAAAGATTGTACAGTTAGACATTACGGTATTGTAATGTAATTAAAAGTCGTCCACACCACGGGCACACTGACAAAAATCCACCTGTGAAAATGCGACGTCATGCGGAATTTATTCGAATTTCTTAGCGAACGTTGCTTTTATGGTAACAGTTTTCTTTTTCTTAATATAATGGATAAAGTAGATTTCTATTAGAAGAAAACTCGATTACCATCGTAATTTAAAAATTACTTTTTTAAAAGAGTAGAAAATTAATTAATTCCATTGACAAACTACGTCACGTTAATTTGAACTAATTTTTACCCCCCCCCCTCCTTCCTAGTCATTTTTTTTCACATTTCATAATTAAATAAGTCCCCTCCTCTAATTTAATTATTTATTGTTTTAATTTAATTTATTAATTTTTATTTTTAATCTTATTTAATTACTATTAAAATTTTAATTTAGAATTATATTTTTATTATTACCCCCCCCCCTCTTCCACCCCTAGAAGTGTGACGTAATTTCTGAAAATATAATTTATACAAATTTACAAATTGATAAAAATTTATAATTTTAAACATTTTATGTAAAAAGTTATATTTTTTAAAAAATACTTTTGACATTTGTTATTTAATTATTATTATTTACATATTTAATTAATAAAAGAGAAGACAATTTGTTAGTCATTGATTAAATAAGTAAAATTTTTACGCTTTTTTTAATATTCTTCCTTTCAATGACTATTGATGGAAATAAATAATTAAATTAATAAATAAATTTGATAAAAAATAATTATTTAACGTTAATAAAATTTTATTTACTCTCAATAATACAAGGCGCAATATTTACAGTGCCGCCCCTGTGATATTTGAAATTGACCAATGTGAATGTGCTTTCTTATTGCAATTTTCATAAAATTCGGGGAAAAACAATTGTAAAAACTACTATCAGGAGCGTAACTAGTCAACTAACTGGAGCCCTTAAAGATTTTTTATAATTTTGTTATTATTTATTTAAAATTAATTTTTTTTATTTATTTATTCAAAATTAATTTTGTTTATTTATTTATTATTTTTAATGTCTAATTCTGCATGAATGGATTTTTAATCACACATTAATTAAATAACAAGGATAAGAATTGAAATTTTGTATAGGTAATGAAAAAAAAACATTTTTTTAAAAATAAGTGGCAAAATTTTTGTTTTATTTTACTAATTCAATTTTTATTAATTAGTAATTTTATTCGTTTGATTAGAATTAATTTTTCGATAAACATCCTAAGTTATCGACTGTGAATAAATTAAAAGCAGAAAAAATAAATAACATAAATAATTATTTATTTATTATTATCAATGTCTAATTCTAATTATTAATTAATGCCTAATATTCTAATTTTAATTTTAATAAATAAAATTAATTAAATAATAATACCTGATGATAATAAATTTTTTTGAGTTATTTTTTTTTTTAATAAAATAATTTAAATTAACAACTAAAATATTATTATTAAATAAATAAAATAATAATATTAATCTAAATAAAAAAAATGTAATTCTATAATTAATGATTTTAATTTTTTCTGTTTCAGGTACTTCTCCATTTTTCATTGTTCTTCGGAAAAATAAACGTGAGTGAAATATTTATTTTTGTCGTAATTTAGAACTTAAGTATTAAATATTGAATAATTTATTTATTTTCAAACGTCTTTGGTACAAAATTTGTAATAAAAAAAATTGTAAATAAAATAATTTACAATTTAGAATTTCTAAATTAATAAAAATTATAAAAAATACATAAAATATAAAAAAGAAATAAAAATAATCATGAACAAATTTATAGAGATAATAATAAAAATAATAAATACAATTAATAAAAATACGTTAAACAAACAAAAAATATTTATTTCAAAAATAAATATTTTTTTAAACCTTTTTTTTTTAAATACATTTACCTTCTTTTTAATAAATAAATAAAACAAGAAAAAATAAAATATATTATTGAATTACCTAAATAAAAAATATTGTAATAAACAAAACAAATATTAAATAATATTTAAAATCTTTAATTTAATTCTAAATATTTAATCAAAAAGAATGGAACAAATAAATGAGAAAAAATGTATTAAAATAAATAAAAATCATTTTAATTAATTCTTTAAATACTTAACCAAATTAATGAATCAAAGATTAATTTTCTAATAAATACTCGTTACGAAAAAAAAGTATTTTAATTTATTTTTCAAAGTCAATCTAAATAATAGAAACAATTCCTTTTGTGTATTGTAAAATTTATTTCTTTTTAATTCAAGTAAAACTTTTTACAATAAGAGAACAATATTTTTAATAAAATATAAAAAACATGCCGTAAGTACTAAAATTGTAATGACGATTTTTAAATAACACATTTTATGCGTTTACAAGACAGTGAGTTAAACTCAATTACAATTATTTTGAAAATATAAAAAGTAGTAAATTAAAAAAATTAAAAATTAAAAAAAGTAAAAAAAAGTAAAATTTAGAACAATTTTGCATTGTTAAAAGCAATTTTTCGTTTTTTATTTTTTCTCGACAACGGGCCCGAAATTCTCCTCAATTGAAACAAGAGCTTTTTTTATTAAATTATTACCATCAATAATCGTTGGATAAATATTTTGGAAAATTAAAATTTGCTTTCTTAAGTTTTCAATGACAGTGTTCGCCGAATTTAAATCGTCCTGTAATTTTTCAATTTTCTTCTCAAGAGATGAATTTTGTTCCTTTAATGATAAATCCGGTTTATTTTCGAGTTTTTCGATTAAATTCATAAGTTCGATTTGAAGTGATGCATTTTCACCATCTGATAATGAATCCAATGACAATGATTCACTTTCGGAATTTTTCACTAAAATATTCGTTGTTAATTCTTGATTGGAGTTTTTATTTTCGATCTGATGAGATGAATTTTTTTCATCCTCTGACAATGAATCCGGTGAAAGGGATGCTTCGAGTTCTATTTTCGGTTTCTTCGATTCTTGTTCTACTTTTTCGTCGCGATGGTGATTGGATTTTGAAATTTTGTTGGTTAATTCGATATTTTTTGTTTCATCGTCATCATCGTTGGTCCTTTTTATACTTTTTTTTAAGAGATCTACAAATTCTTTGTATTTTTCTTCAGCTGCAGTTTCCTCTCCGTTTTTCTTTTCTGGATGTTTTTTCTTTTCTACATTTTCTCCTCTAAATTCGCTGTTTTCTTTTTCAATTTCTTGTTGTTTTTTTGTCTCTATTTCTTGGTTTTTGATTTTCTCCACTTCTTTTCCTTCGTCGTTTCTATTTTTAAAATTCGCCGGAGTTATTAAATTTTCCTGTTCATTTTTCTTTTCTTGATTTTTCGCCTTTTCTTTACTTTCTCCTTTAATTTCATTGTTATTTTCTTTTTCAATTTCTTGTAATTTTTTCGTCTCCTTTTCTTTATTGTCGTTTTTCTCCACTTTTGTTCGTTCGTCGTTTCCATTTTTCAAATTCGCCGAAGTTATTAAATTTTCCTGTCCAATTTTCTTTTCTTGATTTTTCGCCTTTTCTATACTTTCTTCTTTAATTTCACTGTTATTTGCTTTTTTGATTTCTTGTGATTTTTTCGTCTCCTTTTCTTTATTGTCGTTTTTCTCCACTTTTGTTCCTTCGTCGTTTTTATTTTTCAAATTCGACGGAGTTATTAAATTTACTTCTTTCTTCTTATCTTCTTGTTTTTCTCCATTTTTTTCTCCTTCGATTTTTAATGATTTTTTCTTCTCATTTTCTTTGCTGTCGATTTTTGTTTTTCCTTCGTTTTTATTCTTCAAATTCACTGGGGTTATTAAATCTTCTTTCTTCTTTTCTCCATTTTTTACTTTGTTCTTTCCTCCTTCGATTTTTTGTGATTTCTTTTTCTCTACATTTTCTTTCTTGTCGATATTTTGCACCTTTGATTTCTCTTCGTTTTTATCCTGTAAATTCACAGGATTTTCAATAATTTCCTCTTCTTTTTTCTTTTCTTGATTTTCCCCCTTTTTGATATTTTCTTCTCTAAAATCACTGTTATTTTCTTTTCCGATTTCTTGAATTTTCTTCGTCTCTTTCTCTTCCTTGTCGATTTTTTCCACTTTTGTTTCTTCTTCGTTTCCATTCTTCAAATTCATCGGAGTTTTTATATTTTTCTTTTCGTCCATTTTTCCTTGTTTTTCTCCCGTTTCTTTATTTTGTTTCACAATTTCGATGGTCTTTGGAAATATTTCATTTACTTTCGAAACATTTCCTTCTTTTACGAAAAGTTGTATTTTCAAAAATTGCGAATTTTGTTCCGATTTCTTTTCTTCTCTAGCTAAAAATTCCTCGATCGCAGTCACTTTCGTTGAACTTTGTTTCAAATTATCATGAATTGAAGATTCTCGATTATTTTCTGTAGATTTGAAAATTATTTCTTCCAACTCGGATTTTTCGATTTTTTCTATCATCGCAAATAGCGACTTTTCATTGCTGTCGATTTTTGAATTTACTTCTTTTTGTTTTTTTTCCTTCGATTTCAATCCATTCTCCTTCGGTTCACAAACTTTTGCTTTCGGATCGATATTATTTTTTGGCGAAATTCCAATCGATTCGGAATTCTTTTCCTTTGATTGCAATTGTTTTTTTGAATTTTTCTTCGATTCGAAATTATTTTTCGAGGAATTTTCCCTCGACTTGAAATCATCTTTATTCGTCGGTTCAAAAGTATTTTTCGTATCAATTTCCTTCGGTTGAGAATCAATTTTCTGTGAAGACAAATTATTTTCTCTGGAGATTTCATTTGATTCGGGAATTTTTCCATTCGATTCGAAATTATTTTTTGTTGAAATTTTATCCGAAACTTTCTTCTTCGGCTCCAAATTTTCTTCCATCGAAATTTCAGTTGCGGAAATTTTTTCTTCCTTCAATTTCAAATTATTTTCTCCAATAATTTCACTCGACCCAGAAATATTTTCCTTTAATTTAAAATCATTTGTTGCAGATTTTTTATTCGACTTTGAAACTTTCTCCTTCGGCTCCAAATTTTCTTTCGACATAATTTCAGCTGCGGAAATTTTTTCTTCCTTTAATTTCAGATTATTTTCTCCATTAATTTTACTCGACCCAGAAATATTTTCCTTTGATTCGAAATCATTTTTTGTAGATTTTTTATTCGACTTTGAAACTTTCTCCTTCGGCTCCAAATTTTCTTTCGACATAATTTCAGCTGCAGAAACTTTTTCTTTCTTTGATTCCAAATTTTTTTCTGTAACAATTTCACTCGAGACAGAAATCTTTTCCTTTGATTCGAAATCATTTTTTGTAGATTTTTTATTCGACTTCGGAACTTTTTCATTTGATTTCAAATCTGTTTTTGTCGAAATTTCAGCTGCGGAAACCTTTTCTTCCTTCGATTCCAATTTTTTTTCTGCATTAATTTCACTCGAGGCAGAAATCTTCTTCTTTGATTCGAAATCATTTTTTGTTGAAATTTCAGTCGATGCACAAACTTCTTGCTTCACTTCTTCTTCCGTTGAATTCGCCAAATCTTGAAAATCGTAGCCAAATAAATACTCATTCGAATACAAAACTCCCTTTGTTTCAAAATCACGTTCCGGCAACAAAGAAACAAATGGATTTTCCTCGAAAAACTTGTAATTCAAATTATTTGCAGAAAAGATCCTGTGAATTTTCTCCGCACGTTCTTTTGTCCCAGCCGTGAGAATTAAAGGAACCTGCAATTTTTTCAAACCTAAAATTGCTTTTTCGGAAAATATTTCCGATTTCGTGGATTTCTTCTCTAAATTACATCCAAAAATAATGTCCGGTTTGATGAATTTTTCACTCGACGAATATTTCTCGTAATTTACAGCGTGACCTTCAATTTTCAAATTTATCTTCATTTCGGAAAAATTGTTGATTGGAATTTCGGGAAAATCGATAAATTCTGAATCGATAAATATCAATTTTAGTGAAGCAAGTTTTTCCACGTTGAAAAATAGAAATGTCCAGAGGAATTTCTTTTCAAAATCTTCAGGTTTTTCTCCGATTACGTGAATTGTCATTGATGATTTGATTGGCACGTTCATTTTCTCCAGTGCGTAAATTAATGTGATTGGCGATGATAGAAAATTGGAGGTGAATAATTTCTTCGTTGTAAAATCACCTTTCACTGTCATTCTATTGTCTGATGGTGCATTTAATAATGTCATTCCTGATAAATTTTCGTTGAACATTTCATCGATGAAAATTTCTTCCAGTAGAGAAAACATTGTAGCTACGAAGTTTTTCATTGTATTTTCATCCGGCGTTTCATTGAAGATTGAAAAATTGTCATTTACAATCGGCTGTCTCGTTGACATTTTAAAAGCAATTGACAATTCGCCACATGCTTTTTTGTGTTCTGGATCGTTTTTGTGCTTTTTGCACAAGAATACCTAAAAAAAGAAAAATAATCAACAAAGAGTTTAGCAATATTAAATCTTTATAAGATTTTATCGAGGAAATATTTTATTTATCGAGGATTCGGATTTTAATTACAATTTTTCAAAAGACTAATTTTTTTCATAACTAATTTTCGAAATTAAATTTTACACTCAAAACTGGAATAATAATTTTTGTTAAATAAATATTTAAAAACTTCTTTTTTCACGAGAATTAATATATTTTAAATTATAAAGAATTTTATCAAAATTTTTGAAAATAATAACGAATAAATTTTTAAAAAAATTTTGAAACACATTTTAAATAAATAAATAAAAGTTGTGAATTGCACTGAAGTTTAACAATACAAATTTAGACCACTTGAAAAAGCTGCAAACATGAAACTTGAATTAAAAAGAAATTTGTGAAATGTTTAATTAACAAACAAAGTAAAATAACAAATTTAATAAAAAAAGAAAAAAAAAATTCTACAGAATAGTAGAAATTTCAATTAACAATTTTTCGTGTAATTGAAATATTTAATTAAAAAAACAGGATAAAAATAACAAATTTAATAAAAAAAACCAACTAAAAAGAAGAAATTTCAATTAAAAAATAAAATATCTCGTAAAATTCAAATATTTAATTAAAAAATACGATGAAAATTATTTAATTTAACTAATTAATTTATATAAAAAAAAAACAAAAATGAGAAATTTAAATTTAAAATGTTTCATTCTAATTGAAATGTTTAATTAGAAAACAGAATAAAAGTTACAAATTTAATTAATATTAAAAAATAATTCATTTATATAGAATCAGGCTTCGTACTCGATAATTAATTTTAAATTTCTTATTTTATATAAATAACTTTATCAATATTTTTTTAATTGAATTCTTCTAAAGAATTTTCATCAAAATATTTAAAATTAAGAGAATTTTGCAAAAAATTCAATTATTAAAAATAATTGAATTTTTCCGAAGAATTTGATAAATTATGAAAATAATTGAATTCTTTCTTCTTGAAATTTCATGAAAATTGTATTAAAAATAATTGGATTCTGCAAAGAGTTTTATTATTTATGAAAATAATAATTGAATTCCTGTAAAATTTTGTTATTATTTATGTAAATAATTGAATTATTGCGAAGAAATTAAAAAAAGGTAAATAATTGAATTCCTGTAAAAATTTTATTATCTATTAAAATAATTGAATTGTTATATGAAAAAATTTTATTAAATTAGTAGATATGAAAAATAATTTAATTTCGGAAAATTTTTGAAAATAATTTAATTTCGGAAAAGAATTTTATTATTTATAAAGGTAATGGAAATTTAGATGAGAATTTAACAAATCTTTTGAAGACAATTTTCTGCGAAGAATTGTATTTCTTTTGAAAATATTTTATTTCTTGCAACAAATTTTATTAACATTTTTAAAAATAACTGAATTCCTGAGAAGAATTCTATTATTTTCAAAAATAATTGAATTCCTGAGAAGAATTCTATTATTTACAAAAATAATTAAATTTCTGAGAAGAATTCTATTATTTACAAAAATAATTGAATTCTTGCAAAGAATTTTATAATATTCTTTTTAGATAATTTATTTTTTGGGAAAAAATTTGTGAAAATTGTGTTTTAAATAAATTGAATTTCTGTTGAAATTTAATTATTTAAAAAAAATAATTGAATGCTTGCAAAGACTTTTATAATTTTTTTTCCAAGTTGAATTCTTTTGGTAAATTTTTTTATTAAAATAAAATAATTTAAATTCCGTCGTAATTACATTTAATTTAATTTTTTATTAAGTCAAGAAATTGAATTTTAGAGAAGAATTTTATTGGAAAATTTGTGAAAATTGTGTTTCACATAAATTGAATTCCTGTGGAAATTTTATTGTTTACAAAAATAATTGAATGTCTGCAAAGACTTTTATAATTTTTTTTCTTTTAAATTGAATTCTTTTGGGAAATTTTCTATTAAAATTGAATAATTTAAATTTCCTATCAATTATTTAATTTTATTTCCTATTAAGTTAAGAAAAAATATTCAAAAATTTAACTAAATTAATTTAATTGAATAAAAAAAAGGGAGTTAAAAATTAGAAATAAATTCACAGAAAGTTAGAACTATAAAGAAAAGGATAAAAATTCGAAAAATTTAACCAATTTTTAAGAACTGAAAGACATTTTAATTTTGCAAATTAATAATAATTTTATCTAATAAAAAAAATGGGATGAAAATTAGAAATTAATCAATTTTTATAGAATGAAAAAGAAATGAAATTAGAATTATATTAAGGACTCTGCCCGTATAAGAATCTTAAATAAATAAATAAATATTATTATAAATAAATTAGAAATTTTAATAATGAATTTAATTTTTTCTAACTAAGTGGAATTAAATAAAGTTGGGATATTTTTAAATTCGTTAAATTTAAATTTAATTAAATTCATGAATTTAAAATTAATTTATTAATTAATTAAATTTAAATTTAAAAATTTTAAATTCAATTTTCTTTTTCTCTTTGTTTTCAATTTAAATAAATTGTTTCTTACCCCGCATTCGCAATTCTTCAGCAAACTCGCATCGATCTCGTGACAAATTCCACAGGCTCGCGGAAATAGAAAAATCTCCTCCTCTTCCTTCGTCAATTTTCTCTTAATCCTGATTTCTGCATTTCTAAGTATTTCTAGTCGCATCTTTATCCAATTTTCTTCGTCCATCGCTAGTTTAGCCGCCCCGTGAAACAACTGCTTCCCTCCTTCAATTTCCTTCCGCAATCGACAAATAACATCACACAATTCGCTGTGATTAATTTTGTCCTGATTTTCATGTTTTTTATCGCAATAGTAAACAACTCGACATTGTTTACACTGCAATTTTCCCTCTTGTTTCTTGCAATAATGACACAATTGCGGATAATGTGAAGAAATTTTGATCGATTTTTTCTCATCATTTGGCTTGAGAATTGCCACAAATAGCGAATGTCGAAAAAATACCTCTGGATGTAGTTTTAGAAGCGAAGAATAGTCATTGTAATTGTTATAAACAATTTCGTAGTTTTTAAACTTTGTGAGAAACAAATTAACTTCGGCATTGTGAACATCTTGACATGATGATGTGATTACAATGGGACACGGTAATTTTTGTACAGCATTCTCATCTTTTTCACCATTAAAGTTGAAAATATTTTGAATAATTTTCTTCTCCTCCGATGGAGAACTGCTGAATATTGCAATTAGAGTCGGTTTCTCGTACATAATCGGATTGCGTTCAATTTGAATGGTTTTTTTCTTCATTTTACAGTCCTTGCAGAGATTGATTTTCAATTTTTCCGCCGATGGCAGTTCATCTTCAATGTAGATTATTTCCAATGTTTTCACTTCGGGCAGTAAATGTAGAAGAATTTCCCAAAATTCGAAAGCAAATATTGTCCATGGACAGTGTCGGGATTTTAAATGAATCTGTACTTTCGATGGTATTGTGGAAAATAATGTTCTCAATGAACTACAAATTGTCAATGGAATACTAAAGTATTCCGAGAGTAGAATTTTATCCTTAGCTGAAATTTTTTCCTTTGTGAAAGAATCGAAAAAATCGATCATCGACTTTGGTAGAGAATCGTCTTGTTTCATGTCCTTCATTCCTTTTAAAAATGAATTTATTTGTGATTTAATGTTAGAATTCGCATCGAATTTAAATGCTGTTTCTCTAGTGATTTCGGCACTTTGAATAATGCAAAATCTCTCGTGAATATGACTCGATGGATGCAAATCGCAAAAACTTGCGATTAAACACTTTTGGCATGTTTTTAACTTATCTTGATTTGCCTCACGACAAATGAAGCACAAACGTGGCTGTGCGAGAAGCATAAGTTCTTGTGCATTTAATGGACGTTTTAATTTTGCCTCGACTTCGGCAATAATTCGACATTTTTCTTCAAAAAATTCTGCTTGGTCCATATTTTCGTAAATGTGTGATTTTCCCTTTGCTTTGAAAATCTCGGTGATTATTTTGCATAATTTTTTGTGCTCTGCACGATGTTCCATTTGATGTTCCTTGCCGCAGTAAGAGATCATTCTGCACGATGAACATCTCTTGAGTTTTTTTGTTTCGCCACATAAGTGACATTTTATTGGATGATGAGTCTCCATTCTGGATGACCAAAAGGGTCGCAGTTTTTCTTGAATCGACTTCGCTTCGAAGATTTTAAACTGAAAATAATTTAATAATTTTATTATTTTGCCAAAAATGTACAAAGTTTTCTTTTTTTTTTTTTTTACAAATTAAATTAGTATTTTGTCGAAACAGTTAAAAATTTAATTTTGTAATTTCAAAGAAAAATTCAGTTAAACTTTTTCAAAAAAATTAATTCTACAGTTAAAACTATGAAAAATTCGAATTTTCGAAGATTTTAGTTTGAAACATTTTCAAAATTTAATTATTTCTAAAAATTCAGACTAATGCTTTTAAATATTCAATTATCTAAAATTTTGACTAAATTATATTTTTAAATCAATCTTTATTAGAAAATTCTACTAGAATTCAAGTATTCAAAAACAAAAATTATTGATTTATTATTAAGATTAATTATTAATTTATTGAATAAATTGAATTTTCATAAAGAATTTCATCAACAAATTTTTAGATATTTGAATTATTTTAACGAATTTTCATTTAATTTTTAAGAATAAACGCATTTTTCGAGAAATTCGATTAAAATTGTACTAAAATTAATTGAAATTCTGCAATGAGTTTTATTATTTATGCAAATAATTGAATCCCTGAAAAGAATTTTAATACTTATGAAAATAATTGAATTTCTGGGCGAAGAATTTTATTTCTTTGGAAACTAACTAAATTTCTGAGAAGAATTTTTTTATATTTACCAAGATAATTAAATTCTTTCGAATTCGTTAATTTAATTTTTAAAATAATAATTAAAATTTTATTTAAAATGAATTTTTATTGTTTATATTGAAAATTAGTTTTTAATATTTATTTTCAATTATTAACTTATTAAGTTAATAATTAAATTACATTTTTAATTTTCATGGAATACCTAATTGTAAAAATAGTTTGTTTTTAAATTGTAAATATATAAATAAATAATTTTAATTATATTGAAAATTAATTTTTGTGATGTTAAATATTTAGAAAAATTAATTTCAATATTTAATTTGTATAATACATTGTTTTTCTATTTTGTAATTTAATTATTTTAAAAATAGTTTATTTTTGTTTTTAAACTTTAATTATTTGGGGATAATTAAAATTTTATTTATTGTTCAACTTTTTTGAAAATTAATTTTTAATATCAAGTTCCTATTATTAATTCGTTAATTTAATTTTAAAAAGAAATAGTTTATTTATACTTTTAAATTGTAATTATAAATTAAATAATTTTAATTAGGTACATTTTATACCTATAAATTTTAATGATTAAAATTTAATTTTACTATTTATCAATAAATAAATAAATTATTAAATCGTTAATTTATTTTTTAATGTAATAAATGGAAAAAACTATTTTATTTTTACTTTGAAACTAATTATAAATGGACAATTAAAATTTTTTTATTATATTTTGACAATAAATACGTATAAAAAAAAACAAAAATTTAAAAAGCAAAATCCGAGAAATGACAGAAAATTACTTATTGCACATAATTTTGAACATTATTGGTGAAAATAAATATTCAGAAAACGAACAGCAAAAGTCGATACAAAATTAATTACTAATACTAAACTAAAATTTATAAAAGTGGAAAAATTCATTTTTAACAAAAAAATACATTTGCAAAATTAATTGTAAAATACAGAAGATTGATAAACAAAAGGATAAAAAATAAGTTGTTGAAATTAATAGAGAATTGCTAATATTTCGAAAAAATGTTTCATTTTCACTAAAACGAATTAATGCGCAGTATTTCTTTTCCTATCTAATTATTTCGAATTTTGTCGATTTTAAGCTAAAAATAAAGAATTGAATCTATTTGTACTATTATAGACAAACTGGAAATTTTTTTTAATTGAATTAATTAAGAAAAAAAGGTTAGAAAGTGAAAGTTATTTTACATTTTTCGTAATTTTTCCCTCTTTGATAAATTTTATTCTGCCTCGTGGTGATCACACCACATAAAAAAACTACTATTTTAATGAACCAATTTTAACACAAAGATTTTTTCTATTTTAAATTATATAATTAATTTTTGTTTTTTAATTGAGAATACTGATAAAGGAAATAATGTATTTTTGACAAAATTATTATTAATTGTACGAGAATAATACCTTTTTCTGATGAGAAACGAACACGGGAAAGACAGCAAACAGCGTCGAGATGAGCTATGTATATAATCAGGGTTGGGCAGCTACGGTAACTGACGCTCTGCTCATAATGCTGCTTCTACAATAATATTGCATTGCAAGTATATTAATGTCGGTCCACACTGGCGTAAATATTCCATTGCAATCATTTGCATTAAAAATAAAAATAAGTGAAATAAATCAAATAAATGCTTGCACAAAAATTTGCAGTTACCTGAATTTAGTAAAAGTGAGTTTAAAAAAAGACTGACATATATTTGTGTTCTTTTCTATTTTACACATTTCGTTCGCGAAAAACTTTTACGAAAACCTATTGTGCGTTGACCTTAACTCACAGGGGCAAAAAATTCTGTTGTAGGAAACACCTTTAGAAAAAGTTTCTTAAATTTTACATGTAAATTTAATAATGAAATCGTAAAAAACGCAAAGTAAACAAAAAAAAAGAATGTAATTATTTACGTTTCTCTCTCGTTTTACGTTTTTATTGAGCTCTCGCCTTGTTAATTGTGAAGGTGAGAGGAGAAGGGGAAAAGAGTATAGTGGGAGAAGTGTCGCTCATATGTTCAACTGTAAAGTTTCTATTGTAGAAAGAACTTTAACCACGTCGCATGCGCAGTTTTTTATAGTCATTTGGCGCCATTTTTCCGTCGATAAAGTGTCAAACGCTCAAATTTATTTAATGTTTATTAAATTTGTAACTGTTTTTCAAATAGTTTCTCCTGTTGGTTTTTGTTTATAATAATAAGGAAAATTCCCAGTGTTCGAATGTTTCAAATTCGCAAATCATTTAACAATCACAAAAAGTAATTTCGTTACTATTTATTCAATATTTACTGTAAGTTTTTATCATTTATCAATATTTATTTATTTTTTTGCCTTTTTTAATGTTTCAGGTGAGTTTTTTCGCAGTTTCCATAAGTTTTTCTGCTCCAAAGTGAAAAATGTGAGTAAATTTATTTTAATTTCCAATTGTACTTTTTCACAAAGGGAAAAATAATACTTTTGTGACAATTTCTTTTTGTCATTTTTGGAATCAAATACTGCGGCTAATTTGACTTAATTAGTCAAAAATATTTAAAGAATTTTTTCTAAACAATTTGTGCAGTAAATGAAAGAATTTCTTGGAGTAAAAAATATTTTTTCAATGCAGAATAATTTTTTTTATTGCGGAAATAAAATTTTTTTTTTTATTAACGGAGCAATTTTTTTTTTGTTAATACAGAACAAAAATTTCTTTTTTAGTCTAAAAAATACTTTTTTCTAAATTAAAGAATAAACTATTTGTAAAAAAAATTTATTTTATTCTGATTGCGGAATAAAAGTTTTATTTTTCATTGCAGAAAATATTATTTGTTTTTTTAAGAAAAAAATTATCTTGTTTGCAGAATAATTTTTGTTTTTGTAATTATGGAACAAAAATTTCTTTTTCACTACAGAAAGTGTTCATTTTTTTGTACTAAATAAAAGTTGTAGAATATTAAAGATTTTTTGTTTCTGTTATTGCGAAAAATAAAAATTTTTTTTCCTACAGAATAATTTTTGAACAAAAATTTATTTTTTATTTCCAAAAGTTTTCTTTTCTTTTGTTATTGCAAAGCCTAAAAATATTTTTTTATCGCAGGACGATTTATTAACGAATTTTTTTTTTTTGTTAATAAGGAATGAAGATTTTTTTTATTACAGAAAATATTTTCTTGTTTGTTGCCGAGTAAAAGATTTTTTTTCTATTATTACGAAATAAAAATTTATTTCTTTTCACCAAAAATATTTCTATATAAAAAATCTTTTTTCATTACGTAAATTTTTTTCGTTACTGAACAAAAATTCATTTTATTACAAAATTTTTTTTTTTTGATACGGAACAAAAATCTACCAGTAAAAAAAATGGTTTTTATTTTCTAATATTACGAAACAAAATGTTTGTTTCTAAAACGAATTTTAATTTTATTTCAAAATTTTCCTCAAAAAAATAAATTGGTAAATAAAATATAAATCGATTTACTTTATCAATATATTTAGTAAACAATTAATAAAATACATTATTTTTGTAACTGAAAGTACGAAAAAAATTATAATATATTTTTTATAATCATCTCTTGAAAGTTTGAAACTATTTTAAAGTTCTCTTACATTTTTAGTGACAAATTAAAGTCGAAAAAGGTTTTAGTAAAAACATAGTTAAGTATTTATTTTTTTTATCTGAACTGTAAAGAAATGATTTCTTCATTTTTAATATTTAATTCATTAAATTAGTATTGACCTCGAGTATTAAATATTAATTCGTTGAATTAATATTGGGCTCGAGGGTTTTAAAAAAATTTTTATAGTAATGGTCAAATTTATATCTTGCAAGAAAAATGTCACAAATTTTTAATTTACCATTCGCTGAATCTAATTCTTTTCTTAAATTTTCATTTTCTTCTCTAAGAATTTTATTAGTTTTCTGCAGTAATAATAGATTATTATTATCATCTTCTGGTTTTGGTAAATTATTTTCCACTTCTTTTTGCAATTTTTTGTTCCCTTTTTTATGTGACTTCTTTTTCTTCTTTTTCGGCAAATTTTTATCCTCTTCTATTATTTGTAAAATTTTGTTCTCTTCTGTTTGCGAATTTTTTCCATCCTCTGCAGCTTGTGATTTTATTTCCTCTTCTTTCGGCAATTTTTTTTTCTCCTTGTTTTTCTCTTCTGCTTGCAAATTTTTTTCCTCTTCTGCTCGGAATTTTATTTCCCTTTCTTTCGGCAATTTTTTCTTCTCTTTAGTTTGCAATTTGATTTTCTCTCTTTCTGGCAATTTTTCATTCTCTTCGGTTTGGAATTCTTTTTTCTTTTCTTCCTGAAATTTTTCATCGTCTTTTTTTTGCAATTTTTTCTCCTTTTCGGTTTGCGACATTTTTTCCTTTTCTTCGTGCAATTTCTGATAATTTTCTTCTCGCAATTTTATTTCTTCTTCTCGCAATTTCTTTTTGTCTTCTTTTTGCAATTTTTTCTTTATTCCTGTTTGTGAATTCTTTTCCTCCTCAGTTTGCGATTCTATTTCCTTTTCTTTCGGCAATTTTTTGTCCATTTCTTTCTGCAATTTTTCGCCCTCTTCATTTTGGAATTTTTCGTTTCCTTCCGTTAGCAATTTTTCCTTTTCTTCGGTTTGCAATATTTTTTCCTCTTCTTTTTGCGATTTTTCGTCGATATTTTGCAATTTTTCTTCTGGGAATTTTTTTTTCACCTTCGATTCCTTGTATTTTCCATTGTAGACGATGAGAAATTTATTCGCGTACATAACGCCTTCCGTGCGAAAATCACGTTCCGGACACAACGAAGCAAATGGATTTTCCTCCAAAAACAAGTAATTGACATTTTTCCCTAAAAATTGACAAATTATTCGGTGCTCTCTCTCGACACGTTCCTTTGTACCTGCCGTTAAAATAAAAGGCACACCAACTTTTTCGAGAGTTAAAATAGTCTCCTTCCAATAATTGTCACTCTCATTCGATGCAAGTAATTCAAAATCTTGAATATTTAAATTCGAACCCAAAATGACATCCGCTTTTTCGTACTTTTTACTCATTGAATATTCCTTATAATTCATGTCACAATAATCAAGTGTTAATTTCTTATTTACTCCTGCATTCATCAAATTAAATGTAGACGTATCGACAATTTTTTCCGGACAATTCACCACTTGTTGACCGATGAAAATTATTTTCAAATTTCTCAACTTTGGCATTAAGTACAAAAAATTTGTCCACGTATTCTCAGTGACGATTTCTGCTCTTTTTGCGATAAGAATGTGAATTGTCATTGTTGTCTTAATGAGTGAAGGGATTTTTTTTGTTATCACATTTAGCAATGTTATTGAGTCAGTTATTGTCTTTGATGTCGCTAATTGTTGAAAATTTATTTCTTGAGTAATTTCGACATTTTTCATCATCGATGGTGGAACATTTGATTTTAGAAAATCGAGCATTGTCGTTGATGAATTTTCACATTCACCAGTAATGACGTGGAATTTCATTAGGACCATTAAAATTGGTTCGATTTCGGTTTGGGAAAATTTGTAAGCAATCGATAATTCTTTACATAATTTCTTGTGACTCTCATCTTTGTTGTGAATTTTGCAGAGACTGACCTGTAAAGAAATTTTTTTTTTACTCAACAGGAAACTAAAAATATTTTTTTATATGAAAAATATTCCTTTGGTTAAATTGAAAATATTTATTAAATTAAATTGAAAATAAGTTACAGAGTTTTATTAAAACTTTTTTAAAATAATCAAATATTTGACGAATTGTAGTTAAAATTTTGAAAATAATTTAATTTTACGAATAATCAGAATAAAGGTTATTCAACTATTTTTTACAATTACATTTTTAAACAATTATTTACTTTTATATTCAAAATTATAAAAAAAAATTGATAGTTTAATAACGTTTATTCAATTTTGGGGAAAATAATTGAATTCTCGCTAATAATTAATTAAAAATTTCTCAAGCAATCGGAATTTCATAAAATTTTATTGAAAAATGTGTAATATTAATTTTAGATTGATTAAAATTAAATAAAATTAATTTAAAATTTAATAATTGAAAATTTTTCAATCAATTGTAATTTTAGAAAATTTTATTTTAAAAAATTTAACGACTTAGAGATTTTTAAAGAATTTTAAAAATATTTTAAAATAATCAAATTTCTAAAAAATTGTGGTTAAAAACATTTTTGAAATAATTGAATTTTACGAATAATCGGAAATAAATTCCTGTAAATAATTAATTGAAAGTTTTTTTAATTTGGAATTTCTTAACATCTTTTGATTAATGGAATTTTATTAAAATTTGAGAAAATAGTCGAATTATTAAGGAATTTTAATGGAAAATTTTGTAAATAATTGAATTTTATCAAGAAGTGTCAAAATTGAAGTAATTAAAAAGAGGGAAACAATCAAAAATGTATTTTAAAATCAGGGAAAACGATAATAAAAAATTTGTGACAACTTTGAAAATTCTATATTAATAATCGTTGTATTCTTTTTATTTTTTAATTTAATTTAATAATTTAATAATAAAGAATTTTGTCAAAAAAATTGAAAATAATTGAATTCCTTCGAAATATTTTATTATTTATAAAAACAATTGAATTCTCGAGAAAAATTTTATTATTTTTTTTTTAAGTTATTGAATTTTATTAACATTTAAGAAAATAATTCAATTCTTCTCAGAATTTTATTACAATTTTCTAAAATAATTCATCTCATTCAAGGAATTTTATTAAAATATTGAAATTAATTAAATTCTTATCCGAAGAATAGATTCCATTAAAGGTTTCGACAAAAATTGAATTCTTTATAAAAATTTCTTTAATTTATTGAATAAATAATCGATTTTGTTAATAACTGTAATTTATAATTTTACTATTAAAATTTTATTAAATTTATTGATAGAAAATTAGACTTTGAAGTTTATTAAAATTGGATTGAAAATAATTGAATTCCTCAGAAGAATTTTATTATTTATAAAAAATAATTTAATTCTTGTGATGAATTTATCTAAATTATTTTGAAAAATTTTATAACGGATTTAAAAAAATTAATTCTTTAGTGAAATTTTATTGAAAATAATTGAATTTTTGCAAATATTTCACTATTTAAAAGAATAATTGAATTCTTTTGAAAAATTTTATTAAAATAAAATATAATTTTATAAAAAATATTTTAAAAATTGTATCGTTGATAAAAATTTCAATATTTTTGAAAATAATTGAATTCTTGTGAAGAATTTTATTAAAACTTTTTTAAAATAATTGAATTTCTGCGGCAAATTTTACGATTTATATAAAAATAATTGAATTGTTTCCAAGGATTTATTAAAATTTTAGAAAATATTTCAATTCTTTTGAAAAATTTTATAACGAATTTAAAAAAAAATTGAATTCTTTTGTGAAATTTTATTGAAAATATTTGTATTTTTGCAAAGAATTTACTATTTAAAAAAATAATTGAATTCTTTTGTGGAATTTTAATGAAAATTAAAAAAAAAGAATTCTTCCAAGAAAAAGTTTTTAAAAATTGTATTAAAAATAAATGATTTTTTTCAAAGCATTTTACTATTTATAGAAATAATTGAATTGTTTCGAAAGATTTATTAAAATTATAGAAAATATTTCAATTCTTTTGAAAAATTTTATAACGAATTAAAAAAAAATCGAATTGTTTCGTGAAATTATATTGTTGTAATTGAATTTTTGCAAAGATTTGACTATTTAAGAAAATAATTTAATTCTTTCGTGAAATTTTATTATTTATGAAAATAATGGAAATGTTTTGAAAAATTTTATAATGAATTAAGAAAAAATTGAATTCTTTTCTGTAATATTGAAATTATTTGAATTTTTGCAAACATTTTACTATTCAAAAAAATAATTGAATTCTTTCTTGGAATTTTAATAAAATTTTTAAAAAAATTGAATTTTTCCATGAAATGTTTTTTAAACTTGTATTAAAAATAATTGATTTTTTGCAAAGAATTTTACTGTTTATAAAAATAATTGAATTCTTCCGAATAATGTTATTATTCATGAAAATACTTGAATTTTTTTGAATAATTTTATAACGAATTAAGAAAAAATGGAATTCTTTCGTGAGATTTTATTAAAATAATTGAATTTTTGCAAAGATTTTACTATTTAAGAAAATAATTGAATTCTTTCGTGAAATTTTGTTAAAATTTTGTTGAAAATAATTGAATTTTCGCCCAAAATTTTACTATTTTTGAAAATAATTTAATTCTTACGAATAATATTATTTATAAAAATAATTGAATTGTTTTGAAAAATTTTTGAACGAATTAAGAAAAAATTGAATTCTTTCGTGAATTTTTTTTGAAAATAATTGATTTTTTGGAAACATTTTACTATTTTAAAAAATATTTGAATTCTTTCGTGGAATTTTAGTAAAATTTTTATAAAATTGAAATCTTTCATGAAACTTTATTGTAAATATTTTGTTTTGAAAATAATTTAATTTTTGCAAATAAATTTACTATTTATAAAAATAATTGTATGTTTTAAAATTTTGATAATTAAATTATTTAAAAATATAATATTTGAAAATAAATAAATTAAATTAAATTAAATTAACGAAAAATCTTGAATAAAAGAATGAAATTCCTTACCCCACATTCGCAACTTTTCAATAAACTCGAATCAGTGACGTGACAAATTGCACAAGCTTTGGGAAATAGAAACATTTGCTCCTCATATTCCTCTAGTTTTCTCTCAAATTTTCCCCTCACTTTCTTCATAACATCAACTTTTGTTTGCAGCCACGAATCAGAGTCCACTGTTGATTGATTGTCAAAAATATTTGCCGTTCCCATTTCACTCAATAAATTCAAAATCACCCGACAAATATCCTTATGATAAATTTGATCCTGATCACGATGCTTATTCGAACAATAGCTTATGATTCGACAACGATTGCATGTAATTTTTCCCTCTTCCTTATGACAAACGTGACAAACATGAGGATAGAAAGAGGATCTCGGTCGATTTACTTCTCTAGTTAATGTTTCCGTTGCTGTTGAAGAAAAGGCCTTTCCTTCTTGAATTAAGCAAATAAATTGAGAATTCCGTTTCACTGAGCCATCGTCAATTAATTCAAAGTGCATCAAAGGTGCAAATGTATTGAATCCACTGTCAATTACTTTAAAACCAATGGAGGAGTTTAAAAAATCTTCTCTCGTCATTTCGAACACATCTTCGGTGAGTGTTGTAAACACCATTGGACATGTGACTTTACGGAATCTCTCGATTGTTGCCCTCCATTGATTTCGTGCGTACAATGGAGGCGAGATGTTGAAATAACCAATGAAAGATGGTTTTTGATAATTTCTCTCAGCCAAGTATCTTTCGTATGGCATTGATTTTGCTTCGACGATTAATTTACGTTTATTTGTTTTACAATTTTGGCACAGTGATATTTCTTTGGTGATATCTAAATTTCCCTCGATATTGATGATTTTTAGACTCTTCACATTCGGCAGAAAATGTAAAAGTATTTCCCAGTGATGATAATAATTGACATGCTTTTCGAGACCTCCGACATCGACATGAATAACAATTTCCGGTGGATAATTACCGTAGTTGTAAATTGTTTGTAGAATTTTGTGAATTGTTAACGAAATACTGACAAATTCGGAGAGAGAAGTTTTTTCACCTTCCAAAAGACAACTTTCTGGTGTGATACTCGTATACTTGTCGTAAAAATCCATCAAATCCACTGGTGATTCGTCATTAATTTCTTTCAAAATTTTTGTCCCATGGGCCATTGTTTTCATTTTCTTTTGCAAATTATGCGAATTGTAGTTCAACGACCATAATAAGGAGACTTCATTTTTAATGATGTGACAACATCTGTCGTGTAATTCGCTGCTTGGATGTAAATCACAGAACGAAGCTAATGGACAATTTGGACAATTTTTTAATTTCTCTTGTTTAGCTTCGCGACAGACGAAACAAACTCGGGGGAATTTTAATATTTCCGCTTCAAGTGCATTTGGATATCGTTTCAAAGAACTTGATAGTTCGTTGAGAATTGAATTTTTTGATGATTTCCATAGCGAGAATGATTTATTGGCGATTTCCTCATAAATGTGTCGTATTCCTTTCTTTTTTAATATCAATGCTATTGCTTTGCATAAATCTTTATGTTCTGACCAATTTTCCAATTGATGAGCTCTGTCACAGTAGGCAATCATATTACATCCCTTGCATCTTTTTAATTTTGTTGTCGAATGACAAACAATGCATTCGTTTGGAAAATATTTTATAGCTCGTTCCATATTCTTTTCTTTTTTTTTTTTTAATTACTTTTATTTCATAAAACATACATCTGTAAAGAGAAGAAAATATTCCAGTTTTAGTTCAGGTGGAAATTTTTGTTTCCATTTTATTTTTGACAATTTTTTTTAAAGGGAATAATTTTTTATTTTTGTGACCCGGATGAAGAGTTAATTTCTTGACCATTAAAATTTTTAATGGTTTTTTAATTAGTTTTAATTTAAAGGAAATTTTTATTATTTGACCTTTTATTAACACACTGGGTCATTTTGACCCGGATTGGGAATTATTTACTTAACCATTAAAATTTAATAAATAAATAATTTTTTAATTAAAGAAGTTAAAAAAAACATTTTTTTGAATTTAAAATTTAAAATACCTATTATTTTCGATTATTTTTTTTTTTTAAAGGCGACTTTTTTCGACTGTTTTCAACAAATATTTGAATTAATTACAAATTTTTGATTTTCTTCTAAATATATTGAAACTTTTTTTAAAATTTTATTTCTGCTTTATTTTTTCTATTACAAAAATTTTTATTTTTTATTCTCAGTTTAAATTTAAAGAAAACGTTATTAATTTAAACTTCTATTAACACTCTGGGTCATTTTGGCCTGGCTTAAAAAAAAATTCAATTAAAATTTAATAAGTAATTAATTTTTCAATAAAAAAGTATAAAAAAAATTCTATTTTTGTTAAATATAATTGAAATTTTTTGAAATAATTGAAATTTTCAAGAATTCTACTGCAAATAAATTAAACTATTTACAAATTTTTATTGGAATTTTTTAAAATAATAGAAGGAATTTAGGTACATTCATTTTTAAAAATTCTGTTCTATTTTTGTTAAAGAAAATTAAAATTTTTTGAAATAATTAAAATTTTTTATAATTATATTAAAAGCAATTGAAATTTTAAAAAATTCTATTAAAAATAATTCAACTTTTTAAGGAATTTTATTGAAATTCTTGAAAATAATCGAAGGAAGTTAGAAACATTTTAGTTTCTAAAAAATATTAAAATTCTATTTTTGTTAAAGATAATAGAAATTTTTCGAAATAATTAAAATTTTCGGAAATTCAATTAGAATTATTTAAATTCTTTAAAGCAATCAAAGGAATTTCGCCAAGAAAATTTAAATTTTTAAAAATTAAAAATATTTCAGTTCTATTTTTTTTTAAAAACAATTGCATTTTTATAAGCAATTTGAAATTAAATTTAAAAATTGAAATTATCTAAAATAATTGACATTTTCTAAGATTCTATTAAACAATAATCGAAGAATGTTAGACGCATTAATTGTTTGAAATATTTTAGTTCTATTTGTTTTAAAGAAAATTGAAATTTTTTTAAATAATTGAAATATTCAAAAATTCTATTACAAATAATAGAAAATAAAAAAAAAAATTTATTGTCATTCTTAAAAATAATCGAAAGAATTTAGACACATTACTTTTTAAAAATATTCCTGTTCCATTTTATTTAAAGGAAATTAAAAATTTTTTTAAATATAATTGAAAATTTTTTCAATTTTATTAAAAATAATTAAACTTTTTAAGGAATTTTATTGAAATTCTTGAAAATAATCGAGGGAAGTTAGATACATTAATTTTTTAAAATAATTGAGTTCTATTTTTGTTGAAGATAATTGAAATTTTCTGAAATTTCTATTAGAAATAATTGAATTTTTTAAAGAGTTTTATTGAAATTCTTAAAATAATAATCGAAGGAAGTTAGAAACATATTAATTTTTAAATATATTTCAATTCTATTTTTGTAAATGATAATTGAAATTTTTTGAAATAATTGACATTTCTGAAATTCTATTAATATTAAAATAATTGAATCTTTTAAAAATTTCATTAAAATTCTTAAAACTAATCGAGAGATGCCCGATAAATGAATTTTTAAAAAATATCTATTTTTTTGATAATTGAATATGTTATAATTAATTGAAATTTTTGTAAACTTTTTTTGAAAATAATTGTTCTTTTACAATTTTTTTTAAGATTATCAAATTTTTTTTGAAAAATTGCACACATGTTTCCGAAAGTTGAAATATTAACAGAAAATACATATATTAAAATTTTCAACAAAATCTATTTTTATAATAACCATTCAAATTTCGGATAAAAATTCACTTAAAATTTTTAATTTAAAATTCTTCAAAAAATTTATCCATTTGTTTAATTGTCTACAAATTATTAAGAAACTTAATTATTTTTTAAAAAATTGCATTACTTACAATATTTTTAAAAAAACTAATCCTTAAGATTTTTTGTATCATAATTTCTTAAAATTAAATTATTTTCGACATTTTCAATTACATATTGACGAAAAATTAAGCTTACCTAATAATACTTGTTTTTAAAGAAAGAACATGAAGATTTACAATATTGAATTTTTATATTTATATAATTGAAATGTCGAAGATGTTTATGAAAATAATTGAATTAGAGAAAAAGTTTATTTAAAAATTTATGTTTTTTGTGTTTTACAATCAAACTGGTAATATAGTGGTTATTTATGATTAAAAAATAAATTGAGAATAAGAAGTCGGATGTCGGAAAAGGAAATTAAAGTAAGATGTTAGAAATCGAAGGAAAAAACGAGGGAAAAAGTATATAGCGTCTTTTTTTTTAAGGTTAGGGTTGCCACGTGCTCATATTTAATATATTTGTGTATATTATTTAAAAATATATTCAACTGAGTAATTTTAATCATTTCGAAGAAAATCTAAAGTTAGTTTTGAAAAAAGTTATTTTTTAACGAATATTTATAAATGAAAAGATAACTACACGTGTTTTTGAAAAATACAATTGAAGAAAAGATATAAATTTCTGTATTCTTACCTCTTGTATTTTACTAGGAATAGTGAAAAAAATTGTTGTACTTCCTTCAACACGAATAGATGAAGTAGAATTATTCTTTTTTTAAAATATGTATTGATGTAAGAAGTTTATATCTAATCGTGCTTTAAAATATACGAGAGATAAAAAAATGATAGAATTCTGGGAACTTGTCTGTTCTGTGAATTCTTGACAGGGTTGAGGAAGTTTACAAACTAAGTTGCCGCAAAATGAATAGAGCTTAAGGATTATTCAGTCGAATCCACAAGTGTTGAAGAGATTTTCAAATTACAGTGTTTACCATCCATGTAAATTTTATATGAGACAGAAAAGGACAAAAACTTTACTCTGTCCTTTTCTACCACAAGCATTTCGTTCGCGAATTTATATATTGTGCTTAGGATTTTTTCTAAACCTTTTATTTGCAAATTTATCAACGGATTCGCAATCCAACTCTAAAAACACCCCAGAGTATTGAATTTCAAGTGACTCCGATGAATTTTAAATTTCGTTCGCCATCTTGGATCCACCATTTTGAATCTTTAAATTCATCTTTAAATTAGATTTTGACTAAAGTCGTTGCTGACTATTTTTAAAAAATTATACTAATATATTATAGTTTTTAGCAATGATTTTAATAATTAATAAAAAATCTTTTCATTTTGTGATTTTCTGGCCTTGAATAAAATATTCGAAAAAAGAAGTATTATATAATTTTTAAAAATTAGTCGGCCATGGCGGAATAATCGGAATAATCTAGAAATCTAGAAGTTTACTTTTTTAGAACGTATGAAGAATTTTATCTATATTTGATAATAAACTATTGAATCATCAATTGCCAAAAACTTTCGAAATCAGAGCATTAATTTATCATCGAGTTTATCATATAGAATTATTCGACTTTAATTATTAAAATCTTTAAGTTAAAATTTACTAATCTGATGTATTAATTAATAATTTCTTTCGTGTTTCAGGTAAGTTTAAACGCCTCTTCTTCAAACAGAATATGTGAGTAAATATATTTTTTTCTGCATGCGTTTGTGAAATTTTATTTGACATTGACTTTGACAAAAATACTTCTTCAAAATAATTGTTAGGGTACCTGAAAGTAATAATTCTAAGAGAAAGTTAAAAATTTAAAACAGGAAAAATTTTTATTTTTTATACTTCTGATATTATCACAAATGGAAAATGAAAGTGATGAATAAATAATAACACTTTTATAAAATATATTTGAATATTTTAACAAATAACAACACGTAGAGATGTTTTCTGAATAACGTTTCTAAATTAATACTTTTTTGATATTTCGTTGCGAGTTTTTTTTTTTTTTTTTCAATTTATCAAACAAGATTTTCGTCATTTGCACTTTTTTGATATTCAATAATTTTGTCCTCCAATCTTGCAATTTCCGCCATTGCTAAATCTAATTGCTGCCTTAATATTACATTCTCACTCTTAAGAAATGAATTATGCTTTATTAGAAATGACGTTTCAGAATTATTCATTCTTGAATTAGTTAAATTCTCACAACTAACAGACATCATTTGACTAGTTTCTTTATTTGCTATTTCGCTACTTTTATTATGAATTTCCGATTTCCTTCGTACCGACTTGAGTTCTTCATCAGAATTTTCTTTCGAAGCTGCAATTGCACCAGAAATTGTGTCAATATTAGTGACTCGTGATTTTAATTGATTCTGCTGTAACCTTCTGTCAAGTTCTTTAACGGACAATGATTTTGGTAAATTGTAAGAGCGATACGGTTCATTATAGATAATTATGAAACTATTGCAATACATTATTCCATCCGTTTCGAAATCTCTTTCTGGACTGAGTGATGCAAATGGATTTTTTGTTTGAAACGAAGAAACATTGAAAGCACAAGAAATCTTTTTGTGCTCCTTCAAAGCACGCTCTTCACTTTCAGCTGTTAAAATAATGGGAACTCGAACTTTTTCCATAGCCAAAATTGTTTCCTTCCAATAATATTCCGACATATCAATATTGGAGTCATGGATATTGAGATTACAACCAAATATCACATCCGGTTTGATGAATTGTTTACTTGATTGATATTTATCGTAGCTGATTGGATGGCTTTCGACTTTTAGGTATTTGATAGCAATTTGGGAGAAATCGGTTGTATCGACAGTTGTTTCGGACCATTCGGGTATTTCTCGTCCGATGAAAATGACTTTTAGGGTTTTTAGATTTTTTAAACGGTACAATAATAATTTCCAAGAACTTCTTGCCAGGAGATCTGCTCTATTTGCTCCGATAATATGAATCACGATTAGTGAATTTTTCGAGAGTTTGGTAAATTTTTGAATGGCATAATTCAACGTTAATGATGATGTCAAGAAATCGGATGTTATCAGATCTTTGCTGTTTGCATTTTGATTTGAACTTTCGGCTGATGGTTTACAAAAGTCTTTTATAAAATTCTGCATTGATGATGGTAGTTCGTGGCTGGAGTCCAAAGAAGTGGATAATATTGATTTTAGAGATGGTTTTTGCTTGAGAGTTGCCAGTTGAAAAGCAATCGATAGTTCCTCGCATAATTTTTGATGTTTTGGATCCTTGCGATGTAGTCGGCAGAGGATCGTCTGCAAAAAAAACAATTTATTCATAAACATGAAATTTCTTGAGGGTTGTGAATTAAATTGAAAAAATAAAAATTTCGGTATTGGAAATATCAAAATTTTTGGCTATTGCAGGGCACGAACTAGGTCCGTAAATACCGTAAAGGTCCATAAATTTGCTTTAAGTTAACTTTTCAGTAAAAATCACTTTTTTGAGAAAATATCGCTAAGGTCCGTAATTTGTTTGAAAAAGTACGAAAAGTTCGTAAATTGTTCGATATAATTTGGAGAATTTTGAAAAAGATAAAAATAATTAAAGAAATTCAATCATTTTCAAAATTAATAAAATTCTTGGCAGAAATTTCAATTATCTTTATAAATAATAAAATTCTTCTCTAAAATTCAATTATTTTCAAAAATTTTAATAAAATTCTTGGCAAAATTTCAATTATTTTCAAAATTAACAAAATTTTTAGTAGGAATTCAATTATTTTCAAAAATTTTAATAAAAGTTCTCGAAAGAATTCAATTATTTTCAAAAAAAAAAAAAAAAAAATAAAATTCTTGGTAAAAATTCCAGTATTTTCAAAATTTTTGATAAAGTTCTTGACAAGAATTCAATTATTTTTGAAAATTGAAATACAATTTTTGTCAGGAATTCAATTATTATTGGAAATATCAAAATTCTTAGCAGAAGTTCAATTATTTCCAAGAATAACAAAATTTTTAACATGAGTTTAATTATTTTCAAAACACTTCATAAAATTTTTCACAGAAACTCAATTCTTTTCAAAACTTTCAAATAAACCTCTTGACAAGATTAAAATTATCTTCATAAATAACAGAATTTTTCCTAGCGAAATTCAATTATATTTAAAAAAAAATTTTAATCAGAAATTCAATTATTTTCAAAAATTTTATAAAATTCTTCGCAAAAATTCAATTACTTTCAAAACATTCAAAAAAATTTCTTAGTAAGAATTTAATTATTTTTATAAATAACAGAATTCTGCAGAATTCTGAAATTCAATTATTTTCAAGAATAACAAAATTTTTAACATAAATTCGATTATTTTAAAAAATTTTTAAAAATTCTTTGCAGAAATTCAATTATTTTCAAAAGTAAGAAAATTTTCATCAGGAATTCAATTCTTTCAAAAATTTTCATAAGATTTTTCCGAGAAATTCAATTATTATTATAAATATAACAAAATTTTTCTCAAAAATTCAATTATTTTCAAAAATTTTAATAATTTTCTAATTTTTAATATCTACTATTTTAATAAAATTTTCAACAGACATTCAATTATTTAAGAACATTTTTTGATAATATTCGACGCAAATATTTAATTATTTTTATAAATAATAAAAAATTTTAAATTAATTCAAATATTTACAAATTTTTTATAAATTTCTTCACAATAATTTCTTTTATTTTCATAAATAATAAAACTCATCGCAGATTTTTAATTAGAATACAATTTTTTATATTAGAATTCCTGGAAAAAATGAAAAATGTTATTATATTCTTTAAATTTTTATTAAAATTCGTCGAAAGAATTCAATTATTTAATTATTTTTCAATTTAGATAATTGAATTCTCGTAGAATTTTCTTCTAAAAATTGATTTAAAAATTAATTTCAGTTAAAATTTTAAATAATAATTTGAATATTAAAAGCTTTATAGCGTGAATTTTTAGCAATAATTGAATTTTAAAAAGGTTTTGCCAATTTAAATTTTTGAAAATCTGAACTAACAATTCTATACAATCGATTTTTTTTTGAAAAAGTTTAATTAAATTTTTGTTTGAAATTATTTGAAGTTTTCATTTTTGACAATATATTTAATTGAAGAATTTCCGAATAATTGAAATTTCACGTAAAATTGAATTGCAAACAAATGAATTTTTAAAATTCTCAAAGAACTTTTTTAAAAATTATTAAAAATAATTGATTTAAAGAAGAATTTTATTTAAAAACAGTAAAAAAATTGATTGAATGTTGGACAAGTCACAAATGATTGCAGAAATTCAATTAGTTTCAAAAGTTTAATAAAATTTTTCGCAAAAATTCAATTATATTAAAAAATTTTTTTTAATTCTCGTCAAAATTTCAATTACCTTTTAAAAATAATAAAATTCTTCTCCGAAATTCAATTTTTTTCCAAAAATTTTAATAAAATTCTTGGCAAAATTTCAATTACTATTTTAAAAAAAATTTCTGAATCAATAATTTTCAATTTTCTTCTATTTTAATAAAATTTTCCAAAAGAATTCAATTATTTAAAAAAAAACATTTAGTAAAATTCTACGCAAACATTTAATTATTTTCATTGGATGCTCTCTAAATTTTATTCAGTTAAAATAACTGATTTAGGAGCAAAAAGTAAGTCACTAATTCAAATATAGTAATATTTCTCCTGACATTAAGTTAAAAATAACTGATTGTCAGTTAAACAACTGATTGTTCAGTAGATTTTTTTACTGATTCAATTAGTCAGGTTTAACTAATTTTTCAGTAATTTTTTTTTTACTAAAAATCAATTATTTTTTTCACTGATGTAAAACAAGTTTTTTAGATTCAGAAACAAAAAGTCTGTCACTGATTGTTTGGTAAAACTATAATTTTTTACTGATTCAAATTTAAGAGAGTGTTTTTACATACCCCACATTTGCAAATCATCAAAAATTGCGGTTCATCCTGACGACAAATGGAACAATTTCTCGGAAAGAAGAACATTTGCCTCTCGCTCTCCTCTAGAATGCGTCCAGTTCTGATCTGCACCTCCTTCAATGCATCGATTCTCATCGACAACCAAAAGTCTCCTTGTTGTAATTTTGCTTTATGAAAAATATGATTCTCCTCTTTCATTTCATTCATCAGACTACAAGTGGCTTCACAAACATCCCTATGATGCATCCAATCACGATCCCGATGTTTATTACCACAATAGAATATCATTCCACATCTACTGCACGGCACTTGTGGATCAACTTTCCTGCAAATGTGACAAATTGTCGGATAGAAACATTGTCGTGACCAATATTCCTTGAGAGATGATTCTGGAAAATTACTCCTCTCATCCTTGAAGACGATAATAAATTGAGAACTTCTATTCAATGATCCATCGTACTGTTCATGATGAAACATCAGTGAGGCAAAATCGTTATATCCACTGTATATTATCGAGTAATTTATCGAGGATCTTATTAAATTTTTCTTCATCAGTTGCATTTCGCTCTCAGTGAGGAATGTCAGCAACATTGGACAGTTAATTTCGTTTAGTTTGTTAATCGTGTTTATGTAACTGTTATCACTGTTTTCGAGCATAGGATTTGAAATATTAAAATAGGCGATTAAATTCGGCTTTTTGTATGTTTTCCCCCGCATATATGTCTCATACTTAAGGGAACTTGAGTCAATTGTTAATTTTTTCTTTTTTGCTACACAATCACTGCAGAGGGAAATATTATAATTGTCATCCACTTTAGAATCAATGTAGACAATCTTTAGAATTTTAACATCCGTCAGAAGATGTAGAAATGCTTCCCAAAAGTTCCCAATGAATATTCCCGACGAGCCATTGATGTTCAAGTGAAGAACCAAATCCGTTGGCGAATCATCTTGGAGCATTTGAAAAATACTGTAAATAGTCAAAGAAATACTGAAAGTTTCGGAAAGAAAGATTTTTTGAATTTCGGAAATTGTAATTTTTGTGCTTCTTTGATATTCGTCGAAGAAATCTCTCATTGTTCTCGGCGGTCTTTGATCCTGCAGAATATTTGTACAAGTGCCAATTATTTTAATCAAATTTTCTAATGTTTCAGAATCGAAGTTCATTTTTCTGGTTATGAGATCAAAACGATTTTGCATTATTGAACAATTACGTTGGTGAATAAAACTATTTTTATGACGACTACAGAATGTTGTTGTCGGACAATTGGGACAATTTTTCAACAACTCCTGTTTCGCTTCATAGCAAACGAAACAAATTCTCGGTGATTTTAGTAAAAATAATTCCTCACTATTTAAAGGACGTTGTAATTTTTTTCTCACCTCGTTAATAATTCGATCTCTCTCCATAAACCAAGTGGATCTTTTTAAATTCTCATAGATGTGGGTCAAATTTTTTTCCTTTAGCATTTTTGTTAGTGAGAGGCAAAAATTTTTGTGCGTCATCCAATGTTGTAGTTGATGATCTCTTCCGCAATAGGAGACCATATTACATCCGGTGCATCGTAATTTATTTTTCGATTTGCACACAATGCATTGATTAGGATAATTGATTTCCATTTTTAAAATTATTTTTCTATTCCTTTTCTTTCTTTTCTTTCTTTCTTAGCTGAAACTGTAATTTTATCTTAAGTCAAATTTTTACAACTTTTATATTCAAATTGATAAATTAAATTTATATTTAAATTTAATTTTAATACACTAAGTTTAAAACTTGAAAATTTAAACTTCATAGTTGCGAATAATTTTATGAACAAGTAAAATTTAGTAAAATTTACCTTGATAGAGAATAATAATCGTTGCATTGAACTTGTGAAAAATGAATTGTTTTGAAACATGAAACTTTCTTTCTCTCGGTGTTTTGTGTAAAAGTAAACCGCACAATCACATTATACTTTTCAAAACGAACTGAAATATTATCTTGATAAAGCGTGCAGACATTCCTAATCTAATCGCGAGCGCGCGGCTTTTTACGCAAGTGATTCATAATTTGACTGTAACCGCAGCTATAATAATAAAATGTCGTAATTTTTTTTTTAAAGGTATATGGACATGATAAGAAAATCAATTATGAGAAACTGTGTCAAAAAAAAGAAGAAAAATAAATAAAAAATCTTATAGAAAAAGAAATTATATAATTAAAATTAGAAGAGAGAAAATTGAAATTTAAAGTAAAAATGAATTTTAAATAATGATTAAAGTATTTCTTATTTTACATACCTTTTAAAAGTTTTTGCATTTTTCAACATCTTATCGGTTAATGAGATTTTTTTCTTAAAAGTTCAAAAAATATATTTGAAATAAGTTTAACTAGGATTTATATAAAATTTTTCCTAAACTCTTTTAAAGGAATTATTTATAGGATTTTATTTATTTTAAAAATACATTAAAAACAGAAATGGGAAATGAAATTATTTTTATTGTAATTTTTTTTAAAAGAATTCAATGGTTCAGAAAATAAAATCGTTTATAAAATATTTTGACCCATTTTGAAATTTTATTTTTTTTTAAATTCATAGATTTTAAAATCTATGATCTATGATGTATCCCATCAATTAAATGTATAAAAAAATTGATGAACAATAGTATTTTTTAGCATTTTCAACTTTTTTTTTCAAAAAAAAGCTTCAAAAATAGTAAAAAACAATTTTTCGTTCGGAAATTTTTTTTTGGATACAAAAATATATTTTGTACAAAATTAGAGATGAATTTTAAAATCTAGCAATTTTTAACTTTTAAGAAAAATAAAAATTCAAAAAGGGTCAAAATATTTTCTAACCGATTTTATTTTCTGAACTGTATTGAATTCCTCTCAAAAAATTAAATATAAAAATAAAATCATGAAAGATATAAATTATTTTCTCAATATTAAAAATGTAGCCGAACTCTCCTCTTAATACTAATGTGCAATTTTGAAGACTTAAAATAATAATTACAATAAAGAAAATTTCGTTTATAAAATAATAAATTAATATAATAAATATTAATAATAGATAATAGTAATAAAATAATATTAATAAAATAATATAATAATAAATAAATAATATAATTTACCTCTTTTTACTGGGGAATTCAATTCCAAGAGGTTCTTCTTATTCCATTGAATAATAATTATAGAATTTTCTCCTTAATATATATTATATCCAATAGACAAATTTTTCACTATATATGATTGTTTTTATTACTTTAAAAAATCCACCACAATTTTCTTCTGTATTGTAACCATTTTTCGATTAATATTAGAGAAAATTTAAAGGCTTATAGAATTTTTTTATTAAAATATTTTAAAAATATTATATATAGAGACTTAAAAAACTGTATGTAAATTTTTTTCTTCTATATACTACTTTCATATAAATATTTTCCTTCGATAATTAATATTCCGACGTTATACGTGACAAATCACGAGCTGTACAATTTTCTAATTCCTTTGTTTCTCTTGAGTCTTGTGTTTCTCATTCCCCCTCTCCTCCATTCATTCTCACTCTTAATTGAATTGAAAATAATGCAAATGAAAATAATATTTTCTAATACTAATAATAATAATATTAATAAAATAAAAAAATAGAATAATAAGATTTCGTTTCAAATTATATTAGAGCTTTTTTTATTTTTGTCCAAATAATAAAGGTTTAAAAATTTACTTTAATTTTAAAAAAAATTTTAAGCATTAAATCTGCCGAGAATTAAATTTTTAAAAATTAACACCGGATTCGTAATGAACGATCTTGAAAACTCTCAATTGAACGCTATCAGACAATCAAAATTTGGTTCAAACGCCATAAAAAATTTATTTCTTCCGAATTTAATAATTCTAATCATCTGAAAATTACCAGAGTTCTAGTAGGGACTGAGTACTACTTAATCTTGAAGATTAGAGAATTTTATTTCATTTTTTAAGTAGTAGCAGGTCCACCCGTACGCCATCAGACAATCAAAATTTGGTAAAAACGAAAATAAAAATTTATTTCTCCAAATATAATAATTCTAATCATCTGAAAATTACCAGAGTTCTAGTAGGGACTGAGTACTACTTAATCTTGAAGATTAGAGAATTTTATTTCATTTTTTAAGTAGTAGCAGGTCCACCCGTACGCCATCAGACAATCAAAATTTGGTAAAACCGAAAATAAAAATTTATTTCTTCCGATTTTAGTAATTCTAATCATCTGAAAATTACCAGAGTTCTAGTAGGGAGTGATCCCTACTCAGTCTAAAAGATTAGAGATTTTTATTTCATTTTTTAAGTAGTAGCAGGTCTACCCGTACGCCATCAGACAATCAAAATTTGGTAAAACCGAAAATAAAAATTTATTTCTTCCGATTTTAGTAATTCTAATCATCTGAAAATTACCAGAGTTCTAGTAGGGACTGAGTACTACTTAATCTTAAAGATTAGAGAATTTTATTTCATTTTTTAAGTAGTAGCAGGTCCACCCGTACGCCATCAGACAATCAAAATTTGGTAAAAACGAAAATAAAAATTTATTTCTCCAAATATAATAATTCTAATCATCTGAAAATTACCAGAGTTCTAGGAGGGACTGAGTACTACTTAATCTTGAAGATTAGAGAATTGAATTTCATTTTTTAAGTAGTAGCAGGTCCACCCGTACGCCATCAGACAATCAAAATTTGGTAAAAACGAAAATAAAAATTTATTTCTCCAAATATAATAATTCTAATCATCTGAAAATTACCAGAGTTCTAGTAGGGACTGAGTACTACTTAATCTTGAAGATTAGAGAATTAAATTTTATTTTTTAAGTAGTAGCAGGTCCACCCGTACGCCATCAGACAATCAAAATTTGGTAAAAACGAAAATAAAAATTTTTTTCTTCCGATTTTAGTAATTCTAATCATCTGAAAATTACCAGAGTTCTAGTAGGGACTGAGTACTACTTAATCTTGAAGATTAGAGAATTTTATTTCATTTTTTAAGTAGTAGCAGGTCCACCCGTACGCCATCAGACAATCAAAATTTGGTAAAAACGAAAATAAAAATTTATTTCTCCAAATATAATAATTCTAATCATCTGAAAATTACCAGAGTTCTAGTAGGGACTGAGTACTACTTAATCTTGAAGATTAGAGAATTGAATTTCATTTTTTAAGTAGTAGCAGGTCCACCCGTACGCCATCAGACAATCAAAATTTGGTAAAAACGAAAATAAAAATTTATTTCTCCAAATATAATAATTCTAATCATCTGAAAATTACCAGAGTTCTAGTAGGGACTGAGTACTACTTAATCTTGAAGATTAGAGAATTAAATTTTATTTTTTAAGTAGTAGCAGGTCCACCCGTACGCCATCAGACAATCAAAATTTGGTAAAAACGAAAATAAAAATTTTTTTCTTCCGATTTTAGTAATTCTAATCATCTGAAAATTACCAGAGTTCTAGTAGGGACTGAGTACTACTTAATCTTGAAGATTAGAGAATTGAATTTCATTTTTTAAGTAGTAGCAGGTCCACCCGTACGCCATCAGACAATCAAAATTTGGTAAAAACGAAAATAAAAATTTATTTCTCCAAATATAATAATTCTAATCATCTGAAAATTACCAGAGTTCTAGGAGGGACTGAGTACTACTTAATCTTGAAGATTAGAGAATTGAATTTCATTTTTTAAGTAGTAGCAGGTCCACCCGTACGCCATCAGACAATCAAAATTTGGTAAAAACGAAAATAAAAATTTATTTCTCCAAATATAATAATTCTAATCATCTGAAAATTACCAGAGTTCTAGTAGGGACTGAGTACTACTTAATCTTGAAGATTAGAGAATTAAATTTTATTTTTTAAGTAGTAGCAGGTCCACCCGTACGCCATCAGACAATCAAAATTTGGTAAAAACGAAAATAAAAATTTTTTTCTTCCGATTTTAGTAATTCTAATCATCTGAAAATTACCAGAGTTCTAGTAGGGACTGAGTACTACTTAATCTTGAAGATTAGAGAATTTTATTTCATTTTTTAAGTAGTAGCAGGTCCACCCGTACGCCATCAGACAATCAAAATTTGGTAAAAACGAAAATAAAAATTTATTTCTCCAAATATAATAATTCTAATCATCTGAAAATTACCAGAGTTCTAGTAGGGACTGAGTACTACTTAATCTTGAAGATTAGAGAATTGAATTTCATTTTTTAAGTAGTAGCAGGTCCACCCGTACGCCATCAGACAATCAAAATTTGGTAAAAACGAAAATAAAAATTTATTTCTCCAAATATAATAATTCTAATCATCTGAAAATTACCAGAGTTCTAGTAGGGACTGAGTACTACTTAATCTTGAAGATTAGAGAATTAAATTTTATTTTTTAAGTAGTAGCAGGTCCACCCGTACGCCATCAGACAATCAAAATTTGGTAAAAACGAAAATAAAAATTTATTTCTCCAAATATAATAATTCTAATCATCTGAAAATTACCAGAGTTCTAGTAGGGACTGAGTACTACTTAATCTTGAAGATTAGAGAATTTTATTTCATTTTTTAAGTAGTAGCAGGTCCACCCGTACGCCATCAGACAATCAAAATTTGGTAAAAACGAAAATAAAAATTTATTTCTTCCGATTTTAGTAATTCTAATCATCTGAAAATTACCAGAGTTCTAGTAGGGAGTGACCCCTACTCAATCTAAAAGATTAGAGATTTTTATTTCATTTTTTAAGTAGTAGCAGGTCCACCCGTACGCCATCAGACAATCAAAATTTTGTAAAAAATAAAATAAAAATTTATTTCTCCAAATATAATAATTCTAATCATCTGAAAATTACCAGAGTTCTAGTAGGGACTGAGTACTACTTAATCTTGAAGATTAGAGAATTTTATTTCATTTTTTAAGTAGAAGCAGGTCCACCCGTACGCCATCAGACAATCAAAATTTGGTAAAAACGAAAATAAAAATTTATTTCTTCCGATTTTAGTAATTCTAATCATCTGAAAATTACCAGAGTTCTAGTAGGGACTGAGTACTACTTAATCTTGAAGATTAGAGAATTTTATTTCATTTTTTAAGTAGTAGCAGGTCCACCCGTACGCCATCAGACAATCAAAATTTGGTAAAAACGAAAATAAAAATTTATTTCTCCAAATATAATAATTCTAATCATCTAAAAATTACCAGAGTTCTAGTTGGGAGTGAGCCCTACTCAATCTAAAAGATTAGAGATTTCTATTTCATTTTTTAAGTAGTAGCAGGTCCACCCGTACGCCATCAGACAATCAAAATTTGGTAAAAACGAAAATAAAAATTTATTTCTTCCGATTTTAGTAATTCTAATCATCTGAAAATTACCAGAGTTCTAGTAGGGACTGAGTACTACTTAATCTTGAAGATTAGAGAATTTTATTTCATTTTTTAAGTAGTAGCAGGTCCACCCGTACGCCATCAGACAATCAAAATTTGGTAAAAACGAAAATAAAAATTTATTTCTTCCGATTTTAGTAATTCTAATCATCTGAAAATTACCAGAGTTCTAGTAGGGACTGAGTACTACTTAATCTTGAAGATTAGAGAATTTTATTTCATTTTTTAAGTAGTAGCAGGTCCACCCGTACGCCATCAGACAATCAAAATTTGGTAAAAACGAAAATAAAAATTTATTTCTCCAAATATAATAATTCTAATCATCTGAAAATTACCAGAGTTCTAGTAGGGAGTGAGCCCTACTCAATCTAAAAGATTAGAGATTTTTATTTCATTTTTTAAGTAGTAGCAGGTCCACCCGTACGCCATCAGACAATCAAAATTTGGTAAAAACGAAAATAAAAATTTTTTTCTTCCGATTTTAGTAATTCTAATCATCTGAAAATTACCAGAGTTCTAGTAGGGACTGAGTACTACTTAATCTTGAAGATTAGAGAATTTTATTTCATTTTTTAAGTAGTAGCAGGTCCACCCGTACGCCATCAGACAATCAAAATTTGGTAAAAACGAAAATAAAAATTTATTTCTCCAAATATAATAATTCTAATCATCTGAAAATTACCAGAGTTCTAGTAGGGACTGAGTACTACTTAATCTTGAAGATTAGAGAATTGAATTTCATTTTTTAAGTAGTAGCAGGTCCACCCGTACGCCATCAGACAATCAAAATTTGGTAAAAACGAAAATAAAAATTTATTTCTCCAAATATAATAATTCTAATCATCTGAAAATTACCAGAGTTCTAGTAGGGACTGAGTACTACTTAATCTTGAAGATTAGAGAATTAAATTTTATTTTTTAAGTAGTAGCAGGTCCACCCGTACGCCATCAGACAATCAAAATTTGGTAAAAACGAAAATAAAAATTTATTTCTTCCGATTTTAGTAATTCTAATCATCTGAAAATTACCAGAGTTCTAGTAGGGACTGAGTACTACTTAATCTTGAAGATTAGAGAA